GGGCTGGGAAAGCCACCAAAGAGGCAGGCAAGAAGAGGAGAGCTGGGAGAGAACCCTGGCTGGTCTGGGAGAGAGGAAGCACTCCTCTGACCCTTTCTTTCCTTCTGGGCACTGAGGTAGGCATAGGGCTTAGGTTTGAAGTCGGCCCAGAAGACTGGCATGGAATGGGGGGATGAGGGACCACACTCCCCGATGATTGAGGTAGTGGGAAGCCCAGGGTCAGGGTCTTTTCCTTCACTGTCCTTGGTCCCCACTGAAGGGTTGGTGATGAGATGAGCATTTGGGCATTTAGGAGAGAGAGAAAAGGAGTGGGCAGGGCCTCAGGCGGGATGGGATGAAGATGAGCTAGGATGGCAGGGAGTGGCAGGACAGCTAGAAGGAAAAATCCTGAGTCTCGGCCAGGACTGCTTGCGGATTTCTTGCACCAAAGCCTGTATATAGAGACGTGGGTTCTCGGGTAGATGTGCTCCAGCTGGGACTTGAGGGGAGGGGTGGAGTGTGTGTGTGTGTGTGTGTGTGTGTGTGTGTGTGTGTGTGTGTGTGTGTGATTTTTTGCAGGACCCGTTGGATGTTGTTGGGTGGGGAGGGGAGGGGAGACGCCGGGCCAGGTTGCCCTTACACTTCCCTCTGTGAATGGTGGGGCCGTTGCCTAAGGGCCTTGCTCTGATGCCCCCTCCTCCCCATGTTTGTGAATGTAGCTAGAGGGCACCGTGAAGGACAGAGCCTCCCCCCTCAAAAGCCCAGTGCCCATGGAGAGCTGCCAGAGACCCAGCAGCCCTGCCAACGTGTTGAATGGTGACACCCCTATGCCTTCCATGAATGGCCTGGGGACGACCTCGCCTGAGCCCCAAGGGGAGGAGCCCCAGGGAGTCTCCTGCAATCGAGTGGCAAAGGCTGTGAGGAAAGTGGTGAGCAAGGTGCTCCCCGGGGAGGAGTCCGGAGGCGCCAGGGAGGCTCCAGCCAAAGGTGCCAAGCCTCCCGACCTCCCTGCCCATGGCAAGAAGGGGGGAAGGGTGCCTCAGGCTCCTCCTGCCCCCAGTCCTCCTCCCCTCCCACCCAAGGCTGAAGCAAAGAAGGAGCTGGCCAAGGATGAGATCTCGGTGGGCCTTCGGAGCCTGATGTCTCGAGGCAAGGGCAAAGAACATAAGCCACGGAACCGAGCGGCCTCCGAAAAGGCAGGGGACAGGCCCACGGCCCAGAAGACGGGCCAGGCCAAGAAGCCAGACTCCCTGGCAGAGCCTGAGTCTGTGAAAAAGCCATGCTCCCCAACTCTGCCAAAGGAGGATGCAGACGCCGTCCCGGATGTTGTCCCCAACTCAGACCACACCCCAGCTGAACTTCCCCGGGTGCCGGCCTCTGGCATTCAGCAGGAGGTACTGCTCCCCCTAACTGGTGTGTCACTAACCTCTCCTGCCCAGTCATGCTTCCACTGGCCTCCCCCAAGTAACAGTGCATGCTTGGGAGGGTGGGGTGCAGGGTGCTAGGCACCCGTCTGGTGAGAGGGAGATGATGCCAACAGGTGGGCCACTATCCCAGCGCCGGGAACCTCTCCTTCCTGATAACTCAGCTTGGCTCCAGAGATCCAAACCTCTGTGATGCCCACTCCTACACGGTTCTCTTTGGGCCATGCAATGCCCCAGACACTCTCTGGCACCTCCTCCCTTGGAAAGAGAGCCCTGGGGTAGCGTCTTGCCTGGGGGAAGACCCCCAGGGAAGATGTTTCCCCTTGGGCTGCTTTGCTCAGTTGACAGCACTCTGGACCACAAGCGGTTCCTGTCTTCCAATGAATACAATTTTTGTGTTTTAGCAAAACGTGGGGAAGTGGGTGGGGGTGGAGGGAGGGAGGAAGGTGCTGGTGGTGTGTCAAGGTGGGGACTGGCAACAGAGCCCTCCATTTGGCCTACCCCAGAGCTGGGGAGCGATACTCTTTGGCTTCTTTCCTTGTCGACATTTCCACTCCTTCCCCCCACCAACTCCTCTAATACTGGGTTTAGAGCCCACCTCAATCATTTAACCCTTCGGTACCTCAGTTTCCTCATCTGTAAAACAAGAGGTTGGACTCAGGGGCCTCTGAGATTCCTTTCAGCTCCACATCGATGCTCCTTTGATTGATTGTAGGACTGCGACCCCTCTGCCCTTCCATGCCACTCCCACTGAGCTGCTGGAAGGCTTCACTGTGTGTCTGGGGTGGATGGGGTTGGGGGCTGCGTATTGTCATGTTTCCGCTGAGCTGTTTAGGAGCAAAGGCTTTGGAACCATATTGTTCCCCTGGGAGTGGGGTCCAGAAGGCAGCTTGTGGGTGCCTGACGGGCCCGAGATCAGGAATCTTGGTTTATTTCTCCAGATCTGTATAACCTAGCTACCTAATCATTCCCCCAGGGTTCCCTGGGGCTCCCAGGGTACAGCCCCACCCTCAACATGCCTGTGTGGTACATGGGAAAAGCAGCTTGGCGTGGGGGAGAGGGACCCAGAGTCAGGAAGACTTGGGTTCCAATTCCACTTGGCACGCTCACTAGCTGTGGAAGTTACCGAGCCTTCCTCCTGCGCCTCAGTCTCCTCATCTGTAAAATAAGAGGGGAATTGAACTACACATGTGACCTTGGGCAAGTCACGGCCTCCCCGGGCTCATTTTCATCTAGAAAGTGAAGGAGTTGGGCTGGCTCCTCACAGCGACCCTGTGAGCAAGGTGCTAGTGTTCTCCCCATTTTGCAGATGAGGAAACTGAGGCCGAGGTTGTGAAGTGACACCCAGCTAGTCAGGGTAGAAGTGGGGCCTTCTTGTTTTCCGGCTGCTGTACTGAGGTTCAGATGAGCCGAGGGCTCTGCAAACCTCAGAGCCCCACATAAATGCTAGTTGTTGTTGAGGTTATGAATTTTAGCTGGGCTCTGAGGTCCCTTCCATGTCTGCCTTATGTCCCTTTGGGCCAGATGCATGGAAAGTCCCTTCTTGCTCCAACCCGATGGTCCTCAGATCCTTGTTTTTCCCCATGATTTCCTCGTGGTGGCGGTGGCTGGCCCCAAGGGGCCCCTCGGTTCTTCTCCCCAGATGGTCTAGAAATTCCTGAGCTTGGCCTTTCTCCCCTGCCCCTTGCCCTCCCTATCCTTCCGTGTCATCGCAGGCCAGGGGCCTGGCACGAGGTGACTCCTCCCCTCCCCCCCCAACCCCAGGGTTGGGACTAATGCTGGTTTAACCTTTAGGCAAGAGCCACCACGGAAGCCCAGCTGACCCCCGGAGAGGAGGCGCGTGCGCGACTCGAGAGGATCTTCATGACTTCTGTAATTCCTTCTGTTCTTTGTGGGTCTCTGCGTCCCCCAGTCACTCCTTGCTGTGGGTGGTCTGGGGGCCTAGGTCCAGGTTTTTGGGGTGGGTGACTGTGAGGGGAAGGCTTGTGTGTTGGGAGGTCCATTTGGGGCCCAGTGTGGACATCTTCCTCAGGACCCTTCTGCCTCAACAAAGAGAGAAGACCTCGGGGGGGGGGAGCGATTTCCTATCTCCACTCCCTTGACTTTGGAGTGGGCGAGTGTCTCTTGGCCCCGTTCCCTGTGCTTGGGCACTGTGGTGGGCAGCAGGGTAGGAATCTGGCCCAACAACCAAGTGATGAACATTTAGTACCAACTTACTGTGTGCCAGGCCCTTGCTAAGCACTGGACATACAAAGCAAGGCAAAAGCACCTTCCTTACCCTCAAGGAGCTTGCACACTAAGGGGAAGTGAGTGTGTGCGAATAACTGTCTGTAAGATGCAGGCATTTGGACCCGTGCAAAGGGTTTCTCCAGCTTGGCCCAGTGGAGTGTGGACCAGGAGGGGTGGCCGGGGACATGAAGCCAGTGGAAGGGAGAAGGGGTGCAGTGGGGACAGGGGTGCCTGGGATCGGGTGATGACGGCACCGATTTAATGAGATGCAGGGAAGGTGTGGTGCAGCTGGCTGGTGGCTCTGAGCCCCTTGGGACGGTCATGGAACACAGAGCAGGAGGGCCGAAGAATGGTTGGCTCGTGCCCTTCCCTGGGCTGGGAGGCCCAGCTCCTGGGGTGCTGTCAGACAGCTACCAAGAAGGCTGGGCCTGGGTGATCCACATGGCAAACTCCCTCCAGCGCCAAGGAGGGCGAGTAGCTGCCTGGGGCCTCTCTCCAGGTCCGTGGGCAGAACAGAGAGGCAGTGTGTCCAGTGGCAAGATTCCTGGCTCTGCAGTGAGAGAGCTGGGTTGTCTCTGATGCTTGCCACCTGTGAGAGCTTGGGTAACTCATTTCATATGCCTGGGCCTCAGTTTCCTTCCCTGTAAAATCAGTGATTAATCGGCAAAATAAGGAAGTTGGATTGGAAGTCTCTGGGGTTTCTTTCATCTCTTGAGCTATAGGAGTGAATGGCCTGTCAGCCTGGGGGAGGGGACAGACTAGCCCCAGGATGGGCTGACCGATTCTGTTCTGCTCAGTCTACGCTGAGGGCCTTGGGTCGGGCTCTGGGTCTTGGACTGAGGATCTTGCTGGGGACTGAGATACACATGGTCAGCTCTATACAGCAAGAGGCAGCCAGCGCCCAAGTGCCCAGCTCGGGGAGGACCCTGGCCCTGGGTCTGAGCTGGCGCCTCTATGCTTCCTGGTGCTTGGTGGGAGCAGGCTGAGCCCCCTGTGTATCATAGGTGTGGGGCTGCCTCCCACACCCCCATGACCCAGTGCAGCGGGATGAAGGTCTTGTACTGTTGTGTGACGGCATCTCATTTGGAGATAGTAAGCTGGGACTCTCCTACTGCCCTCCGGCCGTCTGCCCAGCGATGGTCTTGTGGAAGGAGTAGGTTGGATCTCATTGGCCTCCGAGGTCTTGTCCAGCTTTGACCTTCTCTCATCCTATGACCTATCACTTTTGCCCCCTCCCTACACTTCGGTGGTGGCTTGCAGGCACTTCTATGCCTGCCTTGCACCAGATGGGGGTGTGTGCCCATCCTCTGCTTGTATTTTCACCCTTCTTCTTTTCCCCTTTCTCCTTCATTCTTTTGCTGCTGTCAGCTGGACACTGAGGCTGTCTCTACCGCCCAGAACCAGGTAGGGTGCCCCTGCCCTCAGGAACCCTCTGCTTCCACTGACCGACCGATGCCCCTGGTCTGCGCCTGGGCTGGTGTCTGCGCTCGGGCCTCATGCTGGAGTGTAAGGCCACATGCCCCTGTCCACGTTCCCCCCTCTTTCCCTCTGTACCACCCAGAAAGGTGAATGACCTCTCTGGCCTGGACCCTAGACTACGGGTCTCCATAGGTGGACCTTACATAGCAGTGAAGCCCCCTGAGATAGGGTCTGGCTATGATGGCATCATGGGGAAGGGGGCAGAGGGATGCCATCTGAGCACATGAGACCTCCTTCGTCCATGTTCTTGGCCTCTCTGGCTGATTGCCCTGCGTGTGACATGTCTGCCTGACCAGTCTTCAAGGCTGGAGTTGGGGCTGCAGGTTTATTTTCTTCTGGAATGGGGAGAAAACTTAAGACTGGCTTCAGATGCCCTAGGGCCACAGGGACACTGGGCTCCAATGAACGCAGTATGAGTGAATGGGACCATTTGCATGCGCCAGCCCAGCTTAAGCATGAGGCGTTCTCTGTCCCCATCTGGTGTTCAATGTGGGGAATTGCAGCTGAGACCCAGGGTTAACGCACCCATGATCCTTTTTCAACTTTAAACAAAATTCATAAATTCCCCTCAGAAGGTGATAACAGTTGTACTTCCAGTTATCCATTGATGGAGAAATTCCATGTGGAAATGAAACTACTAGAAATTCAGTAACATTTTATTTAGTCTATTAATTACAACAGCGTTTGGGGAAAGTAACAACAGGGACTGTTTCTGTCTCCAGAAGGCATGTTTATTGTGCCAAGTCACTCTTCATATTTTGTTGGAGCAAAATCCGATGGGTTTAAACCTGGATTCAAACCCCAACTCTGCTACGTAATATATATGTGGCTTTGGGCAAAACACTAAACCTTTCTGGGCCTCAGTTTCCTTTTCTGTGAAAGGAGGAGGTTGGTCTCAATTGCCTCTGAGGCCCTTTCCAACTCTGATTCTGTGATCCTATGAGGAAAGATCAGAGCGACCTTTCTGATGATTCTTAGTGGGCGTGTGGGTCCCTGGACCCCTTGTAGTAAGGAGCTCTGTAGCTGCCCCAGGGACCCTCAGCCCACAGTTTGGGGACCACTGTTCTGAGAGGTGGTCCATTATAGTTATAAATTGCCAGAGATAGGGGCAGCTAGGTGACACAGTGGATAGAGCACCAGCCTTGAAGTCACTAGGACCTGAGTTCAAATCCAGCCTCAGACCAGATAACTTGACATGTACTAGTGTGACCCTGGGCAAGTCACTTAACCCCAATTGCCTAATTAAAAAACAAACAAACAAACAAAAAAATAAATAAATTGCCAGAACTGCAGGGGACCTCAGAGGTCTCGTCCCTGCCATTTCCTTCTCCATCTGTCATCTTTGTTGTTGTTCAGTCCTGTCTGACTCTTCATGATCCCATTTTGGGTTTTCTTGGCAAAGATACTGGAGAGGTTTGCCATTTTCTTCTCTAGCTCATTTTTACAGATGAAGAAACTGAGGCACACAGGGTGAAATGACTTGCCCAGGGTCTCCCAGATAGTAAGTGTCTGAGGCCAGATTTGGACTCATAAAGATGAGTCCTCCTGATTCCAGCTCTGGTGCTCTGTGCACTATGGCACCACCTTAGCTGCTGCCCCTCTTCTTACAGATGAGGAGATAGAAGTTTGGTGTGGGCAGCAAGTGGCTTGGCCAAAGGCACACCATTCATTCGTGGCAGAATTCAGAACTAGAGAGGGAGGCATCAGATAATCCAGTGGAAAGAGTGTCGGGTCTGGACAAGTCACTCAGTCGCGTCTAAGGTCCTTCCAAGTCTGGAGCTGTGCTCCCCTGAGCCTGTGAACGCAGTTCAAATTTCCCCTTAACTCCCAGAACTGTGGCAGTATCCCCTGCCTCCTGCCACCTCTGCCATCCCCTGTGACTTGTCACAACCACCAGGAGCGTGAGATACATGCTTGGGTTTGTGGGAGGGGCAGGGATGAGGAAGGAGGTTTCAGGGCGGCTCTCCCCGCGAGGCCGACCCAGAGTCCAGAGTCCTACCCCCTTGTTCGGGCTGTGAGGACAGAAATCAGCTGATGGGCTCTCAGCAGACACCTCCCTCCCTCTGTCATTTGCTCCGGCCCCCCGGGTAGTATCTGTTAGCTGCCAACCCCTGTGCTGCAAAGGGACCCACCCTAGGAAGCCCGGGGACCAGGGATAAGCCTTCTCTGCTTCCACCTTTTCTCTTTCCACACTAATGCATGGTTTGATTTCCCTCTCCCAGCTGCTTCCCCCCAACCCCTAATGCACCTGCTCAAGTGTATGTCGCTGGGAGTGAAGGATTAACTCTTTCTTCAAACCTTTCCTTCCTTCTTCTTCGATGGCCGGTACCCTTGGCCTCTCCGGCCCTGCCTGCTGGGATCTGTATCCGACTTGTTCCCACCACAGCATCTGTGTGGGTTCCCTTCACCCCCTCGTGCCCACGTCAGTGCCCTGGCATGCAAGTTCTCACCTCTGTTTGATGGCAGTATGATATTCCCCCCCAATCCTGTTGTTTCTCTTGTCGTGCCTTCCCTCGTACTGAGGCGTGCTGTTATGTCCACATTTGTGTCCCCCGTGGCATCTGGGTGGGAGAAGGGCCCATGCGTGACTGGGAAGTCCTGTGGGCAGCTGGCACATACACTGGCACTCCCCTGCAGGCATTTGCTGTAAGAGCTCCAGAGCGCTGGGGAGGAAGGGTCGAGGTTGAGAGGTGCCAGTGTCCACCTTTTGTAGGGGGGTACCTGAGGACACGCATCTCCTTGGCACAGTATGGGAGAGAACTGTTCCTTTTGATGGAAGACTGGTCATGGATGGCTTCCCTGCTTAGTTGCTATGGCCCGGGGTGGGGAAATCACTTTTCGTTTTTTTTTTATTGGAGCAGAGTTCTGGGGGCCGATGACCCAACAGACTGCGTAGGGAGAAGGAAGTGGAGGTCAAAGGATAGTTCGGATCTTCCATAGTCCTCACCTTGCCTGAGATCTCTCCTCTCCCACGTTCCCTTTTTTTTTTTTTTTAAAGATTCCAGAGCTGATTTGGCCGTCTCTGACCCATGCCTGTGCTCCCTCCTCCAGCCCGCACTCCAGATGTCCCCAGCTCTTCTGTCTTCTTTTGTGGTGTCCCTTTCTGGTCCACCGGGACCGGCTGCGTCTGCCTCCCCTCCCCCTCTCTCCACGTGCCCACCCTCCTTGTCACTTCTCTTCCATCTTCTCTTCCTGTGTGCTTTCAGCCCCCAGAACCTAAGTCTGACTCTGTGCCCTCGCTCCCCCCCACAGGCCAAGACAGAAGAGCAGATTGCCACTGAGGAAGCCTGGCACGAGACGGAGAAGGTCTGGCTGATCCATCGAGATGGCTTCTCTCTTGGTGAGTCTGGGACAAGGGAGGCTGGGTTGCAGAATCAGACTGATCTCTGGCTCGCCTGCTGTTTCTTTCTTCCTACTAATCCCTTCTTCATCTCCCACTGTCTTCTTCCTCCATTCTTATTCCTGGCCAACGCTGATAAAGTCTTAAAACTCTATGGAGTTTTGTTTTGTTTTGTTTTCCTGTTCTTGATTTATGCTACATGAACCCCGCTGGGCCCCCAGTGCTGCTTGGCAGTCTGGGCATGTGGATCACTTCCTGACACCCCACGCTTTCCCCCAGCTTCCTCCTCTCTCCCTATTGCCCCATTCTCGTCAGATGTCATCCCTCCCCACTTTCTTAACGAAATCAAGGCTATCAGAAGGAGAGCTCATTCAGTTCCCCTCTATCTCACTTCAAATTAAAGTTAAAACCCAAGACCTGTCCATGCCTCAATGCTCAAAATGAGAGGAAGGAAGGGTCGGGGGACTCCTTTCTCTTTTCAGAACCAGCCAGGGTTTTCTCCTAGGTTTTTATTCCTCTTTTCAGCAGCTTTCAAGCCTGCCTAGAGACAGCTGGTGGCCCAGTGGATAGAGTACTAGGCCTGGAGTCAGGAAGACCTTGGTTTAGATCTAGTCTCAGACACTTATTAGCTGTGTGACCCTGGACAAGTCACTTAACCTCTGGTTGCCTCAGTTTCCTCAACTGTAAAGTGGGGATAATAACACTACCTACCTTCCTTCTGGGGAAGTCGTGTAATCTCCCTGGACCTCGGTGTCTTCTCTCTATAAATGAGGGAGATGATGGCGTCTAAGGTCATTACAAGTCTAGAGCTGTGTGCTCCTTTGAGCCTAGCAATGCAGCTCTGGTTTTCCCTTAATTCCCAGAAATTTGGCGGAGGACATGCCGCCTGGCTCTGTCACCTCCCTCCTGCCACCTCCTTTGCCCGTGACATGTGCCTTCACCAAGAGCATGAGTGACATCCTTGGATTTCAGGGTCGGGGGCAGGAACGTGGAAGAAGGTTTCAGGATGGCTTTCCCCATGAGACTGGCCCAGAATCCTGAGGCCCAACCCGTTGCTCAGGCTGTGGGGTTAGGAATCATAGCCTGAGGAGTTCTCAGCAGACACCTCCCTCCCCTGTTATCTGCCTCATGGTTGTTGAGGATCAAATAACAAAATATTTGTAAAGACCTTCCTCCCTCTGTCTTTCCCTCCCTCTGCCCTCTTCTCTCTCCCTCCCTCTGATATCCTCTCCCTCCCTTCCTCCCTTTCTGCCTCCCTCCCTTCCTCCCTTCCTGCCTCCCTCTGTCCCTTCCTTCTTCCCTCTCTTCCTCCCTCCCTCCCTCCTTCCCTTCCTCCTTTCCTTCCTCTCTTCCTCCCTCCCTCCCTCCCTCCTTCCCTTCCTCCCTTCCTTCCTCCCTTCCTTCCTCCCTCCCTCCCTCCCTCCCTTCCTCCCTCCCTTCCTTCCTTCCTTCCTATCTTCCTTTGAAGAAGCTATGACTTCCTTCTGAACAAGACTAACCCTTTATTTATTTCTACCCCAGCTCCCATCCTTCTGACTATTGGTTAGTCAATCAAAGTCACTTTGCTTTTTGGGGCCTCAGTTCCCTCATATGTAAAGGGAAGGGGTTGAATTAGATACCCTCTAAGGTCCCTTTCAGCTCTAGATCCATGGTCATGAATCGAAGTCATTTCTCTTCTCTGGTCCTCAGTTTCCTCATCTGTAGAATGAGGGGGTTGAACTGGTTTGGCCCTTAAGGTCCCTTCCAGCTCTGAATTTATGCTCCAATGAACCATTTTTAAGTGGCTTTTATGCAGCAGACAGTGTACTGGGTGCTAGAGATACAAAGACAAGAATGAAACTGTCCCCTCCCTCAAAGAATTTATAAACTATTGGGGGAAACACCCTGAGTGCATATATGCAAAATAAATACAAGATAATTTATGGGTGGTGGCATGCGTAGCTAGAGGGAATCAGGGAAGACTTCGTGTAGGAGGTGATATTTGAGCTGAGCTTTGAAGGAACCTAGGGATTTTAAATAATGGAGGTGAGGATCGAAGGCAAAGAGGCAAAGGCATAGAGAGGGGAAATGGATTGTAGGAGGCATAAAGGGAAATCACGTATGATGGCTCATTACTCAGCCCTTCTCCTTCCTGTGTCTTCAGTCTTCCTCTGTCTTTGGGGATAGGTCTCTTTGTCCCATCAAGCTACCAATCCATTTGTCTTTTTCCCCCTTCACTGCCCAAGCTTCTTGAATGAAGCGTCTATACTGGCTGCCTCCATCTACTGCCTCCTGCATTCTGGTTTCCATCATCATTGTTCTATAGAAACCACTCTCTCAGAAGTCACCAGTCACTCCCTTTTTGCCAAATCTAGGTCCTTTTTCTTATCCTCTGTGGTCTCTGCAACATTTGACTCTGTTGACTCCTTTGATGTATTTCTGTCATCCCTTGGCTTCATGACAATACATGCTTCTGGTTCTCATCTTACTGACATTTTCCCTTTCTTGTTTCCCGGTGTCCCTCCTTTCATTCTCCTCTTTAAAGCAGAGTTCTCCCAGGCTCTCTCCCTTTTCCCTCTTCGTGTCTCTATCCGCACCCTCTCCTTTGGCGAGCCATCCAGTCCCGGGCTTCCTGGGCAGAGGACTCTCAGGTCTGTGCCCAGCCTCGGGGCTTCCCTTAAGCTCCAGGCTTGGCTTTCCCAACCAAGCACTGCACCTCCACGCCTGAATGTCCAAGCTTAAGATGTCCGAAGCAAACACTTTAATTGATGCTTGTGGATTAACAGATTGAATCTTCAGTTTTTCATTGATAACAGTGCCCATCACATGTTTCTCTGTTGTCCTTTGGGTGAATTCCAACTGAATTCTTCTTCTGAAATATTTTGGCCATAGAATTTCAATATAATTGGTTTCTTTTGTAATCCTGTGTGCATTGTTTTATACTTTTAAAAACTATACTTCTGAGAATGGGTCCATAGGCCTCTCCAGGACCCCCAAAGAGGTTCGGGACACAAAAAAGTTACAAACTCCTGGGACTAGCCAATAGCACCTTGTTTCTTTTTTATGATGATTTTAACAATCATCAACACACATGGACATTTGACTATACAAAGAAGAAAATGCATTATATAGAAAACTATAAGCTTAGGGTATGTACAGGGTTTTTTTTGTTTGTTTTTTAGTTTATATTAGGTTTTCCAAGTTAGTAACAAAGAGAGACAGCAAGGTGTAGTAGGAAGAGAGCTGGCCTCAGAACCAGAAAGACCTGGTTGAGTCTTGCCTTTGATACAAACTGGCTCTGTGATGCTGGGCAGTTCACATAACATCTCAGGGCTTCAGGCAATTCTCTAAGGCTGTAAATTACAGGGGGTAACTAGGTGGTTGCTAATTGGCACAGTGGATAGAGCAGTGGGCTTAGAATCAGAAAGACTCATCTTCATGAGTTCAAATCTGGCCCCAGACTCTTAGTAGCAGTGTGACCCTGGGCAAATCACTTAAATCTGTTTGTCTTAGTTTATTCATCTGTAAAATGAGCTCAAGAAGGAAGTGGCAGACCACTTAAGTATCTTTGCCAAGAACACCCCAAATGGGGTCACGAAGAATCAGACATGGCAACATAAATTACAGAGAAAGTGCAGGTCTGCAGTGTGAAGTTCCTTATAGCATTGGAACTGCCCAATCCCTAGGAATAAAATTCCCCTCTTTGTGTATCCTTCTGAACTTCTTGGACATAAGACTTTTTCATCCACTGAGTTTTTCCCATGTGGATGGTTGGACCAAACTTTGAATGCTTATAAATCTCCTCCAGGAGGTGCCATAGTGTACTGGGCCTTGGTACTGTCAGCACAAAATCCTTGGCATATAGAAGCATCTAAAGGACCTCACCATTTTTAGGAAACCCCTGTTTTGTTTGAGCTCTGTGTTGGGGACTCTTTGGCAGGGCCTACATCTCTCTAGAGTTATCATACATAGCAGTCTCAGTTTCAGCATCTTTAAAGGAGCTGTGTATGATCTTAATATTTGCATGGGAAGCACCTTGTAGAAGATCTCTCAAGGTGGCATTCAGCGCCACTAAATCAAATGTTTCTTTCTAGTCAACAGACAGTTGACACAGTGGGAGCTGGTATTCTCTGCATCTTTCTGTCAATTCTGTGCCTGTCAAGATGTGTTCTCCTGCAGAATAATGTTTGTTAAGACCTCCTTTTTCAGACATGGCCGATGATGGGTTTTATGTGACTACTTTGTTGTTACAAGCCGGGGCTTTTATTATTTTCCTGGTGGGGGAGATTTCTGAGGCTAGTGGTGGGTAGTGATAATGATACAAGAAAAAAAAAAGGAAGAAAAGAAAAAAGAGCTCATCAATGAATCATTAAAAAAACAAACACAAGAGGACAGAAAGAAGTTCTGAAGGGGACAGAGATAAGCAGGGTAATGTTGAAACTACAATGTTAAATTAAAAACCAAAAACCAAAAAAACAAACCCAACTACAACAAGCTGTACTTAGCAGAGATTTACAGTTTCATGTGCTATTTTTTTCTAATATTCTTTTTTTTGGGGGGGGGGGTTAGGCAATGGGGTTAAGTGACTTGCCCAGGGTCACACAGCTAGTAAATGTTATGTGTCTGAGGTCGGATTTGAACTCAGGTCCTCCTGAATCCAGGGCCAGTGCTCTATCCTCTAATATTCTTTTATGGGACAGTGGGAAGAATACTGGTTTGGGAGTCAGAGGACTCATTCAGATTTTATCATTGTTGCTTACTACCTGTGTGACCTTTGGCAAAATCACTTGACCTCCCTGGGTCCCGGTTTCTTCCAGTGTAAAATGAGGGAGTTGGTCTAAATGGTCTTTGTGATTCCTTCTGGCTCTAAATTATGAGCCTATAGGTCATTTCTTCTTGGGTCTCAGTTTCTTTCCTTGTTTGTGAAAGTAAGGGGAAGGCAGGCGTGGTGGTGGATGACTATAGTTCTGCTATTTGGGAGGCTGAGGATGGTGGATCGTATGAGTTCAGAAGCTTTGAGCTTTGTTGTCATTCAGTTGTTTCACTCATGTCCAATTCTTTGTGACCCCATTGGGGGTTTTCTTGGCAAAAATACTGGAGTGGTTTGCTATTTCCTTCTCCAGTTCATTATACAGATGAGGAAACTGTGACAGACAGGGTTAGGTGACTTGCCCCGGGTGACACAGCTAGTAAGTGTTTGAGGCTGGATTTGAACTCAGGTCTTCCTGACTTTAAGCCCAGTAGTATATCCACTGCATCACTGTAGGGATAAAGCCAATGGAGTGTCCAAACTAAGTCTGGCACCAAGATGGAAGGAAGGTCAGATCCTTTAGTTAGAAAAAAAGTCAGTAAAGCTTCACTATCAGTCAAGGTTGGAATCTGGCTCATGGGTGGCTGGGGCACTTCTGACCTTTCACGCTGAGTACAAGGGATGATTTATTTGCCTTTCATGATCTTTTCATGGTTTTGGCTTTTTCCCCTTCTAGATCTATGACCCTATGCTCATGTTTATTGATGTTTGTCAAGTTCGTAATGATAAAGAAAACTGTTAGTGAAAACCTCCCTGTTCCCTTCTCAAATCTTCATCAAGGATAACACGCACATACATACATACACGCGCACACACACACACACACCCCTTCTCAAATCTTCATCAAGGATAACACGCACACACACACACACACACACACACACACACACACACACCCCTTCTCAAATCTTCATCAGGGATACCCCCCCCACCTTCTCAAGTCTTCATCATGGATAACACAAATACACACACACACACACACACACACACACTGCTTCTCAAATCTTCATGAAGGATACCCCCCACCTCCTCAAGTCTTCATCATGGATAACACAAATACACACACACACACACACACACACACACACACACACACACCCCTTCTCAAATCTTCATCAAGGATACCCCCCCCACCTTCTTAAGTCTTCATCATGGATAACACACACACACACACACACACACACACACACCCCCATTCTCAAATCTTCATCAAGGATACCCCCCCACACCTTCTCAAGTCTTCATCATGGATAACACAAATACATACACACACACACACCCCTTCTCAAATCTTCATCAAGGATACCCCCCCACACCTTCTCAAGTCTTCATCATGGATAACACACACACACACACACACACACACACACACACACACACACACACACACCCCTTCTCAAATCTTCATCAAGAACACCTCCCCCACCTTCTCAAGTCTTCATCATGGATAACACAAATACATACACACACACACACACACACACACACACACCCCTTCTCAAATCTTCATCAAGGATACCCCCCACCTTCTCAAGTCTTCATCATGGATAACACAAATACATACACACACCCATTCTCAAATCTTCATCAAGGATACCCCCCCACCTTCTCAAGTCTTCATCATGGATAACATACACACACACACACACACACACACACACACCCCTTCTCAAAATCTTCATCAAGGATACCCCCCCCACCTTCTCAAGTCTTCATCATGGATAACACAAAATACACACACACACACACACACACACACACACACACTCTCTCTCTCACACCCCAAGGATATCCTTGATGAGAATTTGAGAGCGAGTGTGTGTGTGTGGTGTGTGTGTGTGTGTGTGTGTGTGTGTGTTTCCCATTAAAGATTCTGAAGATACGGGAAAGCAAGCACCCAAAAACAGAAGAATTGCTTGACTTGACCGTGGTGCGTTAATGTAATGAAATACTATAATGCAATTAAGAACAACAAGGTTGAGGAATATAAAAAAATCCAGAAAGACCTCAATGAAATAACGCCAGGCCAAGGAAGCAGAAATGTGCGAACAAAGCACGCCCTGGTGCCACAGAGGAAAGAAAGTGAATGAGAATGAATGGGCAAACACAGAATCCTGATGAGCCCTTGGAGGGAGACACTGAAAAGGGCTTGTGCTATTTTAGGCGTTGAAATTAATTAATTTAAATGTAAATGAATACAAAGGCATTTTAATTAGTTGTATTGATGTGTAATATTAAGTTTATAATCCTTTTTTTTTTCTTGAGGAAGTACTCCTATGGATCAGCAGTTACTCCTGTTTTCTTAATTGCCTTTTCTTGGTAGTAAACGTGTCTCATTTTGTTCTGAAGTGTTCGGTCACCTCCTTTCTTTCGGTCGTCAGCACCTTCGAGGTGCTTTGGGCCTTCTCCATAGCCTTGCGCTGGTCTAGCTGCTGCTTCTCCCAATTTGGTTTTCTTTAGTTTTATTGTACACATGTTGCCGTATTAATTTCCCTAAAGGACATATTTTAAATTTGACTAAGTGGTAATGGAGAGGCATCATGGTGTTATGGATAGAGCTCTGGTCTTAGAGCTAGAAAGACCTGGGTTCAAGTCCTGCTTCTCATACTTACTGGCTTTGTGGCAAGTTGAATAACTTCTCACTGTTCCCAGGATGCTCTTCTGTGACAGAGAAGGGACAGCCTGCTTTGTTAGAGTCTCCTCTGGGAGTTCCCCTTTATCAATGAAATTATAGAGCCTATCCCAATTCCTAACCCTAGTTACAAATTTAGGTTCTGTCCTATGTAGCCAGGCTGAGATCACATCATTCCACTGCTCAAATGCCTTCGATGGCTCCCCCTTGCCTACAGAACCAAGGCCCAAAGCCTTAGCCAGGCATTAAAGGCCCTTTATGTATAATCTAGCTTCTGTAGATCTTTCTACCTTTATCCCACTCTACTCCCTCTGATGGACTCTCATTTCAGCCAGATTGATGTGCTTACCATCTCTCGAAAAGGAGGCAGTGTGATATAGTAGATGGAGTCAGGAGGACCTAAGTTCAAATCCAGCCTCAGACTTTTACCAGCTGTGTGACTCTGGACAAGTCACTTATTTCAACCTCAGTTTCATCATCTGCAGAATGGGCATGTTGGCCTTAATGGTCTCTGTAAGGTCCCTTCTGGCTCCAACCCTGTGATTCTATGATCTTAAGTCATTGTGCCTTCTTGGGCCTCAGTTTCCTCATCTGTAAAATGAGGAGGTCAGAGTCAGTGGCTTCTATTAAGTACCTTCCAGCGCTAACTCTATGGTCCTATGTCCTCTATCTCCCCTCCTCTGTACTTTTGTCCCTGGTGCAGGCAGAAAACATATCCTCTTCCCATTACTGCCTGTGTAATGCATTAGAGTGTCTTTGGGAACTCTCATGGTGCGTTAATATAACTATCAGGATATGTGTTGATCATTCATTATCCATTGTTATTCAGTGATTTATTAGGGGACATGATCGGTACCTGATAATTAGCATATGCCAAGCCTTTTAGAGTAATAGTTTTCTCATGACCTGTATTAACGTACCGCCAAAATTTGACCGACATAATCTGGTTCCCTGTTGACTTTGTGCCCATCCTTCAAGGCCCAGGTCAGATGATGCCTTCTCAGGGAAGCCTCCCCTCAGCTTCATGCACTTTTTGCACCCTCATTTCTATTCGATTTACTGGTGTCTGTGTGTCATAGCACCTTCTGGATAGACGGCAGAGACCGTGCCTTGTTTATCCTGGCATTTTCCCCGTGCCCAGCACGGTGCTGCCAATCTGGTCTTTTGTTAGCTGTTGCCATTTTTACCCCTTCTCTTTCCTCCTACAGCTGCCTCCCGGGTGTAAGCTCTTGTCAGCACCCACCAGTACTATTGCCTAGCCTTGTGACTGGCCTCCCTGCCTCTAGTCTTTTCCTTCAGCAGTCTATCCCTCACTCAGCTGCCAAAGTGTTTTCCCTAATGTGTAGGTCTGACAGGTCACCTCACTTGCTCAAGGAGCTCCAATGGCTCCCTGTTATCACCTTGATCAAATATAGAAGCCTCTGTTTGGCTTTCAGAGCCCCTCACAACCTGGCCTCTTTCCTACCTTTCCAGTCTTTTACACCTTTCTCTCCTCCACATACTCTGGTGGCCCTCACACATGGTATTCCATCTCCCATGCCTCAAATGGTCTCCATCTTTACCTCTGACTTTTAGCATCCCTGGCTTCCTTCAAGACTTGACTCAAATCTTACCTTTGTAGGGCTTTCTTTTTTTTTATTTTTTCAAATATTTTTTTCCAATTATGTGTCAAAAAATTTTAAACATGTTTTTTAAAATTTTGAGTTCCAGATTCTCTCCCTTCATCCCCTAGCCCTTCATTGGAAAGGCAAGCAATCTGATATAGGTTATCCATGTGCAGACATGCAAAACATATTTCCATATTATTCATGTTGTAAAAGAAAACAGACCAAGAAAAATAAAGTTTAAGAAACTGTGCTTCACTCAGCATTCAGTCTCCGCCTGTTCTTTCTCTGGATTTGGATAACATTTTTCATCATGAGTCCTTTGGAATTGTCTTGGATCATTGTATTGCGGAGAGGAGCTAAGTCATTCACAGTTGATCGTCATTACAATGTGGCTGTCACTGTATACAATGTTCTCCTGGTTCTGCTCACTTCACTTTGCATCAGTTCATCTAAGTCTTCCCAGGTTTTTCTGAGGGCATCCTGCTCGTCATTTCTTATAGCACAATAGTGTTCCGTCACAATCACACCACAGCTTTTCAGCCCTTTTCCAATTGATGGGTGAGGGTCTGAGGTCCCCTGAGATTCCCTTCCATCTACTCTGATTATCTCTTGTCTGTACAGTTATTTGCATGTTATCTTCCCTTTTAGAATGTGAGCTCCTGGAGGGCAGGGGACTTGTTTTTGCCTTTCTCCAGAGATTAGTACAGTGCCTGACACTTAGTGAGTGCTTAATAAATGCTCTTTTCTCTTCCTGTGTAGCCAGCCAACTGAAGTCAGAGGAGTTAAGTCTACCCGAGGGGAAGGTCCGAGTGAAACTGGATCATGATGGGACCATACTGGACGTGGATGAGGACGATGTGGAGAAGGTACGGGGCAGGCAGGGGACTGGAGATGGGGTCTGCCGGGCTCTCAGGGGAGGTGGACGTGAACGCCACATGCTTCTCCCTGTCCTCTAGGCCAACGCCCCATCCTGTGAACGGCTGGAAGACCTGGCCTCCCTGGTATACCTCAACGAGTCAAGCGTCTTGCACACCCTCCGCCAGCGCTATGGGGCCAGCCTGCTGCACACATACGCTGGCCCCAGCTTGCTCATCCTCAGCCCCCGAGGGGCCCCTGCAATGTACTCTGAGAAGGTAGGGGCCAGATGACCTCCTCCCAGCGTTCCCACCCCATCTCTCCATTCATAGCCCCATCCATCTCTCCAGCGTCTTCTTATCTTGCTCTCTCCTCCAATCTGCTTGTCTGGCTTCCCGTCAAAAAGCAGAGAAGACAAAAGTGTCTTTTAAAAATATCCAGCCCCAGGATGAGGCCTTATGCCTGTCTCCTGGCTGCATTTCCGTTCATCGCCGAGGCTCAGGCCCAGGGAGGTTGATGGTGTTGATTCATAGGATCATAGATCTAGAGTGGGAAGAAATATCAGAGCTCATTTTATCCAGGTCCCTCATTTTACAAATGAAAAAACTGAGGGCCAGGGAGATTTAAGCGACTTGTCCAAAGTCACATGGGATCCTAAGTAGTAGGATTAGAGCCCAGACCCTGTGACTCCTCACTGTACCACACTGCCTCCCTTGGTTCAGCTTTGGAGGAGTGCTCAGCCTCAGTTTCCTCATCTGTAGAATGGAAGAATAATTCTTGCACCATTTAACTTCATATGTTTTTTTTCCTATATTTTTTCATGTTTATGTATTTTCATATATTTAGTGTTTCTATGTTTTTTTCATCAGTGCAAGGAACTTTTCTTAACAGTTGAAGGGGGAAGGGGCGAGGGGAGAGAGACAGAGAGACAGAGAGACGAGAGAGAGAGAGAGAGAGAATGATAATATTAATCTCTTAGTATGAGTCTTGCTTGGATTTTTACTCCCAAGGCTTAGACATTCCCTGCCCTCAAAGAGCTTATATTCTAATTTTGGAAGATATAAAGGGGAACTGGAGGGGGAAAATGGGGATGAAGATGGAATGTGGTGAGGATGGCTGGGAAGTAAAATGTATCGTTATTCGGTTTTAGACAAAGTAAAGTTGAAAACTCACTCATCAGCCAGAGAATGCAGGAGTAGGATCCAAGGGTCCAGTAAGGGGTCCAGACAGAGGTGAGGGCAGAGATGAGGATGATGGCCAGTGCAGGCAGTGTGGTGAGGAAATGGCCCAGGAGAGGCATGGAGGCCTGGCTCTTGCCTAGACAAGGGGAATGCTCCCCCATCAGAGTTGGGGGACCCAGGGGTGGAGTCCAGGGTTTCGTCGGTGGGCAAAGGAGGAGTAGGAAATGAGGCTGATGGCCAGCATAGGCCGCGTGGTGAGGAGATGTTTGGAAGGGTGGAAGACCTGGTTTCAAATCCTGTTTTTGGTGCTTTACTACCTTTGTGACCTTGGGCAAGTCCCAACCTCCCTGAGCCTTTATTTCTTCATCTGTAAAATGAGGAGCTTAGACCAAATGGCCTCTATAGTCTCTTCCAGATCCTAATCTATGATCCTGTGGGTTGGACATCTTCCTTCCAGCTTGGGAGCTCTGATCCTGATCCCTTGGGCAGTGAAGTCGCTGGTGCACCCAGAGACTCTGGGTCTAATGCTCTCCCCTCCTCCTCCTCCCTCCCAAGGTGATGCACATGTTCAAAGGGTGCCGGCGGGAAGAGATGGCACCCCACATCTACACTGTGGCACAGACTGCATACCGTGCCATGCTGATGAACCGCCAGGACCAGTCTATCATCTTACTGGGCAGCAGTGGCAGCGGCAAGACCGCTAGCTGCCAGCACCTGGTGCAATACCTGGCCACCATTGCGGGCACCAGCGGGAACAAGGTGTTCTCTGGTGAGGTGCAGGGCAGGCCCCAAGCTCACGAGCTGGGGAAATGAGGATGACATGGGGAGAAGGGGCCAAGCTTTTCTGTTGCCACTCCGTGATTCTACTTTGGTGCCAGCCTGGCATGATAAGCCATTGCTTCTGAGATGGCAAAGTGGAGTGCCTCCCGGGGATCCCATCAGTTCCCTTCTATGCACCATGGACCCTTATCCGCTATAATATGAAGGCAGTGGGTAGAGGGCTGGGCTTGGCAGTGGGAAGACTTGGGTTTGAGACCTGCCTCAGGCACTGGTATGACCTTGATCAGATTACTCGAATTACTGCAAAATGGAGTTGGATTCAATGACCTCTAAGGCCCTTTCCCAGCTCTGGATCTATAATCCTGTAATCCTCAACTGGCTGGCTACAAGCTGGTCCCCTTGCCATGTCTGGATTTTCCCCAGTCAACCCTATAAGCTCAATGGGTTCTTGGGGAGCAAGTTCGGGTCAGGGGCCAGCATGGCTCCTCTAAGACATTGCCAGGCCTCGCGTGTCTACACCGGGTGGGCAAGCCATTCTTTCCTCACCACATGCCCTCCTTGTCCCATTGCCTCTATCCTGATGTTTCTCTGGTTTGTCCTTCACAGTGGAGAAGTGGCAGGCTCTGTACACCATCTTGGAAGCCTTTGGGAACAGCCCCACCATCATGAACGGCAATGCTAGCCGCTTCTCTCAGATCCTCTCGCTAGACTTTGACCAAGCTGGCCAGGTGGCCTCAGCCTCTGTTCAGGTGAGAGGAGACCGCCCCCCCCCGCCACTGGACAAGAGGTTTGGAGAAAGGAAGGCTTAGCCTTGATCTGATTGGTCTGGGAGGATGGTGGCTAGAAATTGATGACCCATCTATAGCTTTGATATCGTTAAATGAGGGCCCATTTCCTGGGGCTTCAGGTCCTCCATCATGGACGCAGTCATCCTGTGAGTGCACCCCAATTAATATTGCATCCCCTCCTCTAGGGGCTGCTCCATTGAGTCTGCATGGGATATCAGATCTGTGGCCCCAATTCCCTTCGCCCAGTTAGGACCAGGAAACGATAGAGATCAGCTTCCTTAAAGACTTAGCTCCCTCTTACTTCTACCCCCTTCATCCCCACGATGCTTGAGGGAACTTAGAGATGTAGGAGGTTTCATCAGTTCGCTCTGCTCCACGTCCTCTGCTTACACCAATGACGGACTGGTCTTGGTATCATTTACACCTAGTGGTGAGTAGAGTTAACATGTTTTGGCTTATCCTGGACAACATGGAAACACCCCCTCCCTGCCAAATGGTCACAATACTCCTGTTCTCTGAAGAAGAGTGGCAGTCGTGGGCTAGGAGGTGCTGCAGGGACTCACCTAAGTGATTAACCATTTCTTCTGTTTTGGGACCCAGACCAAGGCCTGGGGTAGCTACGTAGCCATGGTAGATAGAGTGCTGGGTCTGGAGTCAGGGAAACCCGAGTTCAAATCCTACCTCAAACACTTACTAGCTGTGTGACCCTGGGCAAAGTCACTTAACCTCTACCTGCCTCAGTTTTCTCATCAGTAAAATGGGTGTAATAATAGTACCTCCCTCCCAAGGTTGTAAAGGACTAAATCAGATAATATTTGTGAAGTACTTTGCAAACCGTAGAGTGTTATATAAATGCTAGCTATTGTTATTGTTCTTGTTATTACTAAGAAAGGCTCTGGCTGGCACTGCCCCAATGGTAGAGTTGGCATGTCTTTTTTTTTTTGGCATGTCTCTTGAGAGTAAGATGGGGCACCCTGTCCCTCAGGTACAGGTAGCAGCCGTTCCTGGCGAAGAATTGGGGGAGGTGGGGAGCACTTGCTGGCCTTGACCCACGTCCCTATCCTGCACTTTACTGCAGACTATGCTGCTTGAGAAGCTTCGAGTTGCCCGGCGCCCATCCAATGAAGCCACCTTCAATGTCTTCTACTACTTATTGGCCTGTGGAGATAGCACCCTTAGGTGAGAGAGGACGGGTGGTTGGGAAAAGGAGTCCCCCTCACCAGTGGATTGGGTCCCTGACCTTGGGCCCTTGGGTAGTTCAACTTTCATTTCTGGGCTGTCCCTGCTTGTGTTTGAGGCAGTAAAAGATATGAAAAGGCTGTGGGAAAAGAAAAAGATATGGGAGTCTGAATGAGGACTGTAAGCACATCGTGTGATATAGAAGCCAGTGCAGTCCTAGCCTGCCTCGAGAGAAAGCGTGACCAGAACTAAGGAGGAGATAGTCCCATGCCCAGAGGGCTTTGTTCAGTTCTGGGCACCATAGTTTAGAAAGGGCATTGATAAGCTTGAGGGCATCTGGGATGGTGAAGAACCAGTGCCTGGCAATAGATGGTTATTGATTGACTGACTATTTGGTTGAGGTAATGCCCTATAAGAATAGGTTGAAGGAAATGGGGACAGAGAAAGATTTAGGGCAACATTGTAGGTATCTTCAAGTTTTTAAAGGACCCTCATGTGGAAGGAGGCAATATGGCATAGTGGATAGAGAGCTAGCCTTAAAGCTAGAAAGACCTGGGTTCCCACCTCTGATTCCTACTGGCTCTGTGACCCCAGCAAGTCATTTATGTCCAGTGCTTTTGGCAAAACCCAGATTCTTAACCTCTGTTGTGTGCTATGGATTCCTTTGGCTGGATGGGGAAGCTCTTCACCCACCTCAGGTTAAGAACCCTGGCTCAAAGATTCTAAGGTGCTTCCCTCTATCGATAGAGGATGTGTCCTCACCTGGGAGTTCTCTACAGCAATGAAAGCACAGGTCCAGCCCGGCCTATCCCTAGAGGGTTCACACCTATTCTGCCTAGCCCCAGAGGGCTGAACTGGTAGTGGTCAGTGGAAGTTGCTGAGAGGCAGATATAAGGGAGCTAAGAACCTTCCCAGAAATGAGAGCCGTTCAGAGGTGGGATGAGCTCCCTCAGGCAGTGGGCTCCCCCTGACTCCTCACAGAAGCTTTGGAAGGTGGTGGGTGCTGTCAAGGGGATTCCTAGGTCCGACTGGCTGGTCTCAGAGATTCAGTGAGCCACGTGACGAAGCCTCAGGCTGGCTCTTTGATCACATAAAGGGACAGGAGAGACTCAGAGGCCACAGATGGCCACCCCCGTGCCCTCTTGTCCCGTCTCAGCTCTCCATGCCACAGTGGGCACAGTTGTGGTTTTTCTCATTTTCCAGGCAGCATGGGTGCTACTCCATTCAAGAGCCACCTGCTATGTACCAGCCACTGGGGATAAAATAGTGAAATAACCCTGGCCTGAGCTCACATTCTACTCAGGGGGTACAACACAGAGCCACAGAATTTGGGATTGGGAAGGGCCCTCAGTAACCATCTAGTCTAACTCATACACTAAAAGAATTCCCCTGTAATACACCTGACAAGTGGTTATCCAGCTGCGTGTGCGATGATAAGTAAAAACAAAGTAATTTGATAAGAGAGAAGGCACTGAATTGGGGAGAGGGGGGATCAGGCCACTTACCTGGGTGACCTTGGGTGAGTCATTAACCCCTCTAATTCTTTATCTGTAAAATGAGGGGGTCAAGTCCTTCCCAACTCTAAGAGCCTGTGATGTTGGCCAACTCACTTAATTTTTCTGTGCCTCAGTTTCCTCATTTGCAAAATGAAAGGGTTGGACTCAATGACCAGCTTAGCTCCCTTCCAGCTGTACATCTATGAGCCATCTGGGCACCTGGAGGCAGGGTCACAACCTATTGGGGGCTCTCTCCCACCCAGCCCCAGACACACAGGTCCTGCCTTCTGAGAGCCTTCTGGGACATAGAGGGTACTTGTTCCCTGGGGGGCCCAGGGCCCCGCCCCCTGGCCATCCAGAACAGCTGGTCCCTTCAGCCCTAGATCTATGATCCTTAGGACTGAGGGCATCATGGAGGTGGCGGTCTGGCCTGGGCAGCTCTGGCAGCATCTGTTCTAGGGGACTGGGCACCTCAGGGGAGAAAAGAGGTGGGATCTGGAAGTAGGGGCGCTGTGCTCTCTGCACAGATAGAGCTGCAGAGTCCAGAAGCTGCTTGGCTCTTGATGGCGAGCAGACTGTGGCGTGTCTACCCTGACCAGTGCTAATGCCAGTTTTTCGCCCACAGGACAGAGTTACACTTCAACCACCTGGCTGAGAACAATGTGTTTGGGATCATGCCCTTGTCCAAGGTGAGGTGGCCCCAGGGGCTCGTGTGGCCCGGCTTGATTAGGCGTGTGGGAGTCATATTTGATGACCTCTGAACTGTTTTGGTCAAGTTACTTTAATTTTTCTGGGCCTCAGTTTCCTTGTTTTTAAAATAAGGGGGTCCTGCCTAGATGTCACTTGGGAACCTGGCCCAAGCGTAGTCACTCTGTTCTAAACTGGAGCCATTGGCCTTCTTGCCCTTTCAAGCCAGATTTTCAAGCTGGGCCCTCCCTAGGAGAAGGGACGGGGGTCTTCCCTGCCACACCTTGGTGAGGAAGGCCCACTTCCATTCTGCACTGCCACGGCCCCGGTGCCAACAAGCCTGGTCACTCCCCTACAGCCCGAGGAGAAGCAGAAGGCCGCCCAGCAGTTCGGTAAGCTGCAGGCTGCCATGAAGGTTCTGGGCATCTCCCCTGATGAGCAGAAGGCCTGTTGGTTCATCCTGGCTGCCATCTACCACCTGGGGGCTGCAGGTGCCACCAAAGGTAAATGACCATTGTCAAAGCTGACCTTGCTCGGGTGGGACAGCCATAAGCCCAAGACCCGAGGGCCCTGGTTCCATCCAGGGATCACCGGAAGTTTTAAGAGATGCCATGGACTTGGAGTCAGAAAGCTCAGGCCTGACCCTTACTAGCCATGTGACCCTGGGCAAATCCCTGCCTGTCTCTTGGCCTCAGTGTCCTCACATGTAAAACGAGGGGGTGGGGCTAGAGGTCCTCTGAGAGCCGTTCTGGTTCGGACTCTATGATCCTAAGTCACTTAACCTCTCTGGGCCTCAGTTTCCTCATCTGTAAAATAAGGGGGTTGGGCTTGCTGACCTTTTAGGCCCCTTACACCTCTGAATCTATGAGCCATCTGGACATTCTGAATCAAGGTCATGACCTGTTGGGAGCTCTTCCCCCATCCCACCTGAGGCACACTGACGGTCTTACCTTCCAAGAGTCCCCTGGGACCCCAGGACACTTGTTCACTGGGAGACCCTGGCCATAGGGGCCGTGTCACCACCTCATCATGGTGGGTGGTGACCCTGAGCTCTCAGAATGTCTGCCAGCAGAACTCAGACTCAGGAAGGGCATTGAGCCTGGCTCTGTCGCCTTGGCTTCAGCTTGGCTAAGCTCGAAAAGTCTTATGGACAGACCAGCCACAGAGAGATGGATTTATAAACCACGATCACTCTCCTACAGGTAGCATGGCATCTCCAATAATGGATTCATACGTGGAGTCAGAAAGACTTGGGTTCCATCCCCACCTAACTAGCTGTGTGGCCCTGGGCAACTCACTTAACCTCTCTGTTGTTTCTCCATCTGTAAAAGCAGATGACCTCAGAGGTCCATTCCAGCGCTAGGTCTGTGATAACTGTGATTCTGCCTTTTTGGGCCTCAGTTCCCTTGTCTGTAAAATGGGGGGGGGGTTGGACCAGAAGGCCCCTTCTAGCTCTAAATCTGAAAATGTCTTTGATCAAAGAGGGCATGACTGTGTCAGTGATCTGGGCTCTCAGGCTGAAACTCTAAGCCCTCCTCTGAAGGGCTCAGTTAGGCAGTAAATGTTCATTCAGTGCCTGCTCTGTGCCAGGTACTGTGCCCACCACCTAATGGGGGAGAGAGCATGGCGACAACTATGTGCAGACAAGCTAGAGACAGGATGGCTTGGAGATCCCCAACGAGGAAGCCACCAGAATTAAGGGGGATCAGGAAGGGCTTCCTGCAGAAAGTAGGATTTTAGCTGGGACTTGGAGAAGGCCAGGGAGGCCCCGTCACCGGATTGCCTGGGATCTGGTGGGATTGTGAGGTATGAGAAGATTGGCAGGCAGAGAGCTTGTGAAGGGCTTTGAACGCCAAACGGGGTTTGTGATGGATCCTGGAGGTGAGAGATGGCCACTGGTGATTCTTGAGTAGGGGGTAACATGGTCAGACATGGTCAGTTTGACAGTTGGGTTGAGGGTAGACCAGAACAGGGAGACCCCCCGAAAGGCTACTGCAGTCGCCTTCAGCAAGGGGGTAACAATGTCAGTAGAAAGAAGGGGGTGATTTTACAAGGCCTGGGCACGGATTGGATATGGGAGGAGAGGAGGGTGGTGAGAGAGTGAGGAGAGGATGACGCCTAGGTTGTCAGCCTGGTGACTGGGAGAACAGCCGTGCCCTCAACAGCGACAGAGGAATTAGAAAGGAGGGTTTGGTGGAAAAGATGAGTTCACTTTCGGATATGGCAAGTTTAAGGTGTCCGCTGATAATTCAGTTCAAGATGTCTGAAAGGCCATTGGAGATGAGAGACGGGAGGTCAGCAGAGAAATTAGGGCTGAATGAGTTGATTTGAGAATCATCAGCATAGAGATGGTCATTAAATCCATGGGACCCGATGAGATCACTGATTGATATTGTGTAAAGGGAGAGGAGGGCCCGGGACAGAACCCTATGGGGCACCCACAGTTCGTAGGCCTGACCTGGATGAAGATCCAGCAAAGGTGACTGAGAAGAAATGGGCGGATAGGGAGGAGGAGGAGAGATGAATGTCCTGGTCGGGGCTTGGGATATGAGGAAGGAGGAGGGGGATTTAGGGGACCCCGCCCCTTATGAATAACTCTCATTCCTATTCCCTTCCACACAGCGCCCCTTGAGGAACAATCTGGTAACTAAGCCCCTGTAACCCTCCCATTGGGGATGAATGGTGCTTCCCCCCCTCCCCACTCCTGTGGGGGGGGAACGGTGCTCCCTCCCCGGTGTTCCCTCTCTTCTCACTCCGGGGTGCTGGGATTTGTCTGGCTCGGTGGATGGAGAAGGAAGCCGGCCTGGGCAGGATCTGCAGAGTCTGAGAGTTGGGGATAATCCAAGCAGTTAGGGGTCCTTGGGTGATGGGCCTTCGATGGTGCCCCGAACAGTTCTGTCTCTGTGCTGGCAGCTCCAGGCCTGCTCCTCTTGCCTCAGCTCATGGGGCTGGGCCATTTCCCATGGCCTAGATGTGATGGGTGTGCCCTCCTTAGCTCCTGGAAGCCACAGGCCGGCTTCCCCTAGGCCTCCCTTCTTTAGACCCCGCCCCCCTCCTCTGTCTCTTTCTTCTCTGTCTCTGCGTCTCTTTCTCTCTCTCTTTTTCTGTATTCCTCTCCTCTTTCTTCTCTCTACTCTTTCCTCCCTGTCTCTGTCTCTTTCTGTGTATCTCTCTGTCCCTGTCTCTCCTTCTCTCTCTGTTGCATGATGGGGTAGTGGGCACTAGGGGGCAGCAGGTGACAGGGCTGCACCTTTCTGTCTTTTTGCTTGGAGATTAAGGCATGGCTGAGATCATTCCATTTGTGGGGTGTGGAGGAAGGGGGGAGGTGTGCTCGATGCTGCCGAGGGGGCAGATACCTGTGGGGGGCTGGGGGGTTCTGGAAAGAAGTGGGGAGAGGCCCCTGCCCGCCTTCTGAGGCTTGCATCAATGAAGTCCCATTTGGAGGACCTAGGACCTTGGACAGCCCTTTCCCTTCTTGGACAAGGAGATTGGATTCTGGGTCTGGACATTGTGTCTCCTGCCCCCATCTCTTTAGGCAGGAGGACTGTTGAGCTGAAGAAGGTTGCAGTGCGTGCCTGACTGGGGGATCTGGCTCAGGGCTAGCCCCTTCTGTGGGTCCAGCTAGGAAAGGGGAGAAGTCAGTGCCTGGCTTTAAAATGTTGTCTCCAAAGTGTGTGGGTGTGAATACCTGTGAACACCCGTGAACACATGTGCCCCCAAGGAGGCCCCATTCTATTCAGGGCAGGCAGTGGGCAGTCCTGGAGGTCCTGTGCAGCCCCGCCTCCTTGGAGGGCTGTGTGTGTGTATGTGTGTGTGTGTGTGTGTGTGTGTGTGTGTGTGTGTGTGTGTGTGTGTTTGTGTGTGTTGCTGTACCTGTCACTGTCTCTGATTTTCTGGGTTGTACATTACCTGGGGGTGCAGATGTATGTCTGATAGAATTTCAGACCATGTTTTCCTTTGAGTCAGCTTCTGAGGCTGGGGAGCCCCACTGAGCCTTTGGCTTTGTGGGCACATCTGTTTGTATGTATATCTGTATATGTGTGTATTTGTGTGTGTGTATGTGCACATATGTGTATTTGCATGTGTGTATGTGTGCATGTTGTGTGTCTGGTCTCAGGCCTGCTCCCATCACATCCCTTTCCCCCCACCCCCTCCCTCTACCACCCCCCTCACCCACCAGGCTGTGTTTATAATTTTGTTTGCTAACAAACTGTTTTTCTTTGCATGCTGCATGCTGGCCCTTTGCCTTACAGAAGCTGCTGAAGGTAAAACCTTGTTTCTCGTTAGCTTTCTTTAATTACCATGATTAGCCACATGTTGGCTGAGACGTGTGTCTGCGTGGGCCGCTCCCCACAGCTCCCTCTGGGCGGTGGGGGTACACGCTTTAGGCCTCCTTCCCTGCTCTCCCCCAGCAGCTGGTAAGGTGCCTCTGTGTGGGGGAGGAAGGTGGGAAACGGGGAGATGAACCCCCCAGGCCCTGGCAGAGATGGGCACCCTCTACTCCCCAGGCAGGCAGCTCTGGTGCCAGACCCATGTTTGGAGGGAGCTTAGAGAGCCCTGCTGGGGGCATAGATGCTTGCTGGCTCTCTGCTTGGAGATTAAGGCCTGGCTGAGATGGATCACCTGGGGGTGGGGCACAGGTGTGCTGTCCTGTGGAGGCCGCGGGTGGCAGTCACCCATCTCCTCTTCTCGCACCTGCCTCTTGTCTGTCACACTCACCTCTGGGGGGAAATGAGGGGCTCTGGAGGGTCTTGGGCCATCTGAGCTCCCTGGGCATCCCCAAGGTGTGCCCTTGGGTCATCAGAAGCTGCGGCCCTGCCGAGCTTCGGGGCCCCCCACCCTGAAGCGTGGCACATGGAGGCTGCAGGACACTCGGTCACCAGAGGGTGGGAGGAGTCTCTCCTGAGATGTCTTCTGCTCCTTTCCACAGCTGGGCGCAAGCAGTTTGCCCGCCACGAGTGGGCGCAAAAGGCAGCCTATCTGCTGGGATGTAGCCTGGAAGAACTCTCGTCCGCCATCTTCAAGCACCAGCCCAAGGGCTCCCTCCAGCGCTCCACCTCCTTCCGCCAGGGCCCTGAGGAGAACAGCTCAGGAGATGCTACAGGTATTGTTGGTCCCCTTCCCCATTACCGGGGTGCCAGCCATCAGCTGTGTGGCTACATGCAAGCCTCAGTCTCCTTGTCTCTAAAATGGGGCTAGTCATCCCAAGAGAGAGGCAGTATGGTGTAGTGAGTATGCATCTTTGCTGTCATAGCGCTTGTCCCAAGTTGACCAGGCGCCACTGAGCCAGGAGGTCCCTGACTTGTGCCTTTGGCTTATCTGAAGGAGCAAATGGTGTAATGAACTGAAATCTGCCTTTGGGGTCAGCAGGACCTGGGTTCTGGTCCTGCCTCTGACACAGACTGGCTGTGTGACCTTGGGTGAGTCACTCAAGGCAACTCTCCAAGTTAAAGTCGCAGAGTCTGGTGCCAATCTGCATTGGTAGAGAGAATTTCCATGCTGAGAGCTGGTACCAATGACACCACAGACTCAGTAACTCTCTCCCAGTGTCACTGTAAGCTCAAATGACATGCCTTCCACAAAGGGCTTTGTAAACCTTAAAACACTGCATGCGTAAGTGTTCCCTGGTTCTCTCTGTCATCTGCGTTAGGTAAATCGATGTGAGCCAATTCACTCTGGCAACACGGCCCATTTCCCTGGCTAGGTGTAGCCATTCATCTAACACCAGCATGGCCCTGAAAACAAGCACAAGGTGTTGGGGATGTGGGAGGGCAGGGACTGTGCCTGAGCCCTGCGGGCTGGCCAGGGCTTCCCAATGGGGATGCTGGGAGGAGACCAAGGTGCATGGATTTCCCCACAGGCTCCAAGCTGAGCGCCCTCGAGTGTGTGGAAGGCATGGCCGCGGGTCTCTACTCTGAGCTCTTCACTCTTCTTGTCTCCCTGGTGAACAGGTATGTACCTGGCTTAGGGCCAGGGTCCGTGAGGCCCCCACCTGCCCAACAGAGGTTTTGAAACCATCCCTGATTCCCTCTTGGCAGTGCAGTGCACCCCTCCCACCAGCAGAGGGAAGAAGACTGGGGCTTGAGCTGAGACTCAGGGGAGGGAGATGCAGGGGGCAGAGAGGAGTGGTGATGGGGGACATATGTTAGGGGAGGGGGTGTGGGACACTGGCAGGAAGGTCCTCCAGTAGGGCAGCTTCTCAGTGCTTCAGTTTTATCAGTAAAATGTGGGAGTTGGACTTGAAGACCTCCAGGGTCCCCTCCAGCTCTGACTCTATGACCCAGGGACCTCCAGGGTCCCCTCCAGCTCTGACTCTATGACCCAGGGACCTCCAGGGTCCCCTCCAGCTCTGACTCTATGACCCTATGACCTCCGGGGTCCCCTCCACCTCTGACTTTATGACCCAGTGACCTCCAGGGTCCCCTCCACTTCTGATTCTGTGACCCAATGACCTCTAGGGTCCCCTCCAGCTTCTATGACCCAATGACTCAGGTACCTCTAAGACAGAGATTCTTAACCTGGGATTTGTGGACTTGTTTTTCTTTGTAAGATTTTGATAAGCATATTTCGATGTAAGTGGCTTCCTTTGTAATGCTCCGTGTTTTATATTGTGCATTTCCACACCCAATTCTGAGAAGGGTCCATAGGCCTCTATCAGCTGCCAAGGGGATTGAGGACATAGAAGAGGCAGAGGCCCCTTGTGAGCCTGGGAGCTGATCCTCCTTCCCTGGAGGACACAGGGCATTTTGGAAAGGAGTTCAGAAGCCTCATGGTCCTGGCTCCATGAGGGAGGGAAGCCCCTTGGTGGGCACTGGGCCTGGCAGGTGCTGCTGCCCCTTACCCTGCCTCCCATTCTCCCCCTGAAGGGCCCTCAAGTCCAGCCAGCATTCCCTCTGCTCCATCATGATCGTGGACACTCCTGGCTTCCAAAATCCAGACCTGGGGGGCTCGACCCGAGGAGCCTCCTTTGAAGAACTGTGCCACAATTACACCCAGGACCGGCTCCAGACCCTCTTCCACGAAAGGACCTTTGTGCAGGAGCTGGACAGATACAAGGAGGTAGGCTCCTCCCCAGCCCTGCTCACCTCGGCTGGCAAACCTCCCTGAGAAGGCTGGCCTACGACCCGATGTGGGCATGGGGGGCGTCCATACGGGGCTTGCTGCCTTGTCCCTCACTATCGGTGTTGCCGCCCTTCCTAGGAGAACGTCGAGTTGGCGTTCGATGACGTAGAGCCTGGGGCAGTTGACTCTGTAGCTGTTGTGGACCAAGCATCCCACCAAGCCCTGGTAAGCATTCCTGCGGTGGGGCTGGCCCTCGTCTTCCCAATTCTCATTTCTCTTCCTCTCCTTCCCTTCCATTATTGAAAGTTCGGTTCTGCAAACACTGATTCATGCATCCTACGCTTATCCCTTTCTCTGCCTCAGTTTCCTTCTCTGTAAAATGAGGAGATATAGGACTAGATGGTCTCTGAGGAGCCTTCTGGCTCTAGGTCTGTGAGCTTGGACAGAGACAGTGTGGTTCAATGGCCAGGGTGCTAGATCTGGCGTCAGAGGACCTGGGTTCGAATCCTAGCCCTGCCTCTTACTCCCTGGGGGAGTTACAGCTCCTCCTGGGCCTTGGTCTCCTAACTGTGAGATGTGCTGGTTGGACTAGATAATAATAGTAGTATAATAAAAACTAGCACTAATATAGCGCTTTAAAGTTGTGAAACACCAAGTGTATATGACCTTGTTTCAGCCTCACAACAGGGAGGGAGGCCGGTCCTGTTATTATCCCCATTTTACAGAGAAGGAGACTGAGGTACAGAGATGTTGTGTGACCTGCTCTGGGTCCCATAGGTAGTAGGTGTCTGAGGCAGGATTTGAATTCAGGTCTTCCTCACTCCCAGTCCAGCTTCTCCTTACTAACTGATCTGGGTACCTATGATCTCTAAGGGTCCTTCCCTCTCTAAACCCTGGGTTCTTATGACTTACAGACCCACCCAGACCCACACACATCTGTGTGCAGGCAAGGGGAGAGCCCAAGGGGCAGGGGCCCGGCTTGCTACCTCACCAGCTTTGGGCCCGAATTGGACCCCATGGCTGCTGTGGAGAGCATACGACCTGGAAATGCAGACTGGGAGAGAGAGACCCGCCCTCCCCTGGAGGGTCTTAAGGGGCCTCATGGTTCGAGCATCAGATTCTGTTACCCGCAGGAACCTGCCCAGGGATGGGGTGGCTTTCCATTCTAGCTGGGCATTTCCCTAAGCCATCTGGGCAGTAACCGGTCACCCACGGCTGAAGGGTTTTGTGGTCAGAGATAGAGGGGTTGGCATGGGGGGGACAGTAAACTGGGGAGGCTTCTTTGATTCCCCCACTAGTGGCAAAGACCCCCGAAAGCCATGCTGATTGGCTGGCTCTAACGAGTGCCTGCTATTTGCCCTTAGTTAGGCAAATTGCATAAGAGGGTTTATTAGAAAATTGACATTGATGTCAGGTTGCTGATTTCCCTCCCTAGCTTTGATCCCTGTCACCCACTTCCAGCCACTCTCCTGGGAATGGGCTTTGTACAGCTGGCCCCAGGGGTGGAGACAGGGAGATGGCTGCCGTCGCCCATGTGTGGGAACGCTGTCAACACCTAGGTCCAGTGGCTTTTGGGGGAGGTCCATCTGGCTTTATCCTGATCTTGGGGCACACATCTTAGAGAGCTCCAGGTAGTCCCAGAAAGGATTATTGAAAGTGCTAGAGACACCCAGGAGTAGATCAGGTTGCTGTGGGCAGGGTTCAGGCCATCCCTCATTGATACAGTGGGGGCCAAGCATCAAGACTCGACGTCCATAATAGACTCCACTCCCCCCATTAAGGATTCCGGCTTGCAAGGGAGAGCCAGGCACCCACTTGTCATTCTAATGGACTGACTCTGTGTTCCTGAGGCCCAGCCCAATCTGTCATGGTACCCTAATCACCCATCAGGCCTCAGCCTTGTTCTGCCAGGGTCTCTCTTTTGTCCTTTTAGTGATAATGACTCGGGCAGCACCAGGAGAAGGTGTGAGCAGCCAGAACAGAGGGGAGGGAAAACAGAGGGGAGAATCGAGGAGGCAGAGGGGAAAGGAGCACTCTGTCTCTCTCCTCTGTCTCAGAGCCAGGTCATTCGGGGACCATGCTAATGGGAAGGGGGAAGAGAAATGAAGCAGCTTCTTTCGGGTCAATCAATTGGCAGGCACTTATTATTAAGCGCCTACTGTATACCAGATACTATGCCAGTCTGTTATAAGGAAGGCCCAGGAGTTCCTTGGAACCCATCCCAGAGAAGTCATAGGGTCCCAGATCTAGATCTAGCAAGGACTTCAGCAGCCATTGATTCCAACCCCCTCATTTTACAGATGAGGAAACTGAGGCCAGATGGGCTAAGTGACTCAGGATCATAGATGTAGAGCTGGAAGTGAGCTCGAAGGCCTCCTAGTCTCTCATGTTACAGAAGAGGAAACTGAGGCTCAGATGGGCTAAGTGACTCAGGATCATAGATGTAGAGCTGGAAGTCAGCTCGAAGGCCTCCTAGTCTCTCATGTTACAGAAGAGGAAAATGAGGCCCGGATGGGCTAAGTGACTCAGGATCATAGATAGAGAGCTGGAAGTCAGCTCGAAGGCCTCCTAGTCTCTCATGTTACAGAAGAGGAAACTGAGGCCCGGATGGGCTAAGTGACTCAGGATCATAGATAGAGAGTTGGAAGTGAGCTCGAAGGCCTCCTAGTCTCTCATGTTACAGAAGAGGAAACTGAGGCCCGGATGGGCTAAGTGACTCAGGATCATAGATAGAGAGCTGGAAGTGAGCTCAAAGGCCTCCTAGTCTCTCATGTTACAGATGAGGAAACTGAGGCCCAGGTGAAGCCCAAGGTACATAAATGTCAGAGGTGGGATTTGAACCCAGGTCAACCAGAGCCAGTGTTTTTTCCCCTGTACCATGCCTCCTCCTTCCTCTCTCCCTGTGACCTCCATCTGACCCCATCCTGGGCAATTTCTTACAATTCCAAGTAATGAGGGCCAATGTCCCCTTTCAGGTGCGATCCCTGGCCCGGCCAGATGAGGCTCGGGGCCTTCTGTGGCTGTTGGAAGAGGAGGCGGTGGTACCAGGCGGCACCGAAGAGGCCCTGCTAGAGCGGCTTTTCTCTTACTACGGCCCCCAGGATGGCGACAAGAAAGGTGGGTGGAACTGCACCCCGTACCTCTGGGAGGGTAACTGATCCTCTCACCCTCCATGGTGAGCTACCTAGCTTTGCCCAGCATTATCTCTGGATGCGTAGGCCCTTGAGCCCCAGGGGTTTCCTGCAGGGCAGTGCCACCCTGAATCCATTGGGCATTTTGTCTCTGTGCCTAGCCCCTTGGGGAATTCTTTTTTTTTTTTAATTTAGTATCTGATTTTTCCCCAATTACATGTAAAAACAATTTTCCTACATTTGTTTTTAAAATTAAGTTCCCGATTCTCTCCTACTCTCCCAACGCCCCCTCACTGAGAAGGCAAGCAATTTGATACAGGTTATACACATGTAGTCATGCAAAATGCAATTCCATATTAGTCATGTTGACAAAGAAAACATAGACCAAAATAAAAACCCAAGAAAAACAAAGCAAAAAGAGTATGTTTGGATCTGTGTTCAGACTCCATCAGTTTTTTCTCTGGGAATGGATGGCATTTTTTCATCATAAGTCCTTCCGAGTTCTCTTGGATCATGGAATTGCTGAGAAGGGCTACGTCATTCACAGTTGATCATCGTTACAATGTGGCTGGTACCGTATACAGTGCTCTCCTGGTTCTGCTCATTTAACTTTGCATCAGTTCATACAAGTCTTCAGGCTTTTCTGAGAGCATTGAGCTCACCATTTCTTAGGGCACATTAGTACTCCATCACAATCATATACCACAAATTGCTCTGCCATTCCCCAGTTGATGAGCATCCCCTCAGTTTCTGATTCTTTACCACCGTTGGGGAATTCTTCCCCCCAACCTCTAGAGTTGGTCCCTGAGCACTTCTCTTTCTTCCCTCTAGGACAGAGCCCCCTTCTTCGCAGCAGCAAGCCTCACCACTTCCTCCTGGGCCACAGCCACAACACCAACTGGGTGGAGTACAACGTGGAAGGCTGGCGGAACCATGCCAAGCAGAACCCAGCCACACAGAACGCCCCACGGCTGCTGCAGGACTCTCAGAAGTACGTCCCCCTGACCTTGTGGCTCCATGTAGGGCCATGGGCTCACCCGGGGGCATGGCAAAGCATGCCCGGAGCTTCTCTTCCCGTGGGGCACCCCAGACGTCAGTGGGATGGGTCATTCTGCTTCCTACCGTGCCTGGCACACAGTAAGCACTTAAAAAATGTTTGTTACCTTTGTTACTGGCTCCCGAGTGGCAGCAGGAGAAGTTAGTGCCAACCGCAGATGATTCGGAAGGCTTCATGCTTAGCCTCGCCACAGAGGAAGCCACTGGAGGCCTGTGAAATTTAAGTTCTCTGTTTAAGGATCGAGGGGTCCGTGGTTCGAATCTCTCCCCAGAGCTGGGATCTTGCAGCACCACCTCTCCCCCGTCCCACACAATTCCTTCTTAACCAGGAGCCCTCCAGGATTTGGTGGATGGATTTCACAGGGTTCCATGGAGTGGGATGGGAAAACAATGACTTCTACGTTTTCACTAACTTTCACTGATTTAGCATGCCCTTCCATTATATAGAAGCATTATCCTGAGAAAGGGTCCATGGGCTTTCCTGGACTGCCCCAGGGTCTGTGTTACAAAAGGGGTATGAGAGAACTGATAGAAGGTGAGGGAAAGGGAGCAAGCATTTATACGACACCTGCTGTGTGCCAAGGACCATGTTAAGTGCTTTGCAGTTATCTCGTTTGATCCTTACAACAATCCTGGGAAGTAGGTGCTAGTATTATCCCCATTTTACAGTTGGGGAAACAAATAGGGTTAAGTGACTTGCCCAGGGTCACACAGTTAATAAGTGTCTGGGGTTGGATCTGAACTCAGGGCTTCCTGACTCTAGGCCAAGGGCTCGATCTCCTGTATCTATCACCAGCCGCCTCTGACCTGGATGGGCATGGCCTGATGGGAATTGGTGCGGCGTAAATATCCCTCAAATTATAATTCCAGCATCTCTGACTCAGCTCCTCCTGTGGGCAGGGGTTCCGGGTCCCATGGGTCACCTCACTCTCTGTGTAGGTTCTATAGATGGTTCTACTTTGCTTTCCTTTCCAAAATCCTAAGGAGAGAAAGTATCATAAGAGGCATTAGATTGGGACTGTGGGAGACCTGGGTTCTAATCCTGCCTCAGACACTTACTAGCTTTGTGACCCTGGACAAATCACTTCTCCTCTATTTGCCTCAGTTTCCTTATTTGTAAAATGGCCTCAGAGGCCCCTTCCGGCTGTAAATCTGTGTGCCTGAGATAATTAAATACATTGAATAAAAAGCTTTCCTAGGGGGGCCTGTGATAGGTCTTGTGGCCACTTTTTTTTGGCATCAACAATAGAGAAGTGAAGAGGTATTTGTTAAGCAATTATTCTGTGCCAAGTGCTAGCAGGTGGGGTTTGGGATGGGGACTGCACCAGTCATTTATTTCACTAGTTTAGAGACCTCCCTGGGGAAGAAGCTCCCTCTACAAATCCACTCCCCTGCAATTTATGGTCATGGAGAATATAGTCCCAGAGCATTGAGAGGTTAAGTGAGTTGCTCTCAGTGCCCAGTGGCACCTGTGTCAGAGATGGGACTTGAACCCAGGTCTTCTCGGCTCTCTGGACACTGTGCTGTACAAATGCAGAAGCAAAGAGAGACTCTGCCCTCTGGGAGCTTCCATTCTAACAGGGGGTGGTAGCCGGGGATGGACACTTCGGTCCTGAAAGTTCCCCATGGCAGGCAGGGATTGAGGAGCAGGTTTGCACAACCCATGCAGGAACAGTGACAGAGCTGATTCGGTGATGTGACGGGTAGTGCTTGGTGGTGGTGGTGGGAGGGGGTGGTTCCCGAGTTGTCTTCCTATACGGAGGGTAGACATGGCTCTCCCTCCAAGCCAGACTGGCTTACTTGCTCTTCTTCATGCATCACATTACATCTCCTGCCTTTGCACCTTCCCCTGTGTCTTAGAATGCTCTCTTTCCTCCCTTCCACCTCTCACCGTCCCTTGTTCCCCGTTAAGGTTCTGGCCAACCACCATTCCTAGGTGAGGCCTTTCCCAATCCCCACCCCTGGCCCCCCACCATATATTAGTGTTCTCCCCCATCCCCCAAATTGCTCTTTATTTGCACTGGAAGCATATCATATGTGTTTTCCCTGTGCATCTTGTTTCCTCCCGGTGGAACATAAGCCCCTGAACCATTGGTCTGTGTCTCCCCCATGCCTTGGCTAGCGCCTGGCACTGGAGCCCTGATGCTTGACCGCCTCTCCCCTGTATCTGTCAGGAAGATCATCAGTAACCTATTTGTGGGCCGGGCCGGCAGCACCATGGTGCTGTCGGGCTCCATCGCGGGCCTGGAAGGAGGTTCTCAGCTGGCGCTTCGCAGGGCCACTAGCATGCGAAAGACGTTCACCACCGGCGTGGCCGCCGTCAAGAAGAAGTCTGTCTGTATCCAGATCAAGCTTCAGGTGGTGAGTGTGCCCTAGGGCTTTGGTCTTGGCCACTGTCCTCCTCTTTCTCCTCCTCCTCCTCCCCCCTCCCCTGTCAGCCAAGCATCCACCCAGGAGTGACAGGGGCCTGAGGCCGTCTCGAAGCAGAGGCTCACCAGTGTGACTGGGTCACTCCCCTGCTCAACATACTCCTATGGCTCCCTATTGCCTCTAGGATCAAAGATAAACTTCTCTGCTTGGCATTTAAAGCCCTTCACAACCTGTCCCCAGCTGACCTGCCCAGGCCATTATACTCTCCGTCATGCGGCCTGAGGTACAACCAGAGTGGCCTTCTTGCTATCTTCACACGTGATGCCTGGTTTCCTGCCCTCATGCCTTTGCATGGGCTCTCTGTGTGGCCTGGAACACGCTCCTCCTCATCTCTGACTCTTTCAGAGCTCAGCTCGAGCTCCACTGTCTATTTCCATAGGCTCACTGAGCCAGAGAAGGCCTCTAGTCGAACCCCCTCGCTTTACAGATGAAGGCCCGGGGAGCCTTGCCCAAGGCCGCACAGGTAGTAAGCCTCAGAGGCAGGATTCGAGCCCAGGTCCTCTGACTCTACAATACCTCCCATAAGACCTTTCCTGATGCTCCACCCTGCCTCAGCCAGCTCCTCTCCCCACAATGTTAGCATGTATTTACTTTGCTTATGCTTTGTATCATATGCTTAGATAGAATATAAGCTCCTTGGGGGCAGGGACTGTTTCATTTTTGTCTTTGCATCTGAAGTGTTTGGCATAGGGTTTAGTGTATAGAAGGCGCTTAATGAATGCTGGTGATTTGATTGATTGAAGCTGTGTCCCAATAGCTGCCTTTTGAGGACATGACCAAAGCATCTGCTGTCCTCCACGGGGTAGAGTCTAAGCAAGCTGGGGGCAGGACTGGTCAGTGGCAAGGTCCCAGCAGCATGGCGCTAGGAGGCAAGGAGCTTAGCTTGTTTCCTGCCTTAGCATCTCCTAGCCACCTATTCTGGGGGCAAGTTACTGAGTCCTTTCTAGGCCTCAGTTTCCTCATCTGTAAAATGGAGCATAATCATAGCTATCCTTCCTCCCACCTGGGGTTGTTTTGAGAATCAAAATGCGATAATGGGTGTAGGAGTGCTTTGCAGGCCATAAATCACAATATATTGAACTTTTAAATCTTGTTTTCATTCATTTTTTTTTGTTTCCAAATATCCAGATATCATTTCCAAATACATTTCTCACCCTCTCCTGCCTGCTGAGCCAGTCTCTCATAAAGACGATTTTAAAAGAAAGATGGAAAAAAAATAACATTTCAGCAAAACTAATCAGCACATTAATTATGCCTGATGGTATATGCCCCATTCCATAGCCATGGTCCCCTACCTCTGCAAAGAGGGGACAGTGAGCAATCTTCTTGACTCTTTTCATTTCATTTTATTTTATTTTATTTTGTCTAGGCAGTGGGGTTAAGTGACTTGCCCAGGGTCACACAGCTTAGTAAGTGTTATGTGTCTGAGGCTGGATTTGAACTTGGGTCCTTCTGACTCCAGGGCTGGTGCTCTATCCACTGTACCACCTAGCTGCCCCCCTTTATTTGTTTTGGTTTTTTTGTCAAAATTCCCCTCTTTTTTTTTTTTTGTTATGCAGTGGGGTTAAGTGACTTGCCTAGGGTCTCACAGCTAGTGAGTGTTATGTGTCTAAGGCCAGGTTTTGAACTCGGATCCTTCTGACTCCAGGGCTGGTGCTCTATCTACTGTGCCACCTAGCTGCCCCTTCTCGACTCTTTTTGGGGGACCAGGTTTCATCCTTAGAGTCGTTATGTAGTGTGCTGTTACATTTTTTTAATTCTATCTGTCTACATGGTTGGTGTTGCTGTGTGGTTTCTGCTTGCTTTCCCCTACAGCAGTTCAAATAGGTCTTTCCGTACTTTTCTCTATTTTTCCAAGTCCTCATTTCTTACAGCACAGTAACAGTTCCATTATTTTCCTGTGCCACAATCTGTATGGCCCCCAGGTGATGGGCACCTGCTTTGTTTCCAGTTCTCCATGACTAAGTGCTGGGACTACAGATAGAAAATCGAGGCAGTCCCCATGCTCAAGGAGGTCACATTTTAATTGGGGGAGGCAGCCCATAAAAGACTTGTGTTCACATTCACATTCGTGGCAGATGGAAAGGCCAGGAAGTATTTGGGCAGGGAAAGCAGTAGGGTAGATGCAAGGCCCCCGACGACCTGGAGGGGTAACGTCAGGGCGGATGGTCTTCAGCTGAGAGGATAGTAGCTCCAAGGGTCCAAGTAGGCTCTGTGATCTCTCCAGCAGACGTAGGAATATGGGACCCAAGATCCAGTTGTCAATGCCTGATGGGAGCTGGGCTGTGGGACATTGAAGACTTGTCTCCCCCATTAGATTGTAAGCTCCCTGAGGGCAAGGACTATCTTTTGCCTCTTTTTGTATCCCTGGTACTTAGCATAGTGCCTAGCACTCAGTAAATGTTGATTGATTGATTCTCCTGGACAAAGGCAGAATTTGGCAGTGACTCCTGAGGGTCACCCTCTCTCCTTCTCTCCTGCAGGATGCCCTCATTGACACTATCAGGAAATCAAAATTGCACTTCGTTCACTGTTTCCTGCCAGTGGCTGAGGGCTGGGCGGGTGAGCCCCGCTCAGCCTCTTCCCGCCGGGTGAGCAGCAGCAGCGAGCTGGACCTGCCTCCCGGGGAGCACTGTGAGGCTGGCCTCCTGCCGCTGGATATCCCCCTGCTGCGGGCCCAGATCCGTGGCTCTCGTCTTCTGGATGCCCTTCGCATGTATCGCCAAGGTAGGACCTTTGCTCTTCCTCCATTCTGTCCTCTCTCTGACACCTCCCTCCCCACCTGGCTTTTCCCCTCCCTCTTCCTTTCCCTTCTTTTATTTCCCTACCCTTCCTTCCTTGAGTCTCTCTCTTCTTCCCTCCCCTAGTCCTTGCTTTCCATCACTCTCTTCCCAGGGCCTGACTCTGCCTCCCTCCCATCCCTCGCCTACTTCTTGGTATCCTCCTTTCTTGTTTTTCCCTTCCCAATTTCTGTCCCTTCTTTCCCTCTTCCATTTCTCCTTCTCCCTGCCAGTTCTTTCTTCCTTCTCTCATGCTTGTCCTTGTCCATCCATGGTAGGTGGAAAGGCCAGGTAGTACTTAAATTCTGAGGGCCAATGGCAAGGCTCCAAGGACCTGGCGGGGCAATGTCAGGGTGGATGGTCTTCAGCTGAGAGGATAGTAGCTGCAAGGGTCAAAGTAGGCTCTGAGATCTCTCCAGCAGACGTAGGAATATGGGACCCAACATCCATTTGTCAACGTCTGATTGGGGAGCGATGTCAGGACAGATGGTCCTCTGCCAAGAGGATTGTGGGTTCAAGAGTTAGAGGTTTGGAAAGGAATTGGGCTCCGGGATATCTCCAGCAGAGGCAGAGATGTGGGGGAGCAGCGTGGGGCTGACAGTCAGCATCCTGCCCCTGGGGGATCCCTGGTGGCTCTCTCTCTTCCTCCTTCCTTTACGCCTCCCTTTCCCAGGTCATCCTTCCCCTGCTTCCTTATACCCCCTCCTTTCTTTTCTCTTTATCTTCCCAGGTCTTGTTTTTCTCTCCCCCGCTTCTCCCTATCCCTGTTTGTTCTCTTCTCTTCCATCTCTCTTTCCTTATCACCCCCCCCTCCTTCGTCGCTCCTGTTCCCTATTCCTGTCTCTCCCAGTGTAAAGGATCAACGTCATTCCAAAGCTGAGTAACTTCACTCTGGATTTCCAGTGACAATAGTTGACCCAACTAGGATACTGTGGATTGGGGCTATGGGTCAGTGGGTGTTGGTGGGTCAATTCTAGCAGAGAATAAGGGGGGAAAACCTGTCTCTAAATAATTAAAATTCTTAAGAAAGGTCAGGTAGATGCTACCCTGTTTAGTAATCCCTTGGAGTGGGGGGAGGGGTGGGGGGGGGAGAATGGAATGAGAGATGTCGTTTGTTTGAGGTGTTTTCCTTTTGCCTTTGCTCAGGTCTGAGTGGGCACGGGCAAGTAGGTCCCACACAGTCCGGGGCCAAGGTCATCCTTAGCCTTCTGACATCATAGGCTCAGAGCTGTAGAAGTAGAAGGACTTGTTTGAGGTCACGCAGCTAGTAACTTCACAAGCGGCCTTTGAACCCACTCACTCCGGGCCGAGGGAGGCGCGAGTGCGTCTTTCCACCATTCCATTCATAACCATTCTCAGCAACCTGGGCCTCAAGACAGGGACTCCCTTTACTGCTCTGAATAAATCATTGATCTGTCCCCATGTCTTGATATGGAGTTGGTGTTTATTATTTCAAAACCAGATTGTTACCGCGCTGAACCAAAATCAATGTACTTTACTCAAACGAGCAGGTCGATGAGGCTGGCGGCAAAGGGGGGCCTCCCTCCTCCTCCCCGGGCCTCGCGAACCATCCATCGTGCTGATGATTAATTAAGATGCCGGGCGTCTGCACCCGCTCTCCCAGCCCATCAATTTAATTGCAATTCAGATACAATCAATAGCTTGCTCCATCCTGGCCCCTCCAAGGACCCTGGCCTCCTGTTTCAGTTATCAGGCACATGCATGAGCTTCATTCCCAAGTTGGATGGTTGCCCAGAGCCAATTGTGAGCTCCAGGGTGGCTCACCTGCCTGCCTGTGCCCCTGCCCAACCCCCGTTGGCATCACGCTTGCAGGGTCCGGTTTCCTTCACACTCTTACGCCATTCTCCAGTCAGAACCAGTGGAGGTTCTTGGCTGTGTGACCTTGGACACCGGGTGTGACTTTTAGGGGTCATCTTGCCTCTAATTGGGGCTAACTCCTAAAAAGGAGGAAGAAAGTCCAGACCGATTCCTATGGACGAGTGTTCTACAACTTGTCTGGGTTGGCTAGGCTAGGAGCCCAAGCCTCCTGGGACAGTCTTTCCTACTGCACTGTAAGCTTACTTCCTCCTCGGTCCTTAATAAACATGGAAGGTAATGCATCAGAATCCCCCATTGCTTAACCTTAGATCCATGATGTTTTAAAAAAAAACATTTTTAATAGCTGTATTTTGATAGAATTGGTTTCCTTTGTCAGCATATGTATTTTATGCATTTAAAAGCATTGTTCGTGAGGGAGTTGGACTACGTGGCCTCAGAGGTCTCTTCCAGAGCACCTGTAAAGGCAGAGGTTCTGGGTTCAAATCTCACCCCTGGTACTTGACACCTCTTTGACCTTGGGTGAGTCTCTCCTTCACCTCCCAGGACCTCAGTGGAGGGCATAAGACTAGTTAGCCTCTGAGGGCCCTCTCGGCTCTAGGCCCATCTCCTCCCACATCAGGGCACTGCCTGTCCGGTGTGTTCCAGGCAGACATAACCTTGATGACAGTATGGCCCCTGTTCTCTTCTTCCATCTAGGGTATCCCGACCACATGGTGTTCTCGGAGTTCCGGCGACGTTTTGACGTCTTGGCGCCCCACCTCACCAAGAAGCATGGGCGCAACTATATAGTTGTGGATGAGAAAAGAGTATGGTGTTTTCCTCATTGTTTGTCCCCTTTAGGGGTGTCTCTGACACCCCGAGACTCACTTTCCTCCCCACAGGAGGGGGTCCTTCTGCTCATCTCGGGTCTTTGAAGGCACAGTAGGAGAGGCCCAAGATTCAGGCTAAGCATTTGGTTAGAGGCACTGGGAGTAGAATGGGAGAACCACATTGTCTCTGGTGAGCAGAGTGATGAGGTCGGCCGCTTTTCCTCTGAGATGTGGAGAACCCATCGAAAAGTGGTTTCTGTTCTCCCCAGTCAGAACCAGTATCTCCCATGTCCTGCTGATTGATAACTGGACTCTGTAGGCCTGCCCTGAACATCACTAGCCCTCATTTCTGTAGCAAGCAGGACAGTGGCATTCGGGCATCAGGCCTAGGGGAGAAAGTCTGATGCTTCGGGGCCTCTGACAAGGGCCTTTAGGGATGGTGAAATCGGAAACCCCCTCTGAAGGCCTAAGTTTGGGCTCAGGGTCTTGAAGTGACCAGCCACATGGAACAGATCAGATGCATGGGACAGGGGGAAGAGCACAGTGCCTGGCACACAGTAAGCGCTCAATAAATGCTTGTGACTGACTGACTCTGAAGTCAAATGACCGAGGTTCAAATCTTTCCTGTGATGCTTACTGTCTGTGATTCTGGGCCAGTTATTTAACTTCTCTGTGCCATAGTTTCCTCCTCTGTAAAATGAGATGTAAAATGAACTAGATGGTCTCTGAAATCCCTTTCAGCTGTAAATCATCCTGGCCATCCATCAGTCAGTCAGCAATCATTTACTAAATACCGACTGTGTGTCGGGCTCTGGGCTGTGTTGGGTGTACAAAGAAACGCAAAAGCCGTTCCTGCCCTCCAAGGAGCACCCGCCTCTTTCCAGGCCTGGGAGGCACCAGTGGGGGCTTCCCTGTGGCTGGCACCTTGCAGACTCTGATGGCCGACTTACCACAAAGGCCATCCTCTGGCTTTACTCTCCCTAAATGCATTGATGGGCCCTGGAGCACCTTGGCTGGGGAGGGAGGGGCCCCACGTTTAGATGACCAGAAGTCCCATCTCTCTGCTCTTAGTGCCTTCACGTGCTCCCCCCCCACTGCACTGCCTTCCTTTGCTGGCAGAGCCCCCTCCTTCCCAGAGTGGGGGTCGGGGTGCCCTGATAGCTCCCACCCTTTCTCTCTAGGCGGTGGAGGAATTGTTGGAGTCCTTGGACCTGGAGAAAAGCAGCTGCTACATGGGCCTGAGTCGGGTAAGCTGACCTTAGAAGCCTGATAAGATCCCTCACCCCCAGTGCTGTTCTCTCTGCCCTCCCTTCCTCCCCTTTAGCGCCTGCCTCGCCTGCAGCATCCCCCGCCCCTCACTCGCCCTGTCCTCAGGAGTGCCCAGGGAACAGCTTCCACGTCCTGCCCGTGTGATTCCTTCCTTGATTCTCAGCCGCGTGTGTCTGAATAACTGGATTATCTGGTGCCTTGAGAGCAGTCTGTGATGTCAGGCGGGAGTGGGCACAGGGTGACCTTGAACCTGGGCTGAGAAAGGAGGCAGAATATGAAGGAGAGGCTGGGCTCGGGAAGAGGGGAAGAGGGTGACAGCATGGTGCCCCAGAGGACAAAGCCCTCTTTGCCTGAGCTGGCTGGGCACCGTGGTTGCCGGGGTCCCACAAGCAGGCGGGACAGGAAGAAGCCTGTGCGGCCGCCTTCCCACAGGCTGAATTCCTCATGTGAATGGAACGTGTTGGATAAAAGGCCAGGCACACCCGCCCCCGGGTGCCAGTCTGCTGCCTTCCCTCCTCATCGGAGAACCAGCTGCCTGCCCCTTGCCTAGCACTGACCTGCCCATCGTCCTCCAAGTATGTGGGCCAGGGGGCTGGGGGCAGGAGGTGGAAAAGCCAGGAGCCGGAGGAAGAGGGGCCTAGGACCACCTTCCCAAGGCCCAGGAGGAAGAAACTCCTAACACTGGGGATCTGTCCAGAGCCGAGAGTGGCATTGAAAGGGGATAGTAATGAGGGAGCTTGGCAAAGGGGTTAGCTGTGTGCATGTGTGCGTGTGTGTGTTGAGGTGGGGGTGGGGTCCTTGCTCCAGTTTTTCTCTCTCACTATCCCTGTTTTAGTCCATCTTTCTTTCTTCTTGCCCTCTCTCTCTCTCCCTCCCTCTCTCTCTCTCCCTCCCTCCCTCTCTCTCTCTCTCTCTCTCTCTCTCTCTCTCTCTCTCTCTCTCTCTCTCTCTCTCTCTCTCTCTCTCTTTCTCTCTCTCTCTCTCTCTCTCTCTCTCTCATTTTTCCTGTTGGTGTCGTCCCCATCAGTCTCTTTCGCTTTCTGTCTTCATTGTTTTATGGTCTTTTCTTTCTGCTTTTCCACCTTATTCTCTCTCCTTCCCCTCTCTGTCATATTGCTCTCATTCTGTCTCTCTCTCTCTCATTGTTCCCTTTTTGCTCATTACGAGCGTCGTCTCTGGTTTTGTGTCTCCGTCTTGGCCTCCCCTCATTTTTTTTTGTTCTCTCTCACCCCCCTCCTCTTTCCCTCCCTCCTCAGTGTTCTTAGGTGTTCTTGGCATGAAGGATCTTGCTGAAATAATTTGGTTTTTCCTTGAAGTAGGTCATGCCCTCCCTATTCAGTGGTGATTCTCCTCAAATAGTGTAACGAGCAGGCTTGCTAAGATTCAAGGCTTGGCAGGAGGTGGGGGGAATGTTTCTGTGGTACCTTCTCCAGGTCAGGTAGTAGGTTTACAAGCATGTCCAAAGCATCGAGGCGCCTCCCCAGGCCGGCCCCCTTTTGGACCATCTTCTCGGGCTCCAGTGCTGCTCTTAGTCACGCTGACTCCTTTGGCTGAACAGTGCCTGTTCCTGCCCTCGGGCACAGCGAGAGGTCAGGGCTGGGATTTTCAGGGCTCTCATCATTTGGGGGTGAGTGATGTAGGCTTAATTTCGTTCCGCTTCCTAAATACCTCCTATATACAGAGACCTGCTGTGTCATAGTGGGCATGGGCTGGTAGGCATAGCATCAGTGCCACAAGTGGTCTGCGTGCGTGCCACTCCAGGGAAAGGGTTCCAGACCCCGTGGGCAGTCTAACAAAGCCAATGAACCTCTTCCCAGAACAATATTTAAGTGCATAAAATAAAATACATAGAATTACAAAGGAAACAAATTAGATCGAAATATAGTTATCAAAAAATTATTTTAAGTTCATGGATTCCTAAGTTAAAACCCTCTGCTTTACAGGTTCTAGGCTACTGGCCCCCATCTCTAAACCTGCCATCATTACATTTCCTGGCCTTAAGACTTGGGGTCTTTTCTGCTGTGTTTGTTCTTTCCTCCAGGGATTCCTCTCTCTCCCTCTCTCCTTCTCTCTCTCTCTCTCTCTCTCTCTCTCTCTCTCTCTCTCTCTCTCTCTCTCTCTCTCTCTCTCTCTCTCTCTCTCTCTCTCTCTCTCTCTCTCTCTTTCTCTCTCTCTCTCTTTATCTCTCTCTGTCTTTCTCTGTCTCCCTTTCTCTTTCTGTCTCTGTCTCTGTCTCTCTCTGTCTCTCAATATCTCTGTCTGTGTGTCTTTCTCTGCCTCTGTCACTGTCTCTCTCTCCCTCTCTCCTCTCTCTGTCTCCCTCTGTCTTTCTCTCTCTCTCTGTCTCTCTCTCTCTCTCTCTCTCTGTCTCCCTCTGTCTTTCTCTCTCTCTCTGTCTCCCTGTCCTTCTTTTTCTCTGTCTCTGTCACTGTCTCTCTCTGTCTCTGTCTCTCCCTCTCCTTCTCTCTCTCCTTCTCTCTCTCTGTCTCTATCTCTCTCTATCTCTGTCTCCCTCTTTCTCTCTCTCTGTCTCCCTCTGTCTTTCTGTCTCTTGATCTCTGTCCCTCGTCTCTTTGTCTCTGTCTCTGTCTCTCTCTCCCTCTCCTTCCCTTTCTCCCCCTCTCTTCCCTGCCCCACCCTTGCCTCCTCAAGTCAGCTAGGAATCCTGCCCAGGTGTGACTACCTGGTGGGGGGGGGAATCACAAGGGTGTTTTATCACTCCCAGCCCCCTGGGGTGGAATCTCTGTCTCCTCTGGGACCCAAAGGGGGTCCCAGGAATTTAGATCCAGGTGTGCTGCTGAGGGGAGAAGATCCTGAGGACCAGAGGTTGTGACTCTGAGCTGCCCTGGGGCAGGAAGTTTCAGTGGATAATCCAGAGACAACATTTCTTCAGCAGAAAACCTAACTCCATAGGTAGAGGGGGAAAGAAAGGGACAGAGAGGCAGGGGAAATGGAGAGGCAGAAGCTTTAGGCAGAGTCCAGCTCCCAGCCTCTTCCTAGAGAAGAATCAATCAATTTTCAAGTATTGATTAAACCAGCATTAAGCAGTCCCTGCCCTCAAGGGGCTTACATTCTAACTGAGGAGACCACAAGGGCATTTGTAAGTACATACAGAAGAAGTAGAGAGAACACATAGAAATAGACACCCAATTGTTCATCTATGGGCATTTGGGGGGGGGGGGGACACTTCATGGAGGAAGCCAGCTCCTGGGTCACTGCAGCTAATGCTGGCTTCTCCACACCATCCATATTACCCACATGCCTGGCTTCAGACCTAAAGGCAGACACATGCCCTGCAGAGAGAAAATTAGTGACATCTGGGCAGCTTTGTTTTGAAGACCAAAGGCCAGGAGGGTCCTGACCGAGTTGTTTTTCTGATTCTCTTCCTTCTCCCTCCAAAAGAAGGCATGTGCTCTAGCAGGGTCCAGTGCAATGGAGTGAGGGGTGAGGCCAGGAGCAGGGGCTCCCACTGGGCTGGTGCCTCTTGCGTCTACCCTCCAGCCCCAAACCTGTAAGACAGGTCGTTTGCCTAAACCAGCCACCACCCACCCCACTGGCTTTACCACCAGAGAGGAAGCTTGGGTGTGGGGAGGGGTGGGGAACTGGGGGCAGGGGCGTCACCACATGAAAGAGGTGGCTGACAAAGAGGAAACTGAGTGGGGAGAGGTGGGGCCAGGGGTGGGGCCAGGACCCTTCTGTTCTGTCTCCCCTCCTCTCCTGCTCTCCTTCCTATATAGCCCCATTCCAGGCAGGGCTCTGAATTCTAATGTGGCTACCTGTGAAAGGAGGCAGCTGGGGTCCCCTCCTGGGAGTGCCCTACAGCAATCATCACCCCCAACCTTGACCTCAAAGGTGGGAAGCCAGAAGCTGGCCTTTCAGGGGGAGAGGGGGCAGGGAATGGCCTGGAACCCTTTGGCATTTTCAACTGGGTGGCCGGTAGGAAATGCCACCTCTGCGGCCCCTTCTTGGGACCCCAGCTGAGACTGGTTTTGTAGAGGGGACGTCTCCTCAGCCCATCTCTTCTCCATTTTCCTCTCCCATGTCTCTCTTGAGAACTGTGGGTCTTCTGTGGTACCCACCCCGTCTTGCCTGCATGTCCCCTGCTCCCTTCCTCTGTCCCCCCGCAGTCTATTTCTGATTCTCACCCCATCAGTGACTTTTGCTGGCTCTGGCTTGCTCACAGAGGGAGCCTCTTGTGGCTCTGGTCCCCCATTCTTCCTAGCTCTCCTTCCCCTTCCTTCCCCACTTCCTGTTGACCACCTAGGCCCAACTTCTGACCTCTATCTGGCTCTTCTTTCCCGCAGGTGTTTTTCCGGGCAGGCACCTTGGCCCGACTGGAAGAGCAAAGGGATGAGCAGACCAGCAAGAACTTGACCCTCTTCCAGGCAGCATGCCGCGGTTACCTGGCCCGCCAGCACTTCCAGAAGAGAAAGGTACCCCCCAGGGCAGACCCCTCATGCCTCCGTCCTGGCTCCAGACGCCCATCCATGGCTCGCTTCCCCGGTTTGGGAGGTTACAGTGAGAACTTGGTGGGGGGAATGTGCAGGGGACCAAGAAGTGGGATTTGGGTCTGAACATGGGGGCCATACTGTGCAGGAAGTGGACCAGGGCATTCCCAACTGCATTAATCCCTAGGAAGTGGGGAAGGAAACGGGCATCTTAAGGGACCTTCGGGATTGTGTCATCCCTCATTTTATAGACGTGGATAATCCTAGAGATGGGAAGGGACTTGCTTAGAGTGTCAGGGGCAGGATTTGAACCCAGGCCTTTTGGCTTCAAATCTATTGGTCTTCCCCCCTGTCCTTCCTGCGGCTTCATCAGCCGCCACCTATGATGAGCGCCAATGAGCATCCCAAGTCTTTGGGGCGTCCCTGCCAAGAGGAGGCAGCACGGTCCCGCAGAGAGGGGAGCCTTGAGGGGTAGGGGTGGGTCGGGCTCTGCATCCTGGGTCTTTCCATGAAGATCAGGGGCTCCTTTTCCTATTAGCATGTCCATAAAGCAGCCAGCACCAATGCCTCTTATGTTTCAGCAAGATTAGGTTTTATGGTACATCCAGGCCAGAGCAGGAGAGAAAACCAGGCATCCAATAAAGCCGGTGAAATTAGTCCTGATGAGAACAGGACTGGGAGCTCCCGGGTGGGGGTGGGGGGCTCAGCCCCAGGGGTCAGGCCTGGCTCCCCCACCTCCAGCTGCCTTTACAGGCCGGGGGCAGCAAACAGAGAAACAGCAAGGAGGAGGAATCCGAGTGGATTAAACCCCAGGAGATGGTAGGATTCTGGGTCTGGAGTAGGAAGGCTGTCCAGACCAGCGCCCTCATTGGACACATGAGGAAACTGAGGCCCAGAAGAATTAGTTAAGTGACTTGCCCAAGATCATCCAGGCAGTAAGCATCAGACGTGGGATTTGAACCCAGTGCTCTAATACTTACCAGTTGTGTGATCTTGGACTAGACAGTCGACCCCTCTGAGCCCCAGATTCCTCATTTGTAAAACCAGGACAATCTCACACACACATACTTAAAACGCCCGGTCAGCGAGAGTTTCTGTGATTTCAGATCCAAGACCTGGCCATTCGCTGTGTCCAGAAGAACATTAAAAAGAACCAGGGGGTGAAGGACTGGCCGTGGTGGAGGCTTTTCACGGCCGTGCGGCCTCTGGTCGAGGTGCAGCTGTCCGAGGAGCAGATCCGCGGCAAGGACGTGAGTGGACGCTCTGGGCTTGGCCCAGGAGGGGTTCAGGGCCATCTCGTCCATCCCCTCATTTTATGACGCCCTTATGTTTTTTAAATTCATTTTATTGTTTCCACGAACAACAGGCATTTTCTCTCCCCCTGATCCACCCCCCCCAAAAAAAACAAGAAAGACAAAGCCCTCATAACTAATGTTACCCTGCAACCAAGCATGTTCTCCCCTTGGCCTGTCCATCCCGCCCCTTCATCTTACAGAGGAACCAGTGGAGGCCTGGAAACTCGCCCAGCGGTGAGAGTTAGTGCTAGGTTTTGAACCCGAGTCCTCTCCGCTGCCCCACAGACTCAGGCACCTGCTCTCAGGGCGTTCAGGGCTGCTCCAGAGGGCTCCTGGCCCACGTGCTCCCCAGAAGTGAAAGGGGCCCACCCACTGAATGGGGAGTGGCTGTTTTCACTGGCCACCTCTCTTATCAGGGACAAACAGGCATCTCCAGTCTGGACGCGTCCGCTCCGTCCACAGCTTTACTTGTTTGTGACTGGGCAGTGTTAGGGGATGGCTACCAGGGTGAGGGTGGGCTGGCCGTGCCAGCCTAGAAGTAGTGGTTGGGGGTGGGGGGCCGTGCTCCCGTGACTGTTTCCAGATCCCTCCATCCTGGCTTTTCTGTCCAGCGAGTCTCCCCGAATTCACAACTGAGGCACGGGTTTGTTCTCCAGAGCAAGCTTTGTTTGTCCCCCAAAGTCCCCTCTGTGGTTGCCCAGCCCGACAGTCACTGACCCTCGGATCCCCCCACCTCCACCCAGGATCATTGGTTTAATGCTAGGTTATCTAGTCCACACACACCCTCATTTTACAGAAGGGGAAACTGAGGACCTGAGAAGTGACTTGCCCAAGGTCACACAATAAGTGGCAGAAACTGGATTTGAACTCGGGTCTTTTGACTCCAGGCATAGCATCCTCAAGGAGACAGCCTCAGGTGCCAGAATTCAAGGCCAGGGCTCAAACTGTCCCTCCTTCTACAGAATAGAATCTCCTCCAGGGTAGAGGGACAGCTTCACTGTTGTCTTTGTATGGCCTGTGCCTAACATGATGCTTGGCACTTAGACGCTTGATAAATGCTCACTAATTGGTTGGTTGTTCTGTTTCTAGGAGGAAATTCAGCAGCTTCGGAGCAAGCTTGAGAAAGTGGAAAAGGAACGGAATGAGCTTCGGCTCAATAGTGACCGGCTAGAGACCCGAGTGAGTCGGCCTCCTTGACCTTTACCAGCCCCGCTGGTGGCAAGGGGCCTCCGGCCCTCTGGTCCCTGAGCTGTGGCAGCAGACTAGCCCAGCAGGTGGGGCGTGGGGGCCTCCCTCTGCGGCCCAGAGGAGCCCCACGTCCCGCGGGGTGTTGCTGGGTGGTGGTTGCTCTGGTACCAGTCTCCAGGTGGGAGACGGTTGGAATGACGCTTCTCTTCCCCCAGATCTCAGAGCTGACATCAGAGTTGGCGGATGAACGAAATACTGGCGAGTCGGCTTCCCAGCTCCTGGATGCCGAGGCAGCCGAGAGGCTCCGGGCGGAGAAGGAGATGAAGGAGCTGCAGGTGAGGAGGAGGGGACCAGGGAGCAGCAGGGTCAAGGCAGCCCCTCACCAGAAAGGAAGTTGGCACGTTTTACCCCTCGCCTATCCGCCCGCTCACGGCTTTTGAACGAAGCAAGTCGAGCGTGGGGTTGGCTGTCTGTAGATGGGGGTGCCGGTGGAGGGGGGCTTCTCCTGAGTACCCCCTGCCCTCCCACACTGCAGACCCAGTATGATGCCCTGAAGAAGCAAATGGAGGCCATGGAGATTGAGGTGATGGAAGCCAGGCTTATCCGAGCTACTGAACTCAATGGGGAGGTGGACGATGACGACTCGGGTGAGTGTCTGGCCGGGAGTCTGTGTGGATGGGCGTGGAGTCAGAGACCCTGGGTTTGGGTGCGGTGTGCCCTTGAGCAGCTCGTTACCCCCCTGGGCCTTAGTGTTCCCACCTGTCAAATGAGGGGCTGGACTAGATGCTCTCTGAGGTCCCTTCTGGGTCCTCCCTGGGGGTCCTTAAGCTGGCCCCAGTGGGTATCGGGATGGGTTTCAGAGAGTCCATGGACTTGCATGGGGGAAATGACATTTTATTTTTAATTACCTCTAACTAAAACTGAGCATTTCCTTCAATTAATTAGAAAATATTATTTGTAGGAGTCTGTAGGTTTAACTAGCCTGCCCAAGGGAACCATCACTCCCAAAGGCCTGTGATCCTATGACATTTTATTCCAAGCACATATGTCCCCACGGCTCAGGGGTTGGGGAGAAGCCACTGAGCCTCAGCTGTAGAAGCTGCCCTCCCTGGTGCCCTTCTTGAGCCCTCAGCCCCAGAGCTCCTCCTACTTTGTCCTTCACTTTGTCATCGGCTCAGCTCTCCCCCGGTCCACCCACCTTCCCAAGGGTGCCCAGCCTTCAGCCTTCCCCGTACCCACATGCAGGTGGGGAGTGGCGCCTCAAGTACGAGCGGGCGGTTCGAGAGGTCGACTTCACCAAGAAGCGTCTGCAGCAGGAGTTTGAGGACAAGCTGGAGGTGGAACAGCAGAGTAAGAGGCAGCTGGAGCGGAAGGTGAGCATGATGGGGTGGGGAGCCGCGTCCTGGCTGCGGGGATGCTTGGCGGGCCTTGAATGCCCCAGTATCAGGGTGACTCCTCCCTCCTGCTTGGCGAGTTTTCTGGTGTTGAAGGGCCCGGGATCCCAAGTTGGAAGGAATCTCCCAAGCCAGCTAGGCCAACTGCCCTTATTGAAAGATAAAGGAACTGAGGTCTGGAGGGGTTAAATAACTGACCTGTCCAGGGGCACAGGAGCAGTCAGCATCAGAGGCACGATCTGAACCTGGGGCCCGGGATTCCAAAGCCAGCATGCTTCCCACTGCCCCACACGGCCTATTTCCTGATCCTCGCTCCCTGACTTTTGGTCCCAAAGCTTCTTTCTTCCCCACCTGGTGATGAGTAGTGACCCAGTGAATGCAAACTCACCTAGCTCGGTATATCTGGCCTGAGCCAGACCAGACCATGCTCCACATTCCAGCCGTCCTTTGCCCCGGCCACCTTCCCCTTGGCCTTGCTGCAGAACTCATGTCCCCTCTGGCCCATTCTCCCCCCAACCCCTTCCCAGATCCTGCTTTGGGCATGAGAAGCAAAACAGCATTGCTGAGGCTTCTGGAGAGTGCATGGCCACCAACAGGCTCCTTCATTCCCATCCCCACGACCCCCCAGAGAGCTTTGCTCTGGCCACCCCCAAGCCCCTCCATGTGTGGTGTCTCCTCCAGGGCAGGGGCTGGCTCACCTCGTCTCTGTATCCTCAGTGCTTACCGTGGCCCTCAACATCATGTGCTTAGACAGCACTCCTTCCCTTCCCTTCTCCTTCCCTCCCTCCCTTCCTCCCTCCCTCCCTCCTTCCTTCCTTCCTTCCTTCCTTCCTTCCCTTTTCCCTCCCTCCCTCCCCTTTTCCCTCCCTCCCTCCCTCCCTCCCTCCCTCCCTTCCTTCCTTCCTTCCTTCCTTCCTTCCTTCCTTCCTTCCTTCCTTCCTTCCTTCCTTCCTTCCTTCCTTCCTTCCTTCCTCCCTTCCTTCCTCCCTCCCTCCCTCCCTCCCTTCCTCCCTCCCTCCCTCCCTTCCTCCCTCCCTCCCTTCCTTCCTCCCTCCCTCCCTTCCTTCCTCCCTCCCTTCCTCCCTCCCTCCCTTCCTTCCTCCCTCCCTCCCTTCCTTCCTCCCTCCCTTCCTCCCTCCCTCCCTCCTTCTTTCCTCCCTCCTTTCCCTCTTTCTTTCCTTCCTTCTCTTTGACTCTTCCTTTTTTTCTCTTCTCAAGCTTTTTAGAGCTGTTTCTTTTTTCTTTATTTTAATTTCAGTTAACCAAAATCTCTTTTCTTCCCCTCTTGCCCTGTGGGGGGCAGGGAGGGGAACACTTGTAACACGTATGCGAGGTCATTTCCCAAGTCAGCTGTGTCCAAAGCAGGTCTTTGTGCCTGGAGCCGGTCACTTCTCCATTTCTGTCTCATTCGGTTGTTCTAGCCTTTAGCCTCACCTCGACCTCCCAGTCTCTCCAACACCCCCCACCCCCCACTCTCGTGTTCTGTGGTCCTTCTTTCCCTGCTCCTCCTGCTATTACCTGAACCTACACAAACTCTGTCTCTCCTTCCCTCCCTCCCTGTCTTCCTCTCGCTCCCTCCCTTTCTCCTTTCTCTCTCCTTCCCCCCCTTCTATCTCTGTCGTTTCTCTGTCTCCTGCTCCTCTCTCTCTTCCTCCCTCTCTTTCTCCTCTCATTCCCTGCCCCGTCTCTTCCTCCTTCCCTCTCTCTTTCTCTGTCCTCTGTCTCTCTGTCTCCCTCTTCTCTCCCTCCCCCTGTCTCTCCTCTCCCTACCTCTTTCTCTTTTTTTCTGCCTCCCTCTCCTCTTTCTCTCTCTCCCTCTCTCACACATTCTCTCTTCCTTTCTCGTCTCCTCTTTCTTCTTCCCTCCTTCCTTCTCTTTCTCCCTCCTTCTTTCTCCTCATTCCCTTCCTTTCTCTCCTTCTTTCTCTCACTCTCTCCTTGTTCCCCCTCCCTCTCCCTCTGCCTCCCTTTCTCTCTCCTCCCCTCCCTCCCTTTCTCTCCCTTCCTCCTCTCCCTCCCCCTCCCTCTCTCACTCTTTCCTTCTTCCTCACTTCCTCTCCCTCCCTCCCCCCTCTCTCTCCTTCCCTCTTTCCTCTCTCTCTCTCCCCGCCTCCCACTCATCCCCCATATGTTGCTCCATCGCTGCATGGCCTCTCTCCCATGGCCCTTGAGTTGCCCTGACCCCCCGCCCTCTCTGCTTCGGCTCCACAGCTGGCGGACCTGCAGGCGGACAGCGATGAGAGCCAGCGCGCCCAGCAGCAGCTCAAGAAGAAGTGTCAGCGGCTCACAGCGGAGCTGCAGGACACCCGGCTGCACCTGGAGGGTCAGCAGGTCCGCAGCCATGAACTGGAGAAGAAGCAGAGAAGGTGGGTGACACAGGGGGTCCCTCCCCCGGCTTCCCGGCGCTTTTGCCTTTTCTTTCTCGCTCAGTCAGAGGCCGAGGGTGTCAAGGCAGGGACGCCCCAAGTCCCTCATGCTAAGAGATCCCCGATATGCTGTACAGGGGAGAAAAAAAGGGAACCATGAGCACGACCTCTTCCACCATACCAGGAGTTGGGCGAGGGGCTAGTTCCACGTCTGTAATGAGCCTTCAGAATAAATTGGGGGCGCAGGCCTTGGTAGCCAGGCCAAGCAGATAGCCCACTGTGATCACTCTGGGGTCCCGCTCTTCATCCCATTATTGGGGCAGTCACTGAACCTAGCAGGACAGAGCAGCAGCTGAGGTCTTCTCTGGATCCAGGGCTCTCCCCTTCCCTGAAGGCCCCTGCCAGCCCCTGTTCCTCTTCACTCAGCTTGACTCAGTTACACAAACACACAAACCACACTCCTGACTCTGATGTCGTTAAACCGCAGAGCGAGAGATACTTCCATCTCATTATGGTAATGACACAAAGGAGGGGGGCTGCAGCCCTCACTGGAGGAAATCCAATCTAAATTAATTTCCCTAGTGGGGACTTCTTCATTAGGAGAGGAGGGAAAGCTTAGGAGCCTGTGCCCCCCTGGAGAGGATGGGGAACCCCAGGGGGATGAGAATTCCATTGGGATGGCCAGGAGAGGTCCCTCTGCTAATGCCAAAGGGCTCGTGCCCCCTGGGCACACCCTCCTCCAACTGGCCTGTTGACTAGTTCATGCCTCTGAGATCTCCAGTAAGGACAGTGTGCACTGAGTGGTGGGAGCTCTGGAAGGGGCCCTCTTTGGGCTCACCATTAGTGGGACTCCTGGTCCTGAGTTCTCAGGGACTCATTCCCCTGTAGATCCCTCCCACTCCTTTCCCCCCAGCAGCCTCCATGACCTGTCTTCTCCCCAGAGACAGGCATCCTCAGCAGGACCTATCTAAGAACTCCTCCGAGCCTCCAGGGTGATAGCGCCAGCCCAGGCTGGTTAACGTTCCACCGAGCTCCCTGCTGGGCACCTTATTAGGTCTGGCTGCCCGGAGTTTGTGGAGGGGGTGGGAGAGCATTTCACTTTTGGATGGGACTGCCTGATCAGCTATTCAGAGAAGGTGTTAAGAGGAATTTCAGCAATTTGCTCGTTATTTAGGGTTTCTGGGCGGGAAACGAGTGAAGGAGTAAAGAAAGAGGCCCCCCAACTGTGTGCCCACTGAAGCATGCTGCCAATGGGCATGGTGGGGAGGCACGGGGGGTGGGGGGGAGTGGCAGCCTTGGTGAGGAATGCAGGGTGGCGTGGGCCTGTGACGTCTCCGGCTGCTCCCAGAGGTCACAGCAAGCACGCCTGGCTGCCTGTACCATCAATTTGGCCAGGGCCTGCTCCAGGAGGTCACGGGATCAAACATTTAGAACCGGAAGGGAGTTAGGGGCCCTCGAGTCCAACCTGCTCATTTTACAGATGAGGAAACTGAGGCCCGGAGAGGTTAAACTGCTAGTGTCTTAGATTGGATCTGAACCCCAAGTCTTCCTGATTCCAGGTCCCATGCTGCCTCTCAGGTGAAAGCCTTGGGGCTTTCATGTCCATGGGGCAGAATAAATGATCCTAGCCCTGACTGCCCCAGGGAGGGGAGATGAGGGTTGACTGCTACAGGGCCACAGCTTGATCCCTATCTACCCCCAAGTATCTTTTTTTTTTTAAGCAATCAGAGTTAAGTGACTTGCCCAGGGTCACACAGCTAGGAAGTATCTGAGGGCAGATTTGAGCTCAGCTCTTCCTGACTCCAGGGCCAGTGCTGTGTCCACTGTACCACCTAGCTGCACCTGCCCACAAGTATCAAAGAGACAGTGCAGTACATTGCAAGAAGGACTGGCTTTGGAGTCAGAGGAACTGGGTTCAAGTCCCACCACCTGTGTGGCCTTGGGCAAGTCACTTAATTTCTCTGAGTCTCAGTTTCCTCTCTCTGTAAAATGAGGGGGTTGGGCTAGGTGGTCTCTAAGATCTCAAGAGTCAGCTTTCTGCTGGGATTCTCATGCTGTTTCCTTGCCCACAACTCCCTAGTCATCTCTGGAGAAGGCCATCCTCTCTGTCTGATGGCCTACACTGTCATGTGTTCTGTCCTATTCCAGGTTTGATAGCGAGCTCTCCCAGGCCCACGAAGAGACCCAACGGGAGAAGCTACAGCGGGAGAAACTACACCGGGAGAAAGACGCCCTCCTGGCTGAAGTCTTCAGCCTGAAACAGCAGATGGAGGTGAGGATGGGCTCCGAGCCCCCACCAGCGGTGTCCTAAACTCACCAGCCTCATCCTCATTCCCAGCCGACCCGTTTTCTTCTCTTGCTCTAGGAAAAAGACATGGACATTGCCGGCTTCACCCAGAAGGTGGTCTCCCTGGAGGCGGAGCTCCAGGACATCTCTTCTCAGGAGTCCAAGGACGAAGCCTCTCTGGCCAAGATCAAGAAGCAGCTCCGGGACCTGGAAGCCAAGACCAAAGATCAGGAAGAGGAGCTAGATGAACAGGCGGGCACCATCCAAATGCTGGAGCAGGTGAGGGGGGAGGGGGCACTGATACCGAAGGAACCAGGGACTGTCAGAGGAAGGGAGGGAAGCAGCATTTACCAAGGGCCTCCTCTGTGCCGAGCACCACGCTAAGCTCTTTACCAGTGAGTTTGATCATCGCAACGCCCCTGTGAGCTGGGTGCTGATATCATCCTCATTTTATAGTTGAGGAAACTGAGGCCCAGAGAAGGGAGGCGGCTTGCCCAGGGTCACACAGCGAGTTAGTGTCAAGGTGTGGGTTTCAAACCCAGGTCTTCCTTAATCCCACATCTGCTGGGACTCAACCCCTGCCGCACCACACTGACGCTTCCATTGCCTGCATCTCCTCACCCGCGTTGGTAGGGGAGAAAGGGACTCATTTTAACCCTGCTTACAAAGCCCGGCTAGATACCTGTGGGAGGCAGCTAACTGTTTTCTTTTTTTTTTTTTATTAATATCTTCCATTTTTCCATCACCTACATTTCCCAATATGTCTTTCTTCTTCTTCCCCACCTAGACAGCTAGCTCTTTTTTTTTCTTTTTGTTTTTTTTTTGGGGGGTGGGTGAGGGGAAGCGATCGGGGTTAAGTGACTTGCCCAGGGTCACACAGCTAGTAAGTGTCATGTGTCAGGCTAGATTTGAACTCAGGTCCTCCTGACTCCAAGGCCATTCCTCTATCTGCTGCACCACCTCGCTGCCCTGATAGCTAGCTCCTTAGAAAGAATAAAAGAGAAAGATAAGTCAGAAGCTGATCAGCAAAACTCCCCAACATGCCACCCAAGGCCAACAGTATATACGGTATTCTGCACCCCCGGTCTCTCACCTCTGCGAAGAAGAGAAGGAGCTATACTTTCTCACCTCATCTTCAGGGTCACGCTTCAGCCTCTTTGTTTGCTAGGCTAGGCCAGCCCACCCTGACCGTAGTGAGACATCGGAGGGGTGCGTGTAATGCAACACGAGGAAGGCGAGGGAACTGTGCGTCCATGCATCTCATCTCTCTGGCTGTGGTTTGAATGTGACTAGACATAATTACAAGAACAACCAGCATTTATTAGGCACCTCCTGTGTGCCGCACGCTGCGCTGCTCATTTTATTCCTCCAACAGCTCTGGAAGATAGTAGCTATTTTTATCCCCATGTCACAGTTGAGGAACTGAGGTCAAGTGACTTACCTAGGGCCATACAGCTAGTGAATGTCTGAGACTGGATTTGAACTCAGATTTCATCGATTCTGGGCCTAGAACCCTCCCTTATTTATTTGTACTGTATGAGATTTTCTCTCTACTACATGTATCTCTGATGGGCAGTGTGGTGCAGTGGAGAGGGAGCTAGCCCCAGAACCAGAAAGACCCGTACTCAAGTCCCCAGGCCAGCACCCTCAGGCCGAGTGACCCTGGGCAAGTCACTTCGGGTTTTACAGGCAGCTCTTCCAGACTGGGTAGGGGAAGCAGAGCTGGAGCCAGCCTGCCTTGGTAGAGTGCGCCAGTGAAGTCAGGTCGCATTTATACGTGGTTTGGAACAGAACAGAAGACAGAAGAATGCTGTGACTTGGAAGGAGGGGCCCGAAGACAAAATATATTCATAAAAACCCACTTTGAAAAGAAGAATAAAATAGAATGTGAGCTCTTTGAGGGCAGGGATGGTTGCATTTTTGTCATTGTATTCCCAAGACCTGACCTACAGCAGGTGCTTAATAAGTGCTTGTTGCTTGACTGATTTGTGTCGGGCTGCTGGGGGTGAGCCACCTTGACGGATTCCTCCTCCCCGGGCCTGCAGGCCAAGCTTCGCCTGGAAATGGAGATGGAGCGGACGAGGCAGACACACTCCAAGGAGATCGAGGGCCGCGACGAGGAAGTGGAAGAGGTCCGCCAGTCATGCCAGAAGAAGGTGAGGCCATCTGCGTGGCGCGCCCGCTGCCGGGACTTGGTACCTGGGCTTGCCCGCCCCCTCGCTCCTCCCCGGGTCCTTGCGCTCCAGGTCACCCCACCACACCCCCCTCCGCCTTCCCCAGAGTGGCCTGTCCACCTGGCCTCCTGGAGACCGCTACAAACTGCTCTTTGTGACCTTTGTAGAAGGTCACAATCGAGATTCCTCATCCTTCCGGGCTGCCTCTGCTGCCAGCAGGCTTAGCCACCCGTGCCCACCAGGTGCCCGCTGCTCCAGGGCGATTTGTGGAGGAGGAGGTTGGGCCCTGGTGGCCTCTGGGTCTTCCCAGTTGTTACTCAGACGTGACCTTCTGCTGTACCCGGCCTCCGGGCTTCTGATGATACCTCTAGAGCCGAAAGGGACCTGGGGTCACCTAGCCCAGCCCCTTTGCTTTATAGGTGAGGAAACTGAGGCCTGGAGAGGCCGTCCTAGATCTTGAAAGCTTCCTGGGCACTGAGAACCACAGTTATTTAGAGCCTGTGCACCCAGTCAGTCCCATTCTAACCCTGTTTTGTTCCCCTCGTGTAGAGGGAACCTAGTCAGATAGTGGGGGGGAGGGTGCCATGATACCTCCTCCTTGGACACACTGATGGGCACTGGGGAAGCCAATGTTTCCTTTCACCCTGTGGCTATAGCTGAAGCAGATGGAAGCGCAGCTGGAGGAGGAGTATGAGGACAAGCAGAAGGTTCTGCGGGAGAAGAGAGAACTGGAGAGCAAGCTCACAGCCCTGAGTGACCAGGTGGAGTGGGGGGGGAGGGGAGGGGTGGGGTGGGGCATGGGCGGGGCATGGGCAGGCTCAGCTGGGAGGCAGTTATGGCAGCAGGCGGTGCCTGGCCAGCCTGTCACCACCTTGCCCCCACATCCTTCAAGGGGCACTAGCCATGTTGGGTCATGGAGGTTGGAGAGCTGGGCAAAGCTCCCCCCCACCCCATGAATGGCCCCAAGAGGTACTCTGATCATGAGAGAGACAGAGAGAGGGGGAGAGACAGACAGACACATGGCAGGGAGAGATGGAGAGAAAGAGAGAGACAGACAGACACGGAGTTGGGGAGAGAGCACATAGATACATAGATAGGTAGATAGAGATACACAGAAAGAGATAAATATTTCTCTACAGAGAAATAGATAAGATAGTTGGGTAAATAGATAAGATAGTTGGATGGACAGAGTCAGAAAAGAGAAAGCAGTAGACAGACAAAATAACTGGGAAAATAGATGCATACGCACATGTGGACATACATACATAGATGATAGATACAGAGATAGATTGATTGATAGAGGTAGCATTTATGAAGCTCTTACTGTGTGCCAGGCCCTGTGGTGAGCCCTGAAGATGTACATATAGGCTAGCAAGACAGGCCCTACCCCAAGGACCTCACCCTCTGATGGGAAAAGGCAGCCTATTTAGGGGATCTGGGAGAGGAGAAGGGGGGTGCTGGTTGGTGAGTGAGGGGAGAAGTTCAGAGAATGGAGGAAATCACGGCTGGGCCCTCTCCTGAAAAGTGTCTGGGCTAGAGGGTCCCCAGTAGGAGCGTGGGGCCGCAGGGCAGGGGTTTCTCCAGTCTGGAAAGGCAGCTGGTGAGCAGCCTGGGGAGTGAAGTGAACAAGATAGGGGACCGTCCTGAAGTAGCAGGAGTAAAATTTGGGAATGGCGGGGAGGTAGCCAGCAAGGCCTCATAGCCCGTGTGCACACAGGTGAGTCAGCGGGACTTGGAGTCTGAGAAGCGTCTGCGGAAGGACTTGAAACGGACCAAGGCCCTGCTGGCCGATGCCCAGATCATGCTGGACCACCTGAAGAACAGCGCACCCAGCAAGAGGGAAATTGCCCAGCTCAAGAATCAGGTGCTTCTCAGAGGTGGCCCCAATGTCAGCCCCGGGCATGCAGAGCTGGAGGGGCATTAGAAATCCTCTAGTTCAGCCCTTCCCCAGGAAAAAGTGAGGCCTAGGAAGGTCGCACAAGTGCTAAGTCACTAAGAGTCAGGATTCAACCCAGGCCCCAGGGTCCTGCCAGTCAGTGCCCTGCCCACCCCAGTGCTGTGAGCATAGGGCCGCATGTGTAGGAGTTTATACTCGCCTATAAATTTGTTAAATCAAATTGCAGTCGGCTATTCTACTATCATTCTTGAGTTTGATCCATTGGGAAAGGAGAGACAGTCCTCCCAGCTGCGGCCCTCCCCCAGGGCCTCCCCCTAAGAGGCAGCTGAAGCGACACCCCCAACCTGTACCCAGAGTTCCCTGCTTTGTCAATAGGATCACAGAATCAGAATTACAGGCTTTCAGGAGTGGGAGGCCACTTGGTGCAACTAGGCCACAAGAAGGATCCCCTCTACGACCCGACCACCTTTAAATCTACGGTCCCACACGCCTCCCCGCTAGATTTCAAAACCTGTCATAAAAAGCTGCATTTATTAAGTGCCTCCTATGTACCAGGCACTGTGCTAGGTATGCAAACACAAGAAAAAGAAAAAAGGGAAACATTCTGTATGTTCCCTCCCCCTTTAGGAGGGACCCACACAGTCATGGTAATAATATTAATTATAATAATAATAATAATAACAATAATAACAACAAAGCATTTACTATATATGCCAGACATCATGCTAAGCACTTTATAATTATTGTCTCATTATTATCCTCAAAACAATCCTGAGAGGTAGGTACTGTTACGACCTTCATTTTGCAGATGAGGAAACTGAGGCAGAGAATAAAAGTGACTTGCTCAGGGTCACAGAGCTAGTAAGTATCTTTATAGATAGATAATCAATAGAAAGCCAGGAAGACAGATGCATAAACACACACATAGGTGCACATAGATACAGGGAGGACATTTAGATAGATGGGAAGATAAATGTTGTATAGGAAAATTGATAGGTAGAGAGATACATACATTGATGATAGATATATCGATAGAAAGATAGATGATAAATAAGAAAATCAATAGGTAGATAGATATGTGCATGAATGATAGATACATAGCTAGGAAAATAGATGATATCCAAGAAAATCAATAGGTAGATGGCTACGTACGTGGATGATAGATGCATAGATAGAAAGATAGATGCACAGGTGGGCCTTAGGTCTTCCTGACTCCAGGCCCGGCGCTCTGTCTGCTGCACAGCCTGGCTGCCCTTACGCCAAAGGCAGGGGTCTCTGACCATCTGTTCCTGGGGGGGGGGGCCCTTTGTCCAGCTGGAAGAGTCAGAGTTCACCTGTGCGGCGGCTGTGAAGGCAAGGAAAGCGATGGAGGTGGAGATTGAAGACCTCCATCTCCAGATTGATGACATCTCCAAAGCCAAGACAGGGGTAAGGACTCGGGGACGGGAGATAATGCAGGGGTGGGCAGTGGGGGCCAGAGTCAGACGGAGCTCGTCGACCCCATCCAGAGTGGTTGCCCTTCAGAAACTCTCCATCCACCTCCCTTGTCACCAGAGACAAAGTGTTCTGTCCAAGGTTATACAGGCAGTTATAAATCTAGAAGGTGGAAATCTCACCTTCATTTTATAGTTAAGGAAACTGAGGCCTGGGGAGGCGACATCCGAATGTCAAAGATGGGATTCAAACCTAGGTCTCCTGACTCCAAAATCGAGCAACGTCTCCCCCCTCCTCATTTCCTCTTCCTTGTTCGGAGAATCATCCATCACAGATTTCCATCTGGAAGAGCCCTCAGAGCTCATCAAGTCAGACAGAGCAAGGTCATGCCTGTAGTAGGCCTCAGAGTTGGGATTCGAATCCCGGCCCTCTGATGTCAATGCTAGGGGTCGTTCCACCGGCTTCTGTAGTTCAGGGCTGTTGAAATGGACTTCTTCTCTTTCCAAGCCTCCTCCCCCTCGAGTGGGGAACTCTGCTCCCATATGGGGGCTTGGGGGCCTGGGATCAGGCAGGGAGAGAAGACAGAGCCCGGGGAGGTCCCGCCTCCCTATTTAATCACCTGTGTTGGGGGGCTGGGCCGCAGCCACAGCGTCATAAATAAAGGCGGCTAATGTGGCGGGTGATGTAAACAGGCACCCAGAGATTCACAGAAGTGCCAGTAAGAGGGAAGGATGCTCTTCCCCACTCCCCGCCTGCCCAGGCCCGGCCTGCTGATGGAAAGCGCTGGGTAATTAGAGCCTTATTTAATGTCTTCTTTTTAATTCCTCGCCTCCCTCTCGGCCCATCGACAGAGAATTCATGATAGTGATTTGAACCACGGGCACCTGCTTGGGGCTGGGGGACCAGGGGCCGGCACTGGGAGGGGGCAGAGGGTTCGAGGTAGTCATGGTTGGGTGCCAGGGACGGAACCTCCCCCCTCCTCCCCCCTGCAAGCCACGGGGCTATCGAGAGGTGCCAATCTCGTGGCTTTGATTTATCCGCGTGGCATTTGGGCTCCTCGGCAGTTTGCAGGTGAGTGATTCAAACTCCCTAATTGCGTTAAAAAAGGCTGTTACAGAATTACCATTTTATTTAAATCCGAGTTAATAAATTTCTTGGTGGAGCCTTCCCCAGCTCCCCACAGCCCGGTAACAAGATGGATGGGGCAGAGAAGGAGCCAGCACAGTCGTTTTGGTTTGGAATTATGGGCTAATAGATTCATTCATCTGCTGGTGCCGCTGTTGGCCGTCTCCTCCCCTCCCCGCTCCCCCAGGAGTGGGTGAGGGGCGGGGGGTGTGGTGGGGGCCATGACTGGCCTTGGGGAGGGGGGAATCCAAAGCAGATCTTCTTCTTAAGGAGCCTCTTTGGAGACCTAAGCGCCATGGCTGAGACTTTACCGCGGGCCTTATCGAGGGTAAGGGGATCAGTCTTTCCTCGGGTCTGTCTGCTGAATGCAGAGTGCATTCCTTCCATCTCTCCCAAGGGATCGTTCTGGGGACTTCCCCTGAGACACTCCATGTGAAGGCAGGGAGGTTCCCTGGGAGGTCATACGCTGGGGGCATGAGGAAGCAGCTCAGCCTGAGGATGTGGGCAAGATGGCACTCTCTCTCTCTATAAGTGGTGTCCGTTCACAGATCTCTAATGAGGCCATCTAGACCAACTCCCTCATTTTACAATGGAATGAGAATGGAATGGAATTTTACAACGGACTGCAGCCCAATGTGGTTAAGTGACTTGCCCAAGGTCATACAGGGAGTAAGTGTCAGAAGCCGGATTCAAGGGATTCAAACTTGGCCCACAGGCTCCTAGAAGTGTAGATGGAATCGTAGATTTAGAGCTGGAAGAGGTCTCAGAGACCACCCATAGATTTAGAGCTGGAAGAGGTCTCAGAGACCACCAGTTTACCGAAGCCCGGGGCTGTTCAGTGACCCGCACAAGGTCACACAGTTTTGAGGAGAGTGGGGGCGAGAGCCCACACCTCCTGACTCTGGGTCTCAGGCTCTTCCCATGGTTCCTCACTGCTGAGATGTATAGAAAAAGCAAGACCAAGAAGCTGGGATCCCAGGGACCTCAAGCACCATCTAGTCTAACCCTCCCCTTTTATAAAGTGGGAAACTGAGGCCCAGAGAAGACATAGGATCATTGACCTGCTTAGTGCTGGAAGGGACCTCAGAGACCGTATAGACTAGCCCTCTCATTTTACAGATAAAGAATACTGAGGTCTCCAAGAAAAATCATTCAACAATTAACAAGCATTAATTAAGCACCTACTGTGTGCCAGGACCTATGCTAGGGATACAAAGAAAGGCAAAAAGTCACCCTGCTCTCAAGGAGCTCGCGGTCTAATGGGGAAGGAGGCGGGGCGGGACAAAACTCAGTCTAATTTGACATGCTCCAGGTTCCACAACCCGTAGCACGTGTCAGAAGCAGGATCTGAGCCCGCATCCTGCACTTTGCACACTGGTTATGACGCCGGACAGAGCACCAGCGGCCCGTCTTAGGCCATCGCTTCGGGGCAGCTCAGATCGAGACCAGGATGGGTCGCCCAGGGGTCCACCCTTTGTGGCTGGGCCCTGATAGTCCTGTCTCCTGCCTCTCCCCAGCTAGAGGAGCAGGTGAGCCGCCTTCAGCGCGAGAAGAATGAGATCCAGAGCCGGCTGGAGGAGGATCAGGAGGACATGAATGAGCTCATGAAGAAGCACAAGGCCGCTGTGGCCCAGGTACTGCCCTGCCCGCCTGCCCTCCCCCTCCCTGGCTTCTTTTCCTTGAGCACAGATCTGACCTAGCTGCTCCTCTCCATAAGTATCCGTGGCTCCCTATTGCCCTGAGGACAAACCATAACCTCCTCTGTTAAGCTTCTGAAGCCCCTGGTGACCTGGCGCCAGTCTGCCTTTCCACCCTCATTGGACGTTAGCTCCCCAGGGCTCTTCAGTACAGACAAATTGGCTTTCTCCTCTCTGCTCCTCACACGTGACTCTCACCTCCGCTCTCCTTGCCTTTGCACTGGCCGGTCCTCATGCCCGGAATGCCCTCCCTCCTTACCTTTACCTCATAGACCCCCTTTCTTCCTTCAAGACAAAACTCAGGCACAAAGCCTTTCCTGATCCCCCAGCTGCTAGTGCACTCCCTCCAAAGCTGCCTTGTTTAACTATTGATTTTCTTTTCATTTCTGCATTCATTTGTATATATCCTTATCGTCTCCCTCTTAGAATGTAAATTTCTCGAGGGCAATGATTGTTTCATTCTCTGCACTTGGCATAGTGCCTGGCACACAGTAGGTGCTTAATAAATACTTGGTTGATTGATAGGTGTCAAAAGCGCGCCCTATGCTGGGGTGGTGCCACGTGGCTCAGGTGGGAGGGGAGTGGGTCTTAGTCTCTGATGTTTGGGGTGGGACCTGTCTGTCCAGGCCTCTTTCCATAAAACAATCCCACAAGCATTTATCGAGTCCCTACTGGTGTCAGGCTCTGCCCTGGAGAGACAGAGCTTTGCCTCCAGAGACAGAGAGGCAAAAATACCAAAGACCCCGCCCTCTGGAGTTTACATTCTGCATTCTTTCCCTAGGCTTCCCGGGACCTGGCCCAAATGAACGACCTCCAGATTCAACTGGAAGAGGCCAACAAGGAGAAGCAGGAGCTTCAGGAGAAGGTACCAGGCCTTCGGGCGTACTGGGGAAGGGAGAACATGGCAGCCCTGGGCTGTCAGACAGGGCTCCCAGGCCCCCATAGGAAGGAAGCGTGCCCGAGGAGCCCACTGGTGGGCCTTGGGGTCTTCCTCATTTCCTTTTTCTGATTCCCTTTGGATCCTGAGCTTCCCTTCTACTCTCTGTAGAGACAGATGTGGACCGGGGATGGAATGCCCGGGGCAGAGGGGAGAAGATTCTGGCCTGGCTGCTCCAGAGCCCCCTTCAGTATCTCTTCTTGTGGTCCGGCCAGTCACCACTAGGGTGAAGCCCCCGCAGACCCCGCTCCCTTCCTCGTCCTGAGCTGAGAAAGGCCCTCAGCGATTTCTTCCTCTCCTCCTCCACTTCCTCCCAGATGCAAGCCCTGCAGAGCCAAGTGGAGTATCTGGAGCAGTCCATGGTGGACAAGTCGCTGGTGAGCCGGCAGGAAGCCAAGATTCGGGAGCTGGAGACCCGTCTCGAGTTTGAGAAGACCCAAGTGAAGCGGCTGGAGGTATGCTCTCTCTCCTTGGGCTGGGCACTGCCCAGGGCCACAGGTCACGATAGGGGCCTCGGGGACAGTCACCTGAAGGGATGGGACTATGGGCGCCTAGAGCTCCACCTGGAAGAGACCTCAGACAGAGACCAATCCACTTCTCTCGGGTTATAGATCAGGAGATGAGGCTTGGGACTCACCCACGGTCATGCAGGTAGTGTCAGAGGCAGGACTTGAACTTAGCTCATTTAGGATCATAGATCTTGAGCTGAGAGGGACCTCAGACCCCATGTAGATCCCATTTTACAGGTGAGGAAACTGAGGCCGGGGGGGAAGTAACTTGCCCATGGTGTTAGAGGCGAGATTTGAACCCAGACCCTCTGATTCCAGAGTCAGTGCACTGTCCACTGTCCCACCCTGGGGTGGGGTGCATCTCAGCAGGGCAGCTCAGGGTCCATTCTCTGGCACCCATCTCCCATGGCAGGGTCCTCATATGCCCATCCCCCCTACATCGGCGGTACCATGCTGGACAAAAAAATTCATCAGAGCTGCCCCCTTCCCCCTTGAAGCTTGGAGCCAAAGATGCTGAGTTAGATGAGGCAAGCCCCCAGGAATGTCCCTCTGAGGCTTCCCCCGCCCCGGGCCTTGTTACCAGGGAGTCAGCCCCGTCCTTGGGGAAGGGAGCAGCAGCTCACTGACCATGGCCCAGCTGTTGTGTGGGCTCCCAGCCCCAGCTCCCCACCCCTCACTCATCACTGAGCTCCCCAGTCAGCGGAGGAGGGGAAGCTCCTGGGCCCGTACCCCCCACCTGCTTGATATTCTGCTTCAGCGCCTGCCTGCCACCCGCCACCAAGGGACCGGAGCAGCACTGCTTTTCAGCTTCGTGTTTTCCTGGCTGCCCCTCCTCCCCCTCCCCGCTCCCCCATCCATCTCCCCTCCTTCCTCCCGCCCCACTCCTCAGCAGAGCCATAAATATGCAGCAGACCACAGCCTTGGGCCAGGCCGGCTCCCGGCTCCCCTCCGCTCCCCTTCCCTCACTCCCCCAGTCTTTCCTTCTCCTCTCCTCTCATTTAATTTCTCCTCACTCGTCTTCCCTTTTCCCCACTTCCCCCTGTCCACTATTCCCACTCCTCTCCCTTCCCCCTTTTCTGTTTTTACTAATTCCTCACCTTCTTCCTCCTTTCTTTCCCTGTCTCCCCTTCCCCTCCCATCTTTCCCCTTCCCCCCCTCCATCCTCCCTTTTGCCCCCTTTTTTTCCCCTCTTTTTCTTCTTCCTTCTTTCCCTTTCTCCCCTCTTTTTCCTCCTTCTCTTCCCTCTTTTCCTTTCTTCTCCTTTCTCCCTCCCTGCCTTTCCCTCTTTCCTTCTCCCTCATCCTTCTCCCCTCTCTCTCCCCTTGTCCTTCCTCTTCTCTCCCCCCTTCCCCTATTCTTTCCTCTACCTTTCTCCCCATCTCCCTTTCTTCCCTTTCCCTTCTTCTCTCTTTCCTCTCTCTCCCTTTCCCCTTCACTCTTCCTCTCTTTCCTTTCCCCCCTTTCTTCCTCCTTTCCCCTTCCCTTCTCTCCTTTCTCCCCCTCCCTCCCTCCCTCTTTCTTCCTCCTTTACCTTCTCCCCTTTCTTTCCCTTTCCCCCTTCTCTTCTCTCTTTTCTCCCTCTCTCTCCCTCTCTCTTTCTTCCTCTTTTCCCTTCTCCCCTTTCTTTCCCCTTTCCTCTTCCCCTCTCTCCTTTCTCTTCCTCCCTCTCTCTTTCTTCCTCCTTTACCTTCTCCCCTCTTTCTTTCCCCTTCACTCTTCCTCTCTCTCCTTTCTCCCCCTCTCTCTTTCTTCCTCCTTTCCCTTCTTCCCTCTTTTCTTCTCTTTCCCCTCTCTCCTTTCTCCCCTCCCTCCCTCTCTCTTTCTTCCTCCTTTCCCCTCTCCCTTCTTTCGTTCTGTCCCTCTTTACCCCAGACTGTTCACTATGGATGCCATTCAGTCCTTTCTTCTCCAACCCCCTTGCTCTTTCGCACAGGGGCTGGGGAGAGGCTGTCTGCAGGAGGAGGGCTGACTGCTGCTCCCCCCTCCCCTAAAGTCAGGCCACCTCCCCCCACCCCATAAGGCCTCGATGAGGATCTTAGCTCTGTCTCAGCTGGATCCTACTACTGTCATCGCTGCCTAGCATGGCCTCCTGTTCTCATCCCTGGCTTCCCTCAGCACAGGGGTGAGGGGAGGAGGATCTTCAGAAATGGGGTGGGGGGCACAGAGGGCCTCAATGCCTCTCCTGTGGGAAGTCAGGGCTGCTGCACCTCCAAGCATGTCGGGTTTGGTCCAGCCTTCTCTTGTTCCCCTTTCTGTGGCTGGTATAAGAATGGTGGGCCTCAGGAGCCCAGCTCTGGGACCCCTCATTTCACGGATGAGGATTTGGGGGCCAAGAGAGCTGACGTGACTTAGCAAAGATCATACCAGTAGTAAGGAAGTGGCTGAGCCAGGATTCAAATTCATGTCCCATGTATATGACTCCCAGTCTGCTAGGAAAGCTGCACCCCCCCCATCTCCTGCCCCATCGTTTTCCTCCCCCTGCTCTGGGCTTCACTTGTATTTCTATCTAGAGAAGCAATGCATTGACTTGAAACTTAGAATATTAGCACTGGGAGGGACCTGTGAGGTCATCTAGTTCAACCCTTCCCATTTAACAGAGGAGAAAAAGGAGGCTTAGAAAAAGGGACGTGACTTACTCAAGGTCACACAACTAGTTAAAGGCAGAGCAAGGACCAGACCACGGCTGCTTGCACTCTCACTCAAGTGTTCTTTCCATTGCCCGCCCCGGCTCCCATACTGCTCCCTCTCTTTAGCTCATTTCCCACCTACGGGCCTTTGCACAGGCTCTGTCCCGTATCTGGAATGCTCTCCATCCTCCTTCCTCTCTTGGATTCCCTGGCTTCCTTCAAGGAATCCCACCTTTCCCAGAGACCTCTCCCAGTGCCCCCCAGCTACTAGTGTGTACCTTGTATGTATGTAGCTGCTTAAGGTTGTGTCCCCCTTTTGACTGTAAGCCCCTTGAGGACAGGCACTGCTTTTTCCTTTCTCTGTACCCCAGCACTTAGTACCATGCCTGGAACATAGTAAGCCTGGTTGCCTTACCAGCCAATTGAGAAAAACACTTGTTACAAGACTGCCAAGAGTTGGGGGTGGCTTAGGCGCCAAGGAACCTCTGAGGTCCCGTCCGGCCCTGTGACCCCCCGAGGTGGGCACCTCCCCTCAAGGAAGGCCCCACTCCCCCTCCCGGCCCTCGGCCCACATGCCCTGCCTTCCTTTTCTGCCCCCTACAGAGCCTGGCCAGCCGGCTGAAGGAGAACATGGAGAAGCTGACGGAGGAGCGCGATCAACGCAGTGCCGCGGAGGGCCGGGAGAAAGAGCAAAACAAGCGTCTCCAGCGGCAGCTTCGCGACACCAAGGAGGAGATGGGAGAGCTGGCCAAAAAGGAGGCTGAGGCCAGCCGCAAGAAGCACGAGCTGGTAAGTGTCCAGCTGGCCCAGGGGAGGGTGGGCACAGTGGTCTGTGCCAGAGGTGCCCTGGTGGCATCCTCCCAGTCACCATGACAACCCGTAGCTGGGGGGGGCTCTCGGGGGGCCTCTTCTCCCTACTGCACCTGGTTGGGACTGACCCTGCAAAGCAGGGGGTGGTGTGTGGGCCTCTCCAAAACCAGCCTTCTCCCCATTGCACCTGGTAGGGACTGACCCTACAAAGCAGGGGGTGGTGTACAGCAGGGGAGCCAGCTTTGTTGGATGGGAGACAGAAGGGCTGGGTGCCCTGACTGGGCCTGAGTCAGGTGCAGGACAGGGAGGGCTCAGCTGCTGCCTCCTGGCAGAGGAGTTCTCAAACACCCAAGTGTGGCCTGGGGTCCTTTAAAGGGTGTTCCATCAAGCACGTAGGAGGGCACTCGTTGAGTTGTGGTTGGGCCAGTGGTACTGTGCCGTGGATGGACCAGGGCAGGAGGGGGTGTTGGCCCAGGGGCTGGGATCCTCTCCCACAAAATGGTTGGCGGCTGTGCCCTCCCTAGGAGATGGATCTAGAGAGCCTGGAAGCAGCCAACCAGAGCCTGCAGGCAGACCTGAAGCTGGCCTTCAAGCGCATCGGGGACCTGCAGGCCGCCATCGAGGATGAAATGGAAAGCGATGATAATGAGGAACTCATTAACAGGTGTGTGGGAGGGGACCTGGGGCCTGCACCAGAGCCCTGACCCCAGGATGAGAGGCAGAGACTTGGGCCACATGGGTCCTCCTCCCTCCTCCATCCTCTGGGGCCAGGCTGTAGAGAAAAAGGAGGCAGAGTTGTCACCCGCTCCCCATCCCGTCCTCCATGCTGGGAGTCAGGCCCTGGTCACAGACCTGGGAAGCCCATTGTCCTTGGACTGACCATGAGATCCCAGCCTAGATCTCGCAGGGACCTCGAGACCAGTTAGTCCATTTCACAGACAGAGAAATCGAGAGCTCAGGTTAAAGCGATTTGCCCCTGGTGCCCCCAGGGGTAGAGCTGAGATTTTAACCCGGCCAAAAATTTGATTCCAAATCCTTTCCTCTGTCCTACGTTGCCTTTCCCAGAGGAGAAGCTGCCAGGGTGAGCGTCCCTTTCAGCCCTCTCCCACCCTCTCACCCCTTCCCCCACCCTACAATGCTCCCCACTCCCTCCCAGCCCTCAGCCTGCTCAGGATGAATTATTCCCCTGTTTAGCTGTGTTTCCGATGGCTCCTGTCCCAGTCCGGGGAGAGCAGAGATTTAAGGGCCCGGCGCCTCGTTACTGTGCCAGCGATTTCCTCTCATAAAACCCACCCAGGGAACGGTTTAGCCAAGACAGATTTGTAGTCTCAGGCTGAGGAATCTGGGAGGCCGGAGGATGGAACACCATGGGGCGAGGGGCTAGCTAGCCACACTGTTCTCTTGAACTGGGCCTTCTTCCCCCCCTCAGAAATTCTCCAATTTTCTCATCCCACTCAGCCTCCCATTTCCATGGCCCAGAAGGGTTCTTCCCTCTTGCCCAGTTAGCCAGGGCCCAGCGGCACCTGCCAGGTCAGCCTGTGTGGGTAGGAATGGAAGGGCGTGGCCACAGGCAGAAGGTGGCACTGTGATGAGATCACAGATATAGAGCTGGTAGGGACCCCCGAGGCCACCTTGTCCAATCCCATCAGTTGGCAGATGAGAAAACTCAGGCCCAGAGAAGTCAAGCAACTTTGCCAAGGTCACTAAGTATTTAGTGACAGAAGCTGGTTTCGAATTCAGGTTCCCTAACTGCAAACCCGCCAAAGGCATGTTCTGGGTGCAGCAGCAGCAGGGCAGCCCGCCTCTCTCCCTCTCCCCACCTCGAGCCCCCTCCTCTCCTGTCCTTTCCACTGGGCTGTCAATTTGTCCACCGTCTTCCTCAGCCCTACCTTTGTCTTTATTTTTTATTTTTTTCCCATTTCCAGTTTGCAGGACATGGTGACAAAGTATCAGAAAAGAAAGACTAAACTGTGAGGACCAAAGCGTCTGCATTCTCTGTCTCTGTTGTGTGGCGTCTTCTAACCTTTGACTCCATGTTATCCCTCCACCCCGGGGGGGAGGGGGGCACGCCGCTGCATGCAGCATGTGGGCACACATCTCATCTTCTTCGTCGAGCCTCTAACTTTAACACCCCCTCACCACGTCTTCTAAATGAGCCTTGAGCAGGGAGGGCTGGGCCCCAGAAGTTCACTAGGGGTAGGGGACTCAGAAAATAGTCGTTACTAGGGGGTGGGGGCAGGTGCTCGGGCACCGGGGAGCAGAGACCGCCCCCCAGCACAGGGTCAGAAGAGCTGACCCAGAGCCGCCAAGTCTGCTTCTGTGATTCGCTGGGCTCTGCCAAGCAGAACTCTCCACCACGTGTCCACAGCCTTCCTTTTATTGAGCTCCAACTTCCCCACCCCCTCCTCCCAATGGGATTGTCTCTTCTCCTAGTTACAGTCAAGTCCTCCACCCCTCCAACCCAGAGGGTCTTAGCATTTCTCGTGTCACGGTCCTCTCGGGTAGTCCGAACAGCGGACCCCTTCTCAGAATAACGTTTTTTAAACAATTGAGAGAAATGATAAATTTCAGGGAGAGATTAGTGAAAATTAAGATGTGACTTCCCTCCCCCCATCTAAGTTCATGGACTCCCTGAAATCTATCTGTAGATCCCTTAGGGGGGCCATGGACCCTCCAGGTTCAGAGCCCCAGTTCTGGCCTCTGTCCCTTAAGGTAGGCCAGAGATTGGTGTAGAATTGATCTCAATCTTTACTCCCACTGGGGCCTGAACCAGAATGGAGAAAGCTAGGGCGCTCTTTTCTGCCAAAGGTCTCACTACCTCATTTTGGCAGCCATAGGAGGCGACTCTAACATCAGCCTTGTCTGGGGAGAGCATTCATGCAAATAAGCACCAGCCCACTCTCCCAAGACAGAGGCATGATAACAAATGCCAGATGGAGGGGACTGGATTGCCTGTGGGTAACCTGGGCATTGGGAGAGCTCTGTGTGTGTCGGCATGTGTGAGGCCACATCTGTCAGGTTGTACCAGGGCCCCAGGCCCATTCCCTCTTCCTCGATCTTTGCGGAGAAGGAGGGAGATGGTGGGCCTCCATCCCTCCGGCCCATGTGGGATCCCAGCATGGCCCTGAGCCCCCTCCCCCATTCTTCCTGCCAGCCCCACAGGGCTCTTCCCAGGGCAGGATGGGCTGGCAGGAGTGAAGAAATCCATAAGAGCTAATGATAAATGTAATAGTGTGTAACAGTGATAGAGGGCCGCTGGAGCCTGCTTGTCACACACAATTAATAGACCCCGCCGTTCTGTCTCCGTTTGTGTGTTCCCCCGTGATTTGGCTCCCAGTTAACTAATAGCACGCAAGCCTGGACATAAATTGTGTTTGACTCCAGGTTTAATTCTGGCCGTTTAAAAACTCCACTGCCCCCTTGAGCCCGCCTGCCCCCAGAGTTTGTTTACTGGCCTTGATTGTTTTACGGGAAATGGCCCAAACATCATCCTCGCTCCTGCCAGAGGAGGAGGAGAGGGTGGGCACCGGGTGCCCCAGTTGGCCGCCTGGAGTCCAACGAGGAGGATTCTTATTCCGAGTCTGTAATTGCCTCCTGTGTGAGCCAAGCAGTCCCTGCCACAGCCGGGTGCCTGAGAGCAGCTTTTGGGGCAGGCTGATAAAATGCGCATTTAAGATGGTCCTCCAGAGCAGCCCCACGCCTTAGCGGTTCCAGCTGCGGTCTCGAGGATGCTGGGGAGCCGGAGCTGGCCCCAGCCCGGCCTGAGCCGTTCTGGGCCCCAGTGCTGAGTTATCGAGCGTGGAAAGGCGGGCCGGAAAATAATGTTTCGATTTACTTATAGATACAGTTGTTATTGCCATAACCTTAATGAAAGCAGTAAACAGCGCAGCATTAAGGGAGATTTATACAGAAATCCTTTTAACGTGTAGACATAGTTTCAGCCTGCATTCGGCACCGGTGATCAATATGGTTATGAACGGCGGTGATAAATTAGAGAGCTTTGAAGTGAGAGAGGGAGGGTTTGGGGGGGTTGGGGTTTTTTTTTTACACGGATGCATAAATCAGGTGGCATTGGTGTTCCGTGGGGCTCATGCACCGCTGTAAATCTGCCAGGCATGGATGGCACATGGCTTGCATTAGAGAGGTCTGGGCTGGCTGCTGCTAAACCCTGTTTACTCAGGGCTTCAGCAGGCCCTGTCTTTGCTGTAATTTTGCATTTGACAGAAGCCCATAAAACCTACCTATTTATTCTTCCTCCCCAGGAGTTGGGCTCTCACATGGGCCCATAAGAGAGTCGGATAGTTTCTCTTTGGGGTGTGTATGTGTGTGTGTGTGTGTGTGTGTGCGCGCGCACGCATGCGCATATGTGTGTGTGTGCCCCTGTGTGTGGCTATTTATTCAAGAACATAATTCAAGAGACGGGCCTCTCCCATTGACACAAATGAGCAGAAATTTATACCAAGGAGAAAGCCTGGCATTTCTGTAGCAGAGAGATGTGGAGGAACTGGCAATTTTTTATTTTTTAGCTAAATTTCAGAAGCTTGGGGTTTTTTTTTCCTCTATCAATCAGTCAATCAGTAAGTGCTTATTAAGCCCCTACTATGTGCCACGCACAGGAATACAAAGGCAAAAATGCAGGCCTTGCCCACAAGGAGCTAATATGCTATCAGTGGAGATAATAGAAGCACGTATAGTTATTAACAAAATACATATGAACAAATACGAAGTTATTTGAGGGCGGAGGCACCATTATCTGATGGGTGAGAGGTAGGGAAAGGGGGTCGGGAAGGCCCTTTATAGAAGGGGGTGCCTCTGCTGAGCTTTGAAGGAAGTGAGGCATTCCTAGAGGTGGAGGTGAGGAAGGTTAGCATCCCAGACCTGGGGGCGCAGCCTGTGCAGGGGTGAGAGGTAGAATCTGTGTGAGGAGCGGTCAGTCGGCCACTTTGACCGGAAGCCAGCAGGGGTCCAGGGGGACAATGTATGATAAACCTAGAAAGGTAGGTTGGGACCGGATCGCGAAGGTTTTTCAGTGTCAAATAAGGGGAGGGGGGTGTTGTTTGATGGTAGCATCACTACTGGAGTTGACTGAGCAAGGGTGTGGCGTGGCCAGGCCTGTGTTGGGGGAATATTATATTAGCAGCCTTGCACGAGATGACTCCTTACCAGGAAGCTCCAGGGCTGAGCTTTGTGACTGTGGTTGCTTTTATTCATCAACACTGAGGTCAAAATTTGGACACCCTGGACTTCTGTGGGAAGGGGATAAAGCTAAGAACTCCCTGCCCTTGAGGGGCTTATATCCTACCAGAATCAATCATTTATTAAATGCCTACTCTGTGCCAGGCACTGTACAGGGCATGGGTTGCTGGGACAAAAGTGAGCCAGTCCCTGCCCTCAGGGGGCTTACACTCTACTGGAATGAGAGTGACCTGAAATCAATGACCAGACATTGATTAAGTGACTGTTCTGTGCCAGGCCCTAGGCTCTGGGGGTACAGGAACAAAAGTGAGCCAGTCCCTGCTCTCAGGGGGCTTACATTCTCTCTGTAGCTAAGGACAAGTTTGGGATGTGGCCTGAGCTGCCTTATCCTTGTAAGAGGCCTCTTAGACAGCCCCTTCCAAAACCCAAGCAGGCCTCCAGGCTTAGCTAGACTTCCCACTGTTTAAGAGCTGCAGGAGACTTTTCTGCTCTGGTCCCAGGATTGGGAAGGGCAGGTGGGCTGCATCCTTCTTGGAAAGGGATGGTTGAGAGCCAGCAGGGCAGGTCTCTGATCCGCATTTGAATGAGCCCAGGATGGCCCTTTCATAGAAGAGGGCCCAGCCTGGCTAATTGCTGGGTTTCTCTTCTGACTGGGTGGTTAGTGGGTCCCACACAGTCTAATTCCTACCAGTAAAGCAGCACCCACTGTAGCATCTGTGTCTTTCTGTGGTGTGTGTTGGGGAGGTCATACAATTATGTAACACAAAAGATGGACGGTCAGTGAGTCACTAAGAATTTATGGAGTGCTTACTAAGTGCCAGGCACTGTGCCAAGTGACAGACAAGACCCCCTGCCAGTGGTGTGAGCTGCCTCTAATCTCCCGCCTTTTCCCACCCGTTTCTTCCCCTCCCGCTAAGAAGCATGCCTCCACCCCCCGCCCCTGGCCCTTTCAAGAGGGGAGTGCTTCCCCTACCTGGCGCCTGTCTCGTGGACCCTGTGTGATGTAACCTCCTCTCCTCCCTCCTTCCCTGGCCCTGTCTGTTTCTCTGTGTCTTGCCTGAGCAGCGAGGGCGACTCTGATGTGGACTCTGAACTGGAAGACCGTGTCGATGGCGTCAAGTCTTGGTTGTCAAAAAACAAGGGGCCTTCCAAGGCCGCTTCGGATGACGGGAGCCTCAAGAGCTCCAGGTGAGTGAGTGGTGGGCAGCCGGCTGAGGGGCCGCTGGAGCAGAGGCGGGCACTGCTTGGGCATGGGCGCGTGTGCACAGCGAGGAACGTGCCATCGCGTGTCTTTGCAAGTCTTCCTTGGGGGAGATGCTTTGCCCAGCTCTAGAGAGTGGAGTTTACCATGGGGCCCAAGCAGAGTGACTCCTTCCCATGCAGGTGACTCAGCAATGCTTGTACACGTCATGCAGGGATTCTGAGGGGGGGATTTTTCCAGGATCTTCCTGGGTCCCTGAGAGTGGGTGCACCAAGTTATTCAGGGTCCCCTCCTAGTCTAGGCCATGCTCTCCGCAGGCGTGTTTTCTTTAACCTTTTTCGGTTTCAGTGGCAGGCCTTGGGTCTGGGATGGGGCTGGCTTCCTTAATCTTTGGCCACCTGATAGGGTGATCTTTCGGGGCCAGGGCCAGGATGGGGAGTTTGGGGGCAGGAGTTCGCAGTCAAGGCCCCAGGTCCACAGGCCACGGCACTTGCTTGTTGTTTGGGATGTCTGGGGCTTCAGTAGCAATGAAATCAAAGGCTCTCCGTGCCAACAGGTCCCCAGGGAGTCCACAGTTCCTCTCCTCTCCTTCTCCTGGTCAGCCCCAATGCCTTGATCATCTTGGACACCAAAAAACTTCTTCTGAATCAGGGACTAAAGCCAGTTGCCAGGGTTTAGGAGAACCCCTGCTTCCCCCTTTTCCCTATGCTTCTTACTCATCTTCAGCCTCCACATCTTTTTCTGGAGCATGGGTTCTCTTGCCACCCCTCTCCTGGAGGTCAGTGGCAGTCTCTTGCCTACCTTCTAACATGGTGGCCAAGAAGAGGGGCAGCTCTCCGTCCCACTCCTGGCTGTTTGGCATATTCCATGCGCCTCTGTCCCTGCCAGCTCCCCCCAGCCCCATCCTTCCCTACCCCCACAGGGCACAAAATGGGCTGCTCTAGGGTTAGTGTGATGCCAACTGGGCCGAGTAGCAGAAGCAATTTCCTGCCTGGCTCCTCCACTCCCTTCTGAATCCGGCCCCCTCACCACCAGCGCCCAGTGGCCACCCCTAATTGGTTTAATTTATTCAGCCAAGCAACATTTTGTTATTGCAGATAATGCCTGCGTCCCCGCCCCACTGCCATCCGTCTGGGAGCTGCGTGAGGCTCCAGGTAGTTGACAATGAAATAAATTGAACTAAACGTTTTAGAGGGGGGAAAAGTGATGGAATAGAACAATAGTCTAATTTACATGACATTCTCCGCGAAGCTGTTTTCACTGACGCAAATTATTTTGCTTCATTTCCTGCGAAGCTCTCCCTCTGCCTTTGCCAGGGCGGCTGCTCTTCTCCCCTCCCCTCCCTCCTCCTGGGTCTTTATTCTCGGGTTTAATGCCTGTTCTTTTGTGTGTCTCTCTCCCCCTCTTCCTCCCTCATCTCCCACCACGGCGCTCTCTTCTCTGGGCCTCGCGGCTCTCTCTTAGACTGTCTCTCAACACAGTCCCCAAGGAGGGCAAGGGTGTGGAGGAGAGGCCGGCCTCTGCCCTGAGCTCCCTGAGCTACCGAAAGCGGCTCACCCTCAAGGACTCCATCGGGGGTACCGGGGACGAGGAGTCGCTCTTCACCACGCTCGGCGAGAGGGCGGCCTCCCCCGAGCGGCCCCCACGGAGGCCTCGCCGAGGTGCCAGTGGCGGTGAGGCCAGTCCTTGTAAGAAGGCCGAAGACGTGGATGACGGCGGCTCTGTCCTCTCGGAGGTCAGGAGCCGGGTGAGCCGGGGGCTGGAGAAGAGGTGGGGGTCTGACTTTGATCGGGCCTCCGCCGTCTCGGCCCCTGTCAGCCGGGCCTCCTCGGCCACGCGGCGCAACGCCCGGGAGGAGGAGGCCTGCTCGTCCTTCAGCTTCTCGCTGTCGGGCTCTCCCAGCTCACGCCGAAGCACCTCTCGGCTGGAGGGCCTCCCCGGCACCCTCGGCCCTTGCTTGAGCAGGGCCTCTGGCTTGGGGCGAGAGAGCCCCAGTTCCCGCCTGTCCCTAGGCCAGAGCTGCCTGGATGACTGGGAGGATGACAGAGCCAGCATGGCCCTGAGCGATCTGCACTCTCAACATAGCCACCCCTCGCTGGCCCGCAGCCTCTCGGTACCGCCCCGGCCCCAGACCGCCACCTCCGACGAGCCTGCCGGCTCCGGCGTCTGTCCGGTCAGGCACCGTTCCTACTTGGACCCGGACCTGGAGGCCGCCATCAACGAGGTCTTGAGCTACAAGCCCACCGAGTTCAAGCGGAGCAGTCTGCAGCCGGACTCGGACGAGGATGACCGCAAGAGCGTCCGGAGCGTCCAGCTGGGCACCAGCGGGGCAGAGCGGGCCGCCACCATCCGCCGCTCTGCCTCGGCCGCTGACGTGTCGAGGTCGAGGAGCAGACGCAAGAGCCGGGGCAAGAAGAAGAGCCGCGGCGGCAGCAGCAGCAGCAGCAGCAGCAGCAGCAGCAGCAGCTCAGGGTCCGAGCGCTCCTCCGAACGGAAACACCGGAGCAAGGGCCGTTCGCGGAAGAGCAAGAAGAAGAAGAAGAAGGAGAGCGAATCCTCCTCGTCCGAGTCGTCCTCCTCCTCCAGCGGCTCCACCGTCTCCTGCCGCAGCCGCTCCAGCGTCAAGAAGGGGCCGGCCTCAGAGGGCGAGGGCGGAGGGCGAGCCGGCAGGCCGTCTAAGGAAGAGAAGAAACGAGAGAAGAAGCGGAAGAAGGAGGTGGACAGCTTGATCATGCGCTACCTGTACCGGCCTGAGAGCGACTAATGCAGTAGGTGGCCCTCCCACGCGGAGAGCAGCATGCGTGTGCTGTCGGAGTGTGCGCCGCATCCCCACGTACTAATAGCCACTCACGTCTTCTGTGGGCCTGGGAGAATTCCCATCTATCCGGCGGGAGGCAGGAAGCACCTCTTGGTGACTTTGTTTCTTTACCTGTAAAGTGAGGGGGTTGGACTCGATGGCCTGCAGCACTCTAGATCCAGGGTCCTGTGACTCTTTCTTGGCCTCGGTCTCCTCCTCTGTAAAATGGGGGCATCAGACTCTCTGTCCACTAGGGTCCCTCCCAGCTCCATTGCTAGGGTCCTGTGCTTCTCCTCCTCTTCTGCCTCGGCCTTTCTTGCTGACTAAAGTCCGGCTATTTTAAGCAATCATTCTCAGCCCTTGGCACATTCAGTTACAACCTCTGGTGCCAGGAGAGAGATGGCATGGGTACCTTGGATGCCAGGCAGCTTTTTTGAGTGACGAGAGAGGTTTCCTGTGCCCCAGGGGAGGGAGTGCTCAAATGCCCAAGGTGGGCATTGACATGTCAGTTGCAGTGAAAAGTATCTTGTCCTTTGCCCGACTTATTCCTTCCTCTATGCATCAGCTTATTGCCATGGGTACTGATGGCAAGGGGGCATTGCACCACCTTCAGTGGGGCCAAATAAACCAAACCAGGCTTAATCCATCTCTGTTATGGGAACGCAGTGCCCACACAACTGAAGCCCCTCGGCCTTTGTATCTGACCCAAGAGTGGCCTTGGTTTCTTCCTTTTCCCTAGCCTTGAGCAATGGCTGTGGTCACAGAAGACCCGTATCTGATGCTTACTACCCATGTAACTTTGGGCAAGTCACCCTCCCTCTCTCGGTTTCCCCCTCTGTAAAATGAAGGGGCTGGATTTCATGGCCTTTGAGGCCCTTTGAAATTTATATAAAATCTCCAAATTGCTTCCCAGCTTTAGCATTCATTGTTGGGTTTCTGAACAGGAAATTTGAATAATGACCCTTTGTCTCCCACCACCTGAGTTTTCCTGTTTCACTCTGGAGATGGAAGACCCCCTGGACGGTCCTGCCCCATCTGCTCCTAGCTAGCTAAAGGCCTTTCTGGGCCACATCTCCCTGGCTTGTTTTCTTTCTTTCTTGCCCCGTCCCCTGGTAGGGGGCAGCTTCAGCCACCACTGTCTTCAAAGGCAGGACAAGAAAGGGTGACTTCAGCAGGAAATCACCGCTTCCAGTAGAGCCCATGGACACCCTCCCTAGCCAGCTGTGATCTAGAAGCCCAGGCCTTCTTGACCCTCAGGCACCTCTCCAGGCCTCTGTTTGTATCTGGACTCATGCACTAACAAGCACTTTCTGCATGCCGTGTGCATTCGTGGGCAAGCCCCGTTTGAGCAAAAGCAGGGTGGGTTCATGTACACATTCCCTATTCTGGTCGGGATGTACCTAGTGGTGACCAGTTGGGTGCCCTTGAGGATGATAACGAAAGGAAATGAGCTTACCTTGCAGCATGTGGGTTCAGGGTCTGTGTCAGGATGGGACAATGATGCCTTCCCGGGGGGTCTGGAGACTCAGTGATTCTTCCAGAACACAACCAAATACTTAGGATCCCTTAGACTGGTCCCCATTCCCCAGGGCTGCCCTGAAAGCCAGGCACAAGGGGCCCTTTGGCCCAGCCTTCTTTCAGTTCAGGACTTCTTAACCTTTCTTAGGTCCCTGGACCCCCTTGGCAGTCTGATGAATTCTGTGGACAGTTTTTAAATGCATAAAATGAGATACCTGCATTACAAAGGAAACCAATTCTATTGGAAGAGTTATAGAAATATATTTTGCAAACAAGTTCATGGACCCCAGGTGAAGATCTCTGCTCTCTTCCGTGCTCATTGGCTCATCTTTGCTTCTGAGAGGCAGATTGTTAGGAGGGGGTGCTTGAGAGAACTCAGGAAGGCTGGTGGTGCTAGGGGAGAGAGAGATCGTCAGCTCCACAGGGAACAAAGCCATGATGCCAGGAGAGAAGCAGGAGACAAAATGTCAGGCCTGCCATCTTAGCAAAGCATCTTTCCCAGCGGGGCTGTGTATGGACCTTGCCCTCTTGGCGCTGAATGCCCATTGACATATGGGGCAGAAGCAGCCAGGGTCTAGTAAGTAGAGTCCTGTACATGGAGTCAGGAATACCTTGGGTTCAAATCTCACTCCAGTCTCTTAGTGTGTGTGACCTTGGTTAAGTTCTTCATTCTTTCTGAGCCTCAATTTCCTCATCTGCCAAATGAGTCAAATAATAGCATCTACTTCACAGGGTTGTTATATGGATCAAATGAGATAATGTATGGAAAATGTCCTACAAAGCATTGTAAACATTTTAGCTATTATTATCATCATCATCATCATTATTATTATTATTATTATTATTATTATTATTATTATTATTATTATTATTATTACATAATCTTTGTTTTTTAACCAGACTTGTGATTTCATCTACCAATGCGTCTTCTCTACAAATTATAGTCTTAGGCATTTCCTAGGGCAAATGATTTGCTCAGTAGGGGTCAGAGGTGGGATTTGCACCAGAGCTTTCTGACTCTTACATTATTACGAAGCTATCAAGGTGAGGCAAGCATGGCATAGGACATTGAGAGCTGGCCTTGGAGCCGGGGAGACCTGAGTTCAAATCCTACCAGCGCTGACCCATCCTGACTGTGTGACCCTGGGCAAGTCACATCACTTCTTAATGACCTAGGTGACAGAATGCCTTGGGAGGAGGAATTTCCTCATCTTGGAGTTCCCTGTACAGATGAAATCACAAGTCCAGTTTCTGTCTCTCTCAAGACAAGGTCATACATTTAAAGCCTTAGGGATTATCTAGTCCAGTTCAAAGGAAGTAGCAGGTGAATGGAGGTTAAATGACTTACCCAAGGCCACACAGGTCCTAAGTGGAAGAGACAGGTTTGAATCCAGGTCCTTTGATTCTTTCGTCTGGGGAGTAAACCCAAAGCTAGAAGGGTAGAATTGGGGGTGGGGAGCACTGTCAGGCCTGGGCAATAGACATCATTAGCTCTGAGCCCCCTGTCCCCTTTGATAGCCAGTGCAGTGAGATCAGTAACCAACAATTCCCATTCTCCTGCCAACTCAGGAACATTTCCCAAGGCCCTTCTCCTCACGTGGGAAACAGGAGCAGATCTGGAGTTCTTATACATCGTCACCTCAGGGAATTGGAGTCACCCATTGGTACAGGCAGCATTAGGCCAGAACCAAACCACTTAGCTGGGAAGCCAGGGAAAAAAGAGGCCAGGAAGGGAGCTCGTCAGAACCTAGTTGGCACAAGGCCCTCACCGGCAGCGGGGTGGATAAACTGGCGGGGGGAGCGGCGGAGAAGGAGGCCTGATTTCCCATCTGGTGACAGGGACCAGAGAGAATTCAGGGCACGGAGGCTGCAACGAAGGGGAGGGGGGAGGGAACCTTGCCACTACAGGCTCTTCCAGCGGGAATTAGTGCATGTGCCAAATTGTTCTCGACAGCCCCGAACGAGAGATGCCGGCTCAGCTCTCTGGGAAGAAGGCTTTTTAAACAATTTGGTTCAAGTGTTCAAAATGGAAAAGGCGCAGCAGCTGGATGCCAAAGGGCCTTCTCCACCGGGACACTGGGAAAGTCAATGTGAGCATCCTCTAGGCACTGGGCCAGAGGGGTGAGGAGTATACTAATGCTAACATTTATGTAGGCCCTACTATGTGCCAGGCACTGCGCTGAGCACTTTACAATTATCATCTCATCTGGTCCTCCAACAACCTGGGGAGGTCGGTGCTTTTATTATCCCCCGTTTTACAGATGAAGAAACTGAGGCAGACGGCGGCTAAGTTGACTTGCCCAGGGTCACACAACTAGTAAATGTCTGAGGCCAAATTTGAACTCGGGTCATCCTGACTCCAGGCCTGGTGCTTTAACCACTGTAGTACCTAGCATCTGTTCGCCCCGACCCACCAGCTGCTGATGCTTTCGCAGCACAGGATGACGATGTAGATGACCTAGGGCCCTGGGTCCGTCTCATAACCCTAGGGATACAGGAGCAGACTCCAGATCAGAAGTCCAGAGAAGGAGGGAAACCCCGGGGCCTTGGTTTAAGTCGGTTCAGTTTGCACAAGCTGAGCTCCACCCACTCCCACCCCATTCACTTGGACCTTGCTCCCAGCCTCCCATTCTAGGGCGCACACTGGACCGGCTCCCTTCCTTCGCCTCTTCTCATTTGAAGCCCCTGCTTCCCTCCTCTCCCATCACAGCCAGGGGTGCGCAACCTGTGGCCTCGAGGCTGTATGTGGCCCTCTAGGTCCTCAAGTGCAGCCCTTTGACTGAACCCAAATTTGGGCTGTACTTGTTTGGATTCGGTCAAAAGGCCCCACTTGAGGACCTAGAGGGCCACATACAGCCTCGAGGCCACAGGGGTTGCCCACCCCTGCATCAAACCATCAGCGAGCATCGGGTGTCTTTCTAAAAATTAGGAAACTGTCACTAATACAGAATCCAGACAACTAGAAAGCTATGAAACAGAGTTTCTTAACATGGAAACCATGAGCTTACTTTAAAATAATGTGAATTCTAAAATATTTAAAATATACATCTATACATAGATATAATTGGTTTCATTTGTAATCTTCTGTATTTTGTTTTCTGCATTTAAAAACCTGGTTCTGGAGGCTTGCCCAGACTGCTGTGCAAGGGGTCCAAGACACAGCAAAGATTAAGAACCCCAGCTTTTAAAAAATGCAGTACTAGTCTATAATAATTCATATTTGTAAGGTGTGGCCCTCGGGTGCTATTAGAACCCAAAGTGCCTTCTGAATCATCAACGGATGACTCTTTGGTGTTGTTTTTTGTTTTATGTATTTTATCATGTTCAAATTCCTTGAAGACTGGGAACTTGCGCCTACAATATGGTTCATTCTATTCGCTAGAACACTTGATTCTCCACGTTTTCCTGACAGACTTTGCACCCGTTGGGCAATGGCCCAGGTCAGAGACCTGGTAGGGGAGACTGACTTTTTCTCGTACTCTGATGAAAGCCACTGACTGGCCCAGAATAGGTTTCATGTCTCTAGGATAGAAGAAAGAGGTGGGGTTGCCTCTAGATGGGAATACTTTGGTGCTAGCATAGTGCCTGGTTACCTAAGTACCAAATAAATGTTTATTGGATGAATGGATGAATGTTATTATTCTTCAGAGTCACATCTCCCAGGATCAGCCATTTTGCTTGGGTGTAGTTGGAAGGGCCAGGGAGAATAGGAAACTGCCTTCTCCAATTAAACATTTATTAAATATCTACTGTGTGCAAGGTACCATGCTGGGTGAAAAACTCTTCTTGCCTGCAATACACTTCCATTCTACTTCAGTACATAAACACAATTATGTCACAGGATGATTTGAGGAAGGGAGGAAATTAGAAAAGGCCTCCTATTTGAACTGAGTCTTGAATGAAACTAAAAATTCTAAGAGGCACAGGTGAAGAGGGTGTTCGTGGGGTTGCAAGCACAGAATTAGGAGATAGAGCACTGAGTTCCGGTAGCAGCTAGGAGGACAGTTTGGCTAGGACGTGGGATATATGAAAGGGGCCACGGGAGGTGAGCCTGGAAAGGTAAGTAGAGCCAGGTGATGGAGAGCTTTTAAGTGCCAAACCAAGGAATTTGTCTTTTATCCTGTAGGCAATAGGGAGCCATTGAATATTCTCCTCCCCAAGTGAGATGTCTGAGCTGCGTGATGTGGTGATGATCATGCTGTTCGTCTCTGTGGGAACTGCCACCAGGGCTGGCTCATGGGTGTGAGAACACAACAGCGGGAGGGGCCAGGGTGTCCTGAGAGCCGTTGTCCCCAATACCCCTGATGTACATGGGTTTCCCTCCACCTGCACGCTTCCTGCCTGGAGGCTGCAGCCCCTGCTCCTGTATTCCTAGAGCTGTCGGGCAGACCCAGGGTCCTACGTCATCTAAATTGTCCTTCTGTACTGGGAAAGCCTCAGGAGCCACAGCCAGAAGCTGGTGGGGAGGGGTGAGGTCCAGGGTGCTGGAGCTCAGGCTTACAGGGCTGGAGCAAATAAGATAGCTTAGCACAGTGCCTGGCACATACTAGGCGTTTAATGTTTATTGACTGACTGACGTAATGACAGGGAGCCCAGGTTTGAAGTCAAGAGAACCTAGGTTAATCTCCCACCTCAGACAATTATTAGTTGTATGACCTTAGGCAAGTTATTTCAAGGTAGCTGGAGAGAGCAGTGGGCCTGGAGTCAGGAGGGCCTGAGTTCAGATCTGGAATCAGACACTTGCTGTGTGACCCTGGGCAAGTTACTTAATGCTGCCTCAGTTTCCTCATCTGTCAAATGAGCTGGAGAAGGAAATGGCCAACCTCTCTAGTATCTGTGCCATGAAAACCCCAAATGGGGTCATGAAAAACAACTGAACAGCGACAAAAACGGCAAGAAGTTACTTCATCTCTGGGTTCTACTGTGTGCTAGGCAGTGTGCTAAGTGGGAGAAATAGAAAGGTCTCTGCCCTCCAGGAGCTAAGTGACTTGCCCAGGGTCACACAGCTAGTAAGTGTCTGAAGCCTGATTTGAACTCAGGTCCTCCCGACTCCAGGGCTGGTGCTGTATGTACTGTACCACCTAGCTGCCCCTAGGAGCTTCCATTCTAACGTGGGAGATAACGTGGAACTAACTAGATACCTGGCGAGCACAGAGTAGAAGGAAGGGGATCTGAGAGGGAAGGCGCTAGCAGCTAAGGGAGGACCTGCAGAAGGTGGGATTTGGGCCAAGTCCTGAAGGAGACCCGAGGATTCTAAGAAGCGGAGGTGAGTAGGGAGAGCATGCTAGGCATGGGGGACAGCAAGTGTAAAAGTCCGGAGTCTGGAGATGGGGTATTATGTGTGGGGATCAGCCCGTGGAGCTGGATCATGGAGGATGGGGATGGCAATAAAATGTAAGAAGACAGGAAGGGGCCAGGTTTTTGATGAGCCCTGAATGCCAGACAAAAATGTTTATCTCATCAAAATGTTTATTTCATCAGCTGGTTTATCCTCTGGGTGAGGGGCCCAGGCCACCCTCCGGTCAGGGTGTTGGAAGGCGGCTTTGGGGCTTCCCCAGAGGGGCCGAGACTGTCCCATTGAGCGTGCGTTCTTTCCTCCTTGCAGCCCGTCCAGCTACCAGAAGTCCTTTGCCCTTGACCGATCAGATGACGAGCATGACCCCCTGGACCACGCCACCCGATCCCGATACTCTCACAGCTACCTGAGCGACAGTGACACAGAGGCCAAGCTGGGGGACTCCAGTGCATAGCCTGGGGCATTTGGTCCGACACCTCCCTCCCTTTGCTACAGTCAGATGCCTCTCCCAGAGGATGGTGGGGCACACGCCTTCCCCGGTCCATACCCGCACCATCAATTTGCATGGGAAAGACTCCATTCCAGTCCTTTCCGGGGGGGACCCTCCGGGCGGGACATAGGTGGCTCCTTACCCCTGCCACGGTGAGAGGGCAAGAGGAGGAGAAGAATGTCCAGAGAGAAAACTTAGAATCCTTGCCTGCCTCCTTCGGAATGAAATCAACATCGTGGCTCGGACATTCCCCCAGGGCCAAGCGAGTTGAAGCCCCCCATCAGCCCTCTGGGGTGGGGAGCTACGTTGGGGCGGACTTCTCTGTTGAGTTGTCTCCTGAAGGGAGCAGCCCCAGACCCTTCCCTCTAGGTGGGGAGGGCTTTCTCTTCTCAGTGCCTGCTGTCTTTTTTATTTTATAATTTAAATACCAGACCTTTCCCCTATCAAGGCCAAGTCCCCAGGAAGGGGGAAGGAAGAAAGGCTACATTGAGGGAGGGGTAAAACAGGCGGGTGGAGAATCAGTCTTCCGTCTTTGCTCTTCAGTTGAGCCAAAGATGAAAGTTCTTGTTTGTTCGACTGAAGAGGAGGGAGCCAGGTTCTGAGAGAGTGCACAGGATGGGACTCAGAGGGTTCCACGGGCAGACGAAACATGCTTAGGGTAGATAGATGTGGATACACACAGAGAAAAATACTATACCCATGAGTACACGGTATGGTAAATGCAGTGACCGCATCACAGGGAAACCCATCCCATGGATGTAGGCTTGGGGCTTAGTCAAACCACCACCCGCCACCTTGTTCCTCTGTCCCAGTAGAATGGCATGAGAACACAACTTCTGGAAAGGGAAGGCCTTACCTTGGGTGCTTGGGATCAGAAACACTGAAGACTGGGTTTATCTTAGGTGCTGTGGGTTGGGTGGGCACTTTGACCCAGTCTCCTACACTCCCATATCAAGCCTTGATCCTACATTCTGAGCCTTTGTGTGTGTCTCCTCTCCCCCTCCCTCTCCTTCTCTCTCTCCCTCCCTCCGTCCCTCTCTCTCTCTCCCTCTTCCCCCCCCCTTTGCCCGAAAGAACATCCCCTCTTCCTTCACTGTGCTGACCACATACCTTCTCTAGGGCTCCCCGTCGGTGAGCCTTTTGATAAAAGAGTCGGCCATGAGGGCCAAAGAGCAATGCCTGGTGGTACAGCCTGGTCCACTTCTGCCGGTTCCTTTCTTTTCTCTCTCGGTTTGCACTTGGACTGTGCGTCTCTTTCCCCTGGTTACTTTCAGTATGGAAATAAATCTTTTCCTCCTGACCCTGTCAGATTTCCTGCAGTTTCTTTGAGTCAGGGTACAGGATTTCAGGAAGATGGATTCTAAGTTAGAGCCATGATTTAGACTAACGCTCAATGGGCCTCATGGGTGATGTACGGAAACAGTGGGGTTGGGATGGGAGGGAATAAAAGGCACAAGGAGCTTTTTCACCCTACAGACCTGTATTTGGTGCTGTGGAAGGTCATCAGACTATTCAAGCTGACAGGATGGGCCATCTGGAAGTCATCTCATCCATCTGCTACCTTCATGCTTTAACCTAGCTCAAACTAACTGAGGCTGGGGAGGTCTGTCATTCTTTAAAATCTCCAGGGAAGGAGATGATAACCATTCACATTTTCTCTGGGATTACCAAACCCTTCCCTGACAGAAAATACTCTTTAGTTGAACCTCAGTCCTTCTCACTGTAATTTCTTGACTGGACTTTTCAGAAACAGAAGATCCAGTCTCCCCCCTCTCAAGCTTTTGGACAGTAAGGAAACTATGGATGGGCTGAGATGGGTTGGATATTGTCAGCCACCATCTTTGTACAGTATAAGGAGCATTCACTGGAGTTGGAGGACCAGGCTTAAATCTTGCCTTTGACGCTTACTCTGTATATGACCTTGAGAAAGTTATTTCATCTCCGTTTCCTTCACCTCAGTTCCTCTGTAAAGTGAGGGGATTGGACCAGATGGCCTCCAAGGTCTCCCAATTCTAAATTTATGATCTTAGGGTCTTTTACGAACTTGTCTCTGCCCTCTCATTCCATTTTCTCCCCTTCACCAAGTCCCTTCCCCCCCCAAAAAAAAATTACCATATCCCTGGTTATTTACCATGAATTTTCATCTCTTAACATTTGAACACGGTATTTATCTGAGTTTTCACCTGGTAGCTGCTGTTAGGATAGGGGTCTCAGGGACATGGATGGAGAAGAGGCCACAGATCTAGGAAGGCTTCTTTTGGTAAGGTGGAAGGGTGTGATGGTAAACCATCAATAACCGAAGGGGAAGAAGTTTAAGTTTTCTCCATCTTGGACAAAGGCGTTCATCTGGCTCCAATGCTAGACATTAATGTTCGGTTTGAGGAGCTACATCTTTTGTTCCCATTTTCAAATAGTTTGGGCCATTTCCTGGCTCAGCCCAAAGTTCGGCCTCCACTCATCGAGCCCAGATTGCCAGGTGAGCGTCTCCCTAGTCATGGCGACACTGACATCCTTCTTCCGTTGGCACCAACCAGTGCTTCCCAGCACTGAAACAAAAGATTCACCTGGGTGCCATCCAATGGTTGGAGGAGCTTTCTTGATAGCACCTCACAAATCGTCCTTGGGCCTGGGCCTGCATGACTAGAGAGTCCATAAGCCAGGGGTGGTTTTACCAGCTGAAGAGTGGAGGTGCCCAGGTGTGCATGGTCAACAAAAGCCCATCTTTATCTGTTGTATCTTTAGGGTCTTGGACCAAAGTTCTTTGCTCCGCCACTAACTTGTGTGGCCTTGGACAAGTCATCACCTCCCCTCTCTAGGACTCAGTCACTTCATCAAAGAAGATTGTTGGGACCAGATGATCCCTGGGGTCCCTTCTGGCTTTAACATTATGATTTTTTTTTCCCTGCCTTTGTCTCCTAGGTTCTTGGTGGCTTTGGTCCCCAGGATTACATGATAACCATATGGTAATAGCAAAATGGTAGTTGGTTGATTCCCTGTGTACAAAGGCCAAAGCTACCTTGAGGTTAGGTGTACCCAGTAGGGTACAACATGTCTTTTTCCAGTGCCCTTTTCCTAATATAAGATGCCATAATTAGTCAAACCGCAAGCATAAGCGGTGGCCTTGGGAGTAATAAAAAGGCTACATCTATATGATTCAATGAGCACTGAGTCCTCATTATTTAAAGTAGGGACTCTGAGGTCTCTTCCAAGCCTAAGTCTGTGGTCCTACTATGTGCCAAGTAAAGGCAGTGTGACATAGAGACCTGGCCTCCAAGTTAGGAAGACCTGGGTTCGAGTCCCCAGCCTGACACCTATTAGCTGTGACTCTGGGCAAGTGTTCTAAGCAACATGAAGGTTTAGAGGAAGGGCAGAGCTGCACCGGTAGAGGGACCTTCCTCACTGGGAGCTCCCAGTACTGATCAAATCATGGGACTGATAAAAAAAAAAATGCCAAGCATTGTGCTAGTCAGTGGGAATGCAAAAACAAAGACCTCAAGGAGCTTATGTCCTACCCAAAAGAAGCCTACGCTGAGAAGTCAACACCAAATTTCTGTAATTTGGGAAAGCAGGGAGGACATTAACCAACAGTTGAGGAAGGGCCCTGTGGGGAAGGCGGTACGTGAGGAGATACTGGAAGGCAGTTAGGTTTTCTTAGGTGGGAGAGCCTGTGCGGAAGCCCAAAGATGAGAGATGGGATGCCATGGCCTGGGGACGGCCAGTGGCCTGGTTTGTGCTCACTCCCTGTAGTGCCTGCTTGCCATCTATGGCTCCTTCCCAAAGACCGAGGTGCTGGCGAACCCCAGACTCCCTCCTCCCCCCAGCTTCCCATGGGCAGCTTCTTCATTTGCCCTTTCTTGCTTCCCCCATCCCCCGCTGCCTGGTGGCATAGACACTTAGCGATTTGCTTCTTAATTGTCCCCCAGCTAGGCTGCGCAGATGCCGCTCTTTAATCTCTCCTGATAAATGAATCGCGCCATTCCTTTAATCATATGTTCATATCCAAGCCAATTTGAATCAATTTGGCAGGGAACATGTTGTAAGAGATGCCGTGAGGACTGTCTCTCCCCATTGGTCCCTGGAGCTGGGGCTGTTGTCTCCCTGACTCCCCGCGCAAGAAGCCCAAAAAAGAGCCATCTCTCACACACTTGAAATACCTGAGGTGGGATGGCACCTTGAGAACTCATTTCATGTTTTTCCTTTCCTCCCTTTGAGCCTCTTTCTGATAATTCTCAAAGACTTCCAAGGAAGATTTCTCCAACTCTCCTGGTCACTTCTTAGAGAGCTCCATAGCCTTCCCAAGGTGGAAGGGGCTTCCCCATTATCTACCCTTGATCCCATCAACCCCAACCAACCCATTCCTCCCAATGGGTTGCCAGGAAGGATGGAGAATATGTATCACTGTCTTGCATATCTCTGCAGAGACGAATTTGCCTCCTACTCCATTCTTCTGCAGGCCAAGTTACCCCAATTCAGAATCACAAAATGCTGGAACTAAATGTGACTTAGAGACTCTCTTATTTTACAGATGAGGAAATGGGTTCAAGATGTGAAATCGCCTCAGTTCAGAGAGTGTGTGACTCCAAAAAGCCAGGGAAAAAGAAGGAGCCTGGGGAAGGAATATTCAGATGCTGCCAAAGTTGTGGAGAAACAGGCGAACTCATTCATTGTTGGTGGAATTGCAAACTTGGAGGTTAGAATTTAGAATGTGAGAAATGAAGGAGGTCCTAGAAACCATCTAGTCCACCCACACAGAGGTGAAAAGAACCTCAGGGTTCAACTACTTCATTCTTACAGATGAGGAAACTGAGGCCCAAAGAGGTGTTTTTTTAATGACTTGCCCAAGATTACACGGAGCCAGGATTTGAACTCGGGGCTTCTGACTCCAAATCCAACACTCATTCCACTGTACCACACTGCCAACCACTTACTTTTACAGAGAAGGTGAAGACACTTACCCAAGGTCACACAGCTAGTAAGTGTCAGATCTGGAATTTGACACTGGTCAAGTCCAATACTTTTTTTCCATCACTCTTCTTCTAACCCTGAAGTTAAAGATGAACCCTTTCCCCCATCCCCCGATAAATTCCAGTTTCCCAAATCAGCTGTCTAGTGGGCCATTCCAAAGCTGGTTTGATTACAAACTGACATGGCCTGTGTCAACATTTAGTCAACAATGCTTCTCCCTTCAACTAGATTTGGGAGAACTTTGGCTTAGAGACAGCATGACACAGCAAAATCAAAAACAAAAAACCAAAAGCACAAGGTTGAGAGCCTGGGAGCGTATTCCTTCATGACCTACCACCTGGGCAACTTAAGCAAATCCCTGTACGTCTCTGAATTTCAGACTCTTCTTCTGTAAAACAAAAGGGTTGGACTCCCTGATCTCCGAGGCCCCTTCCAGGCCTCACATTCTAAATTCTAACTTCCCACACCTGAAAACCCCTGCCCCTCGCACAGCCTGTATGCCCACCTATTCTCTCTTCCTGGCTTTTCAGGTAGAAGTCACCTCCTTTTGACAGGTATGGTTGCAGTCCTTTGTTCTCTAAGAGGACCAAAATGGCGTCACTATGTTGGAGTCAAGGTACGTGTGTTGGACTGTGGCTGGTCAGACCAATACCAGAGAGCTCAGAGGGCTCTGCCACAGGTGGGACACCAATACTCCACGTGAAAATTTGGAATGGAGATGTCTTTTTGAGAGGTCCTTTGAAAGGGACCTTTGAAAGCCTCCAGCCCAGCCGCCTTGGCTTCCAGAGAAGGGAGGGGAAACAGCTTGCCCAAGGTGGCCCTTGGGAGAACGGGTGGCCTCCGGTTAATGGTCGGTGCATAGTATGAGGAGGACAGAAAGGGGGAGGGAAGGACTCTGATTCTAGAAGATGCCCACTCCCCTCAAGGAAGATGAGCTGGACAGACATCTTGTCTTCCTCTCCCGGTGCTGGCCACCTTTCTGGGAAAGTTCATTCCTCGCTTCCACAGTGCTGCCCAGCCTTGGCTTCCCTCCCAGGCCTCCTGGATGGGTCTCTAAGCCTCTTTTCATTTTCCTTAATCGGTTTTTCTCTCAGTACTCTGCCTAGTCCTGCCCACATTCCTTTCCTGGGCTCCCTACAGACTCCTTATTAAAAGGGCCTGAATGATGGCCCAGAAAACAAGGGGGAGGGGAGTGATTGACTTCATTTTGGCTCATCTGTGTGTCAGTGTGAGCTTTGTAGGCTTAGGAAGCCCCCAATCCTCACCTCTCTCCCCCAAGATTTCCCTTCTCCCCTCCTCAATCTCTCCCTTATGGCCTTCATGTGGACTGTTCCCACCATCAGCCCAGTCCCCCACGGCAGTGCTGCTCAGAGCCTCTGCCCCTCTCTCCAGCCCAGACAACTATTCCTGCACCTTAAAAGGGCAATGGTGTTTGGGGGGGGGGGTTGGTTTTGTTTTTAAGGGCAATGGTATTGGGCATTTCTCCTTTGCTGGACATGGCAGGGACCCTCTTAGGGCAACCGAGTAAAAGCCCAGGACACACCCACCCACCCACCCCCATCTCCCAGCCAGGCACTGCTTTTCCCGATCTTTTCAAGATTCAGTCATCTATTCAACATTCAACAAATTGTTGGACCCTGTGGCTGCTCTGAATCATCTCTCTTTTCCTCCTTCCAGTCAGCCCTCTTTCTATCCTTTTCTTCTCTACTTCTCCCTCCCTCATTTTCTTTCTCTCCTTTCTGCCTTCTCCTCTTCTCTTCTTTCTCCTTTGCTCCTTTCCCCTCCCCTCCCTTCTTCATTCTTATCTCTCCCTCTTCTGTCCTCCTTCCTTCTCTTTCTCCTTTTACTTTTCCACTTCCCCTTTTCTCTCCTTTCCTCCTCTTTTTTCTCCTTCCTTCCTACCCTCTCTCCCTCTTCCCCTTTCTCTTCCTTCTCTCTTTCCCTCCCTCTCTCTCCTTCCCTCCCTCCCTCTCTTCTCCTTTCCTTCTCTCCTTCCCTCCATTCCTTTTTCCTCTCCTTCCTTCCCTCCCAACTCTCCTTCCTTTGCTTTCCTTCTCTCTATCCCTCCTTCCTTCCCTCTCCTCTTCTCTCACCAAGAGTTCTCAGAAAGTCTGTACCACTTGGTCACCTGCCCCACCCAGGGTCACACCCTGAGTAAAGAGGGCTGGGTGATGGCTCTGGGAATGGAGGAGCCAGGTGAGATTAAGTAACTCAGACGATTCTCCATACCAAACCCTCTGCAGATCTGGAATTTGGAGTAAGCAAAGGAGGCATCTGCCCAGGGCACCCACCGCCCCCCTTCTTAGATGTACATGTCTTGGATGCTAGAACACTTTGCTCTCCAAAGCCCAGAGATTTGATGATAAGTCAACCTTTTTTTTTTTACAATGCAGATTCAAGATACTGTATCATGGTGTGTGGGGGTGGGGATGGGGGTGGAGGATACTTTTCAAATCTTGCCCAGGTATGCACAGATGCCTCAGACTCCTATCCACTCTGAGAGTCTATTATTTCAGTGTGACCCATCCTTCCACCAGACTCACCCCCCCCACTGCCCTCATACCCACAACATCCCTTCTCCATCCCTACAATCTTGCTCACATCTTCACTCACCCTCCCAACTTGCCCTTTACATCTATACCAATTCTCTTTCCTTCATACCTACACAACCTTTCCTCTCCCCAATAAACTCCCTCCTCAAACCTAACCAGCCCTGGGAGCATGCATCATGGTACAATGAAAAGCTCATACTGGCTTCGGAGTCAGAGGACCTGGATTCAAATCCTGCCTCTGACTTGTATTATCTCTGTGACCTTGGGCATGTCACTTAACCTCCATGGAACTCAGTTTCCTCAACTGCAGAGAAAGAGTTTGGGCTAGATAGCCTGCCCTTTCAGCTTTAGGTCTGGGATCCTCTTCCTCTCACCTTTCTCTCCCAACATCCCTACACCAATCTCTGTCTTTCTCGCTCTTTTTCCTCTTTTCCTCTTTCTCCCTTCCAACTAATAATAATGACATTTACATAGTGCCTCCTATGTACCAGGAATGATGCCAAGCACTTCTCAAATATTTTCCATTTGAGCCTTACAACAATCCTGGGAGGTAGGTGCAATTTATTTATGTCTGAGGCTAAATTTGATCTCAGGTCTTCCTGACTCCAGGGCAATAAATAGCTTTAGCTACTTTAC